TTCTTCGCCGTTGAATAAAATATTTTTTTTCGTACTGAAAATTATAGGCATTAAAAATATAATGAATTGCGTGTATAGATATATTTCTAAATCATGTGGTGAGTCGGTTTTGTTAAATACTTGTGGCGTGAAGCAGTGGCACAGTTGTTTGAGCACTGTTCTAAACTGATCGCCCCTAGTTCGATACCTGGCCATATATAACACCAGTGGCCCAATCCAGCCCCCCACCCAACAAGATTGTCAAATTTACAAAGATATTATTGATACATGCCAATGAATTGATCAAATTCAGATTTGAACAATAATTAATCAAACATCATCTAAGAACTTACGGATGAAGGCAACCCCCACGCTGCCGTCATCTCTCAGGCTCTCGTGATGCAACAATCCAATCTTTAACTCTGACACACACGAGTTGATTTTATTGCTCCCTCACCGTGGTGGACATCATGTAATGCATATCCCATCCATTGCCTGCCACTGTGGTTTGTCTCGACCACTGGCCGTCATCCCTAATAATAATATTGCATGGCCTTTAATCTATATATATAAAATCGTGAATCTGTCTGTCTGTATGTGTGTCTGTGTGTCTCCGGACCATACGCACTTTCATTGGACGCCGGTTGCCCCTGCCAACGGCTAGCGACGCCTTCGCCGCTTTCATTGGACCTGGCAACGGCTAGCGACGCCTTCGCCAAGGGCTGCAGTTTCATTGGACGGCGGTTGCCCCTGCCAACGGCTAGCCACGCCTTCGCCACTTTCATAGGCTCCGTAATTAATTAAATAATAGCCATTACTCTGTATTGTTCGAGCGCTAGGGGGGGGGGGGGGACCGGCACCCGTACCCAGCGTCAGCCGGGTGGGAAAATCAGGCGAGGCGGGAGGCTCTGCACGGTGCTAGGCCTCGACACCCACCACGCGAATCTAAGGTAAATTCATAAAAGTTTCACGTCCTCTACAGAGTCGTGAGGGAGGGAGAGTGGCGAGGGAGGGAGAGTGGCGAGGGAGGGACTCAGCCTCAAAACGAGTAACTGGTGTGGCGTTTTCACATCGGCACTGGGGAGACAAAGGCGGCCGGGCGTGGTGGATCCAAGTCCCGGGCGAAGCCGGCTCATGTCTATGTGTGTATGTGTTTATGTGTATGTCTGTGTGTCTCTATGTATGTGTGTATGTATGTGTGTGTATGTGTTTGTGTGTTTATGTGTGTGTGTATGTATGTCGGTTTTTTTATGTGTTTATGTGTATGTCTGCGTGTCTGTATGTATGTGTGTATGTACGTGTGTGTGTGTTTGTGTGTATGTATGTGTGTATGTACGTGTGTGTGTGTTTGTGTGTATGTATGTGTGTTTGTATCTATGTGTGTGTGTTTTTCTGTGTATGTATGTGTGTGTATGTATGTGTGTTATGTGTCTGTCTGTGTGTCTGCATGTATGTGTGTATTGTGTATGTGTTTGTGTGTATGTATGTGTGTGTTTGTGTGTATGTGTATGTCTCTGTGTATGTATGTATGTGTGTGTATGTGTGTGTATGTGTTTGTGTGTATGTGTGTGCATGTATGTGTGTGTATGTCTTTGTATGTGTTTGTGTGTTTACGCTCGCATTACACAAATGTGTTGCAGCTCTAAGGCGTTCCTTGCGCAGCATTTCCGCTTTATTATTTCAGTCGTTTACTGGCGTACGCACCCTCACAGTCGTGTGTGTCTGCAGCAAGCGCGTGTATGTGTACCTATGGACGCGCGCGCGTGTGTTGTGTAGGGGAAACGGTAGTGTAGTGGTTAGCGTGCTGTCTGTGTCTGTGTGTGTGTCTGTGTGTGTGTCTGTGTGTGTGCGTGTGTGGTGTGTGGGGAGCGGTAGTGTAGTGGTTAGCGTGCTGTCTGTGTGTCTGTGTGTGTGTCTGTCTGTGTGTGTCTGCGTGTGTCTGTGTCTGTGTGTGTGTCTGTGCGTGTGTGGTGTGTGAGGAGCGGTGGGTGTAGTGGTTAACGCTACGCTGCGCTACAAACCCGGCGAACCGAGTTCGATTCCCGCTCACGGCCACCACCGGTGACGATTATTTGAACCTCCCCTAGGTCGACTCAGTCTCAAACGATTAACTGGTGTGGCGTATTAACATCGCCACTGGGGAGACAAAGGCGGCCGGGCGTGAGTGGTGAGGGAGGGAGAATGGTGAGGGAGGGAAAGTGGTGAAGGAGGGAGAGTGGTGAGGGAGGGAGAGTGGTGAGGGAGGCAGAGTGGTGAGGGAGGGACTCTGCCTCAAAACGAGTAACTGGTGTGGCGTATTAACATCGCCACTGGGGAGACAAAGGCGGCCGGTCGTGGTGGATACAAGTCCCGGGCGAAGCCGGGTAGTACAGCTAGTCACCTTTACAATCATCCACGGGTCGTCTTTAAAGCTACGAAACTCTACCTGCATACTTAACTCACGATACATATACCTGTGTTGAGCTGCTCCTACCGTCTAAAACTTTCCTATCAAGCATCCATATAACTGCTTAATCACACAATTGTAGTAAACTTACCTTCACTCTGCTGACCTACACGACAATAATATTATTCTATCATACATGTATACCAGCAAATTGAAATGACTCCTTAATTCCAAACTACGCTGCCAAGATGCAGGGCTACATTGTGGGCTTCACAAGGCAGTACAGAAAAATCCATTATTGTACTGTACTGCTATGCTTCCACATATACTCCTGACGTTCAACCCACACTGACCAGCGCTGTGAAGTAGGGTCAAATAACCCTGATAACCCTAATGGCATGGCCCTCACCCAGCAGTCGACTGACAAAAGGAGTGTACAGGTACATTTACATTTTGTAAAGATATAAGCTACTTTCCAATATCTTAGGCAAGCCTGTAAAATGTTCGTATTCTTTTGTGTCTATGAAAGTAAAAACTCTGGTTTTCCAGTTTTTGGAGACAAGTAAGCCTGAAAGAGTCCTAGAAGCTGACTTTGTTTTGAGTGGCTTTAGCCAAGCTACCTCTTTCCAATACCCACCCCCTCCAAAATGTTTACCAGCCTCAAGGATAGCCAGCAGTGGAATTACAGAGGGCTAGAAATAGTTCTTTTTTTACAATTTAAAGTACCTGTGTTATTTTGCATCACAGTGCTTTTCGCATAGGTTTCCATGTAAAATTGAGTTTCTCTTTCCCCTGTTTACAGCCCTGAAGTCAGTGGTATGAGACATTTCACATTCCTGTGGCAGGGCAAGTTAATGAATAGGACAACCGCTGTTGTACTTCCCCACAAAGAGGAGGTGTATTCATTTTATGGACCCCAGAGTGATGAAGGGCTGAGTTGACACCCGACCGGGATTTGAACTCTCGGCTTGCGCACTGTAACCGCTGTGCCACCCGTTGCTTAGGCGTTACCCTTAAAGTTGTCAATCTGACATCCGCTCTTTCCAAAAAAATTTATTTTTCTGGCGAGAGTAAGATTGTCCTTAATTTTTTTTGGTTGGCATTGAACAAACTTGTTTAAAAATGTTATGCATTACGCTCCCCTTTATAATAATATCACTTATTTATAACGATACAGCGTAGGTTTCTGCAGTTGTGCTGTAGAGACCTATAATTAAGAATTATTTACAGTAGATCGTCAATCTACTGCTGGATGAACGCCTCTTCCCTGTGCTGTGCTGGTCAAATGGGTTGCGTAACCATACTTCACCAGGCTGATCAGCGTGGGTTTGTAAAGTTGGGGTCCTGGTCCAGTTTAAATGTTACTCATCACTAGTGCTAGCAGCTGTGTCTGGGAATTGAACAATGGGCTACTGGGTTCGTAGCGCAGTACATTCGCCACTGCTCTACTTTTCCTAAAATTCCACTAAACGCCCCTCCCCCCCCAGATATTTGTATAGATATGTAAGCAGAGTGTGCTGATGGCTGCTGATAAATATTTATGCCGCCAATGTCAAATGTGCTCTCAAGGCTGCATGAAGCCAGAAAACACATTTTAGTTTGGCTCACAGCCACAAGAAGATTTGTGGGACCAACAAGACCCCGGCGATCTGAGTTGGATTCCCGCTCATGGCCAACGCCAGTGATTATTATCTGAACTCGTTCTGGGCCTACCTTAGGTCAACTCGGCATCAAATGAGTACCTGGTGTGCGGTGTGCAAACATCACCACTCGGGAGACAAAGGCAGCCGGGCGTGGTTCTGGCCACCCACCCCCTCGTGTGATGCGCCAGCCTTCATACGTGCTCGCAAACAGCACGTGCCCCAACAGTCTGTTCAGGGCTACACAGGGGATATTTTTCTTTGTAACAGGGGTGTCGTGATGTATTGACTCGATTAGTATCAAATATTAAGCTTACGACATTTCCATTTTATCGCTTATTTAACATATTGCGCCCATCATATATTGTTTACAATAAAATGCAATGTTAATGAATAATTTTTAGATTGATTTTGAATTGTGGCAAGTGCACTACTACCATCATAGTCCTTTGATAATTTTAGGTTTGGAGGATGATGGCCCCGGTGCAGTGACATTGCCAAGCAATAAGACCATTTTTGCAAGTTACTAAAATTGAGCAACCACATGGCACCATAGTCCCCCGATTTGCAGAACATACTCTTTCGTGAAGCGTAGCACTTTTATGATAGCCTTGCACTAAAATAATAGTGCGAATACCGAATTTACATACTACTTTATAAAGGGTTAATGCGAGACTATCCACTGGGTGCCACTATGGCTACATACGGTGAAAAAGAAGTACAGCAACCATACTACATTCACCACAGTGTTAAAAAAGGAAGACATTCTTGGATCGAATCACAACCCTGAATTGTGACTTTTCATTCCATTGCGAGTGGAAATTATTCGGGAAGCAGGCAGTGGGGGGAGGGGGGGTTGGGGGGTGCTCTCGTGCGGCGAGGGGGGTCTCCCCTCGTGTGTACTGAGTGGTACAAATCCCAAATGTATTTCATTATTAATTGATATATATATATATTTGTGTGTGTGCGTGCGTGCCCTCAATGTGACTCCACAGGGGCAGCAGCATGGCGAGCTCGTCAGACAGTGAAGAGGAGCCCTACTACCCCGACTCTGAGGACATGCAGGATGTGAGCCTCTCGCTCGGCGGCGGGGCCGAGTGGCCCGGCGCTATCGCGGCGTTGGAGGCAGGTGGGGAGGCCATGGATGTGGAGGAGTTGGCCGACAGGCCAGGCCTGGGGCTTTGTGGAGCGGTGCAGCAGCAACAGCAGCACGAGCGATCGGTTTGGGAGCTCCCGGAGGAGCTCCTGGAGTACATCCTGGCATTCCTGTCTCCCTACCAGCAGCACAAGACGGCCGCACTTGTGTGCAAGCAGTGGCACCGCCTCATTAAAGGTTGGTCTGCTCAACGGCCAGCAGCAACACCACGTTCTCCAGATAACACGCACATTTTTTTCCCCTCCTGTATTTTAAAGCAAGAGTTGGCATAGTTGTTGTCTTATAATCCAGAGCGGGGGTGCCCAATCTGTTACAGACCAAGAGCAAAAAAGTACCCATGAGTTCTGCAAAGAGCCAAGTGTGTGTACATATATATAAACAGTTTTTGGCATTGGGAAACATCATTCTTTGCTCCTCTGATAATGTTCTCCATTATGCCCCTTCGATAGAGGGGTATGTGGTGGATTAAAGAGATGCATGTGGCTTGGGAGACGCCGTTTGGCCACCGCTGATCCAGCGGATACATTGTCTTCTGGAAGATGTGTAGTAATCGAATGTCTCACAATTATTTTCTGGATGACTTTTCTCCATTTGCAATGCAGAATTCCGTAAGGGCAGGGAACCACCACCAGCCATTCAGAATCATCTTTCAAAAGATATCTATCCCCCTTTTAAGTAGCACATTCATTTTCATCTTCTGTAAGATGGCTCTCCAATAGCAACGTTTTTTTTTCTAATTAACTTTAGAGTATTTTTCATTGAATTATAAGACACTTTAGCAAAATAAATACCACATTTTAGGGTGCATTATGCATTCGACATTGCGGCAACGCTGCGTAGGTTTTTGTTCGTGGTATAAAGAAACACGAGAGCAGACAGAAGGACAGAGATAAGGAGACAAAAAGAAACAAATAAAGATCAGAGATTTGAGGGAACAGGAGGAAAGATGGGGGGGCGAATTGAGAGAGGCACTGAACGGGAGATATGGGAGGGATACCAGAAGAAAAGATGTAGAGATGTGGATAGCTAAACCAAAGGAGATGTATGTATATCGAACTTCCTTTGCACCGTACGTAGCCAAATTGTGTTAATCGGAGGTGCGGGGAAGGGCAACAAACTGTTCTAAAGAATCTTTATTTGAAGCTTTCGTGACTGCAGGAATCCATACTCTTTGGTTCTTTCGGTAAAGTCACGTAGGTAGAAAATAAAATAAATCACGACGTTTCGGGCACAACACAAGCGTCCATCATCAGGTGGGAAAGGGTCACAAGCTCCTGTTGGAGGAACACTGATTTAGAGTTTAATTTCACGGTCGAATGGGTGTAATCCAATGTGTGCTGTTCTGCTATAGCAGAACGTGCGGCATTGTGGGTGTGATTCGACTTTTATATTTATGTTGAACTTTTTTCGCACCGTATATCGGCAATCTTGCTTCTTGGAGGTGTGGGACATGGTTCTTTGGTGTGATGCAATTCGGGTGTGCTCTTCAGTGTGGCGTGTGTTGTTGTTGTTGTCTGGCCTGGTCATCTAACAGCAGGTGCGTGTTCGTGTGTGTGCATTGCAGGTGTTGCACGGCAGTGCTACCACGGGTTTATTCGAGCTGTGCAGGACGGACGCATTCAGTGGGAGAGTCGTACATACCCCTATCCCGGCACACCCATCACGCAGCGCTTCTCTCACAGTAAGAGTCGCGCATGCGCACACACATGCACAAACGTGATCATATTGTGTTGCTTGATCACAACTCTTGCCCACTGCTACTCGCACAGAATAATGTACACACCTGAAAAAGTTGTCCTGCATTTGCACATCTGTCACAGGTCTTTTCTTTCACGTGGTTCTTGTTTGGCAAAGATTACTTTCAAATGGCAGAGCGGGTAGGACAGTGCTGCCCTCTTGTGTGTGGACCATAGACCACTTAAAGGGATCTCGGACATAGCTCTTATATCTGCTTCCGTGGGCCGTTCTCTAACACGAAGGGTTTGACTTCTGCGCGAGATATTCGAATGGATGCTTCGATGCTTGACATGACGTTGACAGCACAATTTTGATAGAATTTGGAGAAAGAATTTAAAAAATAAGAAAAATGACTTGCACTTGCTCAGATGGTTTCACTTTGTCACACCCATTACAGTGATTCTCCCATTGTAAGATGCACACACATGCATGTCATCTTACCTTACCACACTTATTCATACAGTGCTTTTGAGTATCATGCACATTGCATTGTCTTATTTTGTCACACCTACCACCCGCTGCTTCTCACCATAAGACGCACACACGGCATGACGTTGTCTTACTTCGTCACATCACACGGCACATGTCACACAAAACACCTTGTATGGGTCTGGAAGCAGATTCAAACAATATACTGTGACGCCCACTAAACAGCACAGATATGAGGCTTCTTTCCCCCATCTATGCTTGAATAATCGAGTAATCGAACCATAAACGGGCAGATTAATAATCTAAAGATTCAACACATGAATCAAAAATACTCTCCAAAGGATAAGTAGGTAACATTTCAGGCAGTAGTCCTTCCTCACAGCACTTACAAGTTGGATTTCCCCACTGTATTTGTTGGTATATAACCCTGAATAATGCCGACGTTTGTTTGTTAATGCAGGTGCTTGCTACTACGACACAAACCACTCCATGTACGTGTTTGGGGGCTGCACGCACAGCAGTTGTAACGCTGCCTTCAACGACCTCTGGCGGCTCGACCTCAACAGCAAGGAGTGGATCCGGCCGCTGGCCTCTGGTCAGTGACGTCATCTTTGTCTTGGACAACAGGTAGTCCGCGACTTACGATGGAGATGCGTTACGACGACCCCATCGTAAGTCGAAAATATCGTAAGTCGAAAATGGCCTAGCCTACCCAGGAGTCTTAAAGAATGGTGATAATTTAGCAAAACCAGAGCAATTTACAGTACCGTACTGTATAAACTATATGCGTACAGTACATCCCGGCAGCGTCCCAGCGTACAGCGTCGTACCTCGCACGCTGCTGTGTTTGCCTGCCGCGCGAAATGTAAAATATTTTACAATTTTGTCATATCGCTATCGCCATCGTAAGATCGAAATATCGTAAGTCGGACCATCGTAAATCGGGGACTACCTGTATTCACATTCGGTCATCGACTACTGTGGACCTGGCAACCAAATGGTTCGTAGATGAGCGTTGATTCCTGCTTAGGGGAACGACCCAGCCCCAGCATTGCTGCAATGGTCATAGAAATTACTTTCGCTTCATGGAATGTCACCAGTGCATGTCCCGCAGAGTGACTAGCCAATGCCATAGGAATATGGAATGTCCACCTCGGGCTCAAGGCCATGTGATACCTGGTGAGGCGTGTAAACATCAGCACTGAGGAGACAGACAGTGGGTGTGGTGTTGGCCACCCACCCCCTCTTGAGCCGTGGCAGCCGCCTCCATAAGTGCATGCGAACAGCACTTGCTTCCAAGTCTGTTAAAGGCTGTACGGGGGATCTTTGATGTCAGGGGTACCACAGTGACTTAAAGCTTTCGTGACTGCAGGAATTAAATTTCTTGGGTCTTTCGGTAAAATCGCGTAGATAACCTATCCACGCGCCTTTATCGAAAGACCCAAGTTAATGGTACCACAGTGGTGAGATGTTAACTACCTCACCTGGTATGCAGGAGGTCGTGGGTTCATCCCGACCCTGACGCCTGTATATTTGGAGTTTGCATGTCCGTTTCCCCATGGTCGCGTGGAGCTTTTTCCAGGTCCTCCGGTTTTATTCCTCCAAATTTATATAAATTTCCACGTAGTAAGCCAATTCGTCGAGCCATCACTTGTGGCCAGGTCTGAAAAAGAGCTGTATAGTTCAGTGGGCCTTACTGGTGAAATAAAATTTGTAAAAAAAAGTGGATACAATCAATGGCGGAGCCAGGATTTTCAGGGAGGGGGGGCAACCCCTCCAGCAATGAAAAATTATAGTTGTTAGTAAGTAAGGACTTGTCCCTTATTCGACGCGTGTGCGGCGATGGCACGGCCATCGATCGAGGGTCGAATTAGAACCGCGTGTGATCGGCATCGCGCTCCCTGAAGGTATGCCTTCAGGGAAATCGTGTACGCACAATTCTGTGAGTCACTTGTAACTGCTTTGCCGTTAATTATTGCCAATTATAGACTCAGACTATTGTCCTATCAATTCATAGAGTCCCTGGCACGTAATAACATGCTACACAGTGGCAGTGGGGGTCGCAAAATGCCAATTTATTATTAATAAACCCCAATGATCCCATCGAAATTAGGGATTTTGATCGGATCATTGGGGGGGCACGTGCCACCCCACCCCCCCCCCACTGGCTCTGCCCGTGGATGCAATGTTTGTGTTTGTGTGTGTACACCAGGCTCGTACCCGTCCCCCAAAGCGGGCGCCACGTTGGTGGTACACGGGGACCTGCTGGTTCTCTTTGGAGGATGGACACGGCCCAGCCCTTACCCCCTGCACCAGCCTGAACGATTCTTTGATGAGATCCACACCTACTCTCCCTCCAAGAACTGGTACAAGCTCGCAAAACCACGTTGGAACACTCACACATGTGCCCACAGCTGCCCTTATGCCTGCACCATTCCTGCACCACGCTTGCACAATGCACAACACTTAAATCACACCTGTATCACACAGACACATACACACACACAAACAAGCAACTTCATCAAATATGTACCATTCCCGTGCACCTGTATCCTGCCTGTATCCCGTGACTGCCACACTAACGTATAACACTATATAAGTCTTCATGAGATTTTCACTGGACATACATCGCTCGTGTACCAGACTAGAGCCATGTAGCTCTCGCTTGTCTAACCATACTTTGCTCCCTTCATAAATAGCAACACTCAAGGATCAATCTCGCAAGAAGTCATCAGCTATGGGTTTTCCCGTGATAGTTGATACATGGTTGGTTCCGGATCGTGATTGTGAATTTTTGCTCGATGGTTTCCCCTCTTTTTCCCCTCGTCTTTTCTTCTTTTGTTCCCACTAGAATGACACAGAAAATGTTTCGGTTACTTTTTTTGTATTGTTGATTGACTTAAAATGAAATCGACCACTGTTGCAAAACATAATAACCCGGTGGAGCAGGTGACCAGTGTTACTCTATGTCCCATCTGGCGCAGGTGGAATTGCGTTGTGACTACACAGGGGCCACCGCCAATGGCCGGGCACTCGGCCTCTGTTATCGGCAATCAGATGATTGTTTTTGGAGGCTCCTTGGGATCCCGGCAAATGTGAGTCTTTGCATATATATCACATGTGTATCAGGGCCAGTGTGTGTGTGGGGGGTATTGTTGAAGGCTAAGGATTAGGTTGGTGCACTGATTGGGTGCGGTACTATACCATGGACCCAGCGAACTTTAAGTTAATTTCCTAGCTCTAACATTGCTGGTGAGTGATATACATGAAGCAGTGCCCACTTCGTCATCCCACAAAGACCAAGCATGATGAAGTATGGCCAAACAACCCCAACCCCCCCCCCCCCCCATGATTTGCACAACATTGGGAAGGCATTCATTCAGCAGTGGCTTGACAAATGGCAAACACATTCCTGCGGAGGGAGCTGGTAGGAACGTTGGGTTGCTCGGTCAATGGCCAGGGTCAACGGCGGCGTGGTGTATTCCGCAAATATGGCCGACTGTGAGGGCGGACACAAGCCGGCGTGAGTAGGTTAAACGTTGAGTTTTATAAGGGCACCACGGGGTGACCACCCCCTCTCCACCCAGCCCCACCCCCCACCCAGCCCCACCCAGCCCCTCCCCACCCTCCCCTTTCCACCTAGCCCCACCCCTCCCATTTTTGGATGCACGACGGACGGACACAATAATCCCCTGTGGGCTGGTGTAACCAGGAGGTTCCTACCAGTATAAACTATGTATATACAGACCTTTCTTTTATCACTAGCCATGCACACAACTGGCGATCACAGTAGGGATCTGGAATGGGCCTTGACCTCTGCTGCTTTCCGTTTTGCCTAAAACAAGTACTGTACCTGGTTGAATACATCAGTTGAATCACTGTGGAAACAGGTGGCCAGAATCTAGTGCTGTTCCCACTATTCCCCTGAGTGGCATGCTGGCCTTTGATAGGTGTCCACTCAACGCACTTGCTTAAACAGTTTCTTCGCTTTAACAGGATTATTGGCGTTTGTGTTGAAAGCCAATATCGGGTAGTATTTATGGTACGTTATATTTTATGGTACAATCCTTTTGTTGCAATCAAATAATTAAACTAACTCCGCTTAAATGTAATGTGTAAATGTGCAGCCCTGTGTCAATCTACTGCTGGATGAGGGCCTTATGTGGCTATGTGGGACAGGAGGGTTATTTGACTACATTTCTCCACGCTGGTCAGCGTGCATTGGTGAATGTGAAGGAACTTAGATGTGGAGACATAGCTGTTGCCTATATAACACCTGTGGTGTGAAGTGTATTGCTCTTTGTCCAATCCACTGTTGTATTAGTATGAGATAATTGTGGGTGATTTTGTCAGAGGAGATTTTAATGAGGTATACTGCTTATTCACATAGGGTTAATGTTGAAAAATAGTATGAATAAGGATGTTGCTATTGCCGGGTAATTGATGCTCCGTTGTGTGTGGGCAACCGGCTACGTACGTGCGACGTTTGATTGCCGTGCTTTAGGAACAACGAAGTGTGGGTGCTGGACCTGGAGCAGTGGGCCTGGTCGCGACCTGCTGTCACTGGCACCAAACCTCAGCCTCGTGGAGGCCAGTCCCAGGCAAGTGTCGTCATTGCACCGCTGGTTTTTATTTACTTCATCGTTGTACTTTTATTTAATTTGTTCAGCTTTTTTGTAATTTTGGTCACCCAGGTCATGAGTGCAAATTCGACTTTCCCGGTGTCTTGTCTTCTCCCCTGGTTAAACAAATAGACTTTACTTCACATCTGTGTTGAAAGTTAGCAACATAATGCATTATATTATGGTTACTAAGCAGAAGTGTTATTTGTGGTTAAAACTATAAGCATTTGGAACAATCACAGCTGAGATGTTGGCAAACACCTGGGACACTCAAATCTCAATGCGATGTGTGCCACCAATGCCCTTGGTGGACGTGAGACTCAGCGATTCGAGGGATGACTCATAAGAAAATATTTTCACACTGCCACTAGTGTGCACGTGGGTGTAGTTTTATCGACTTAGCTCAAGCTACAGTCTTAATTGTATTTATTTTAGTAATGAATTAATAATTTAGGGACACTCTAGGGATGTCACCGCTTGGTCACCGACCTCTCCGAGCTCACTTCCAACACCAGTCTTGCCAAGCTGTCTTGACGACAATGACCAGCAATGATAGCAACGACCAACGCAGTTCAATTAATCTTCGTCCTAATCAATAATGGCAGCAGTTAATGCACTGTTTACCAATGAAGACTGGCAACAATCGTGATTATTATTATTATAATCATTATTGTCTTCATCCTCATTGTTATTTAATTTCATAATTATGTCATCATCATCCATCGTAATTTTTATGCTCATCGTTATTCATTGTCATCGGCATCCAATATTATTTTTCAAAATCATCTTCACGTTGTATTGTAATGTCATTCGGTATGCATCGAATGTGTTCCCGGTGATATATATTTTTTTACCCTATTTGCTTGAACCAATATTTGGCTCCCCGGTCATCGTTTTTATCAGCTGGAAATTGCAGATGTTAGGATTAACTTATCACCTAACTTTGATCTCACTCGCATCACCTCGGACAACATTAAGCCTCCCACCAGGCTTATGTCTTGTCCATAACACGGTTGTCGGCCTTCCATCTTATCTGCAGACAAGCAACAAAATAGGAAGGTTTTAGCACCAATCCAGCCACAGATAACAAGAGTTTTACTGTAAAAGCATGGTTGTTGAGAAGGTGAAAGGGTTCACAGTGCCTCATGACCGACTGCTCTCATAGCGTATGGCTTGTTCAGATTCAGTTGTGCAGCATCACTATTTCACATGGCTGCAAAGTGATGTGTGGAAGCTGCCTGCCCTATCATTCTGCATGACACTTTCGATATTTTTGCCCATGATCATATCTGCCTTTGTGAACTCCTAGGCAGAAACGCTTGTGCTAGCTGAACCAAAAATGGCTGCATCTCCTAGGATATACTTTTTATAAAGTGTTTTTTTCCAACATCATGGGACCTCCTTTGCCAGTACCAAAATATGAGAATAGGTTTTCCCCTTTTTTCTGGCAACAAACAGGTGTGAAGATGGCGAAGGAGGTCCCATGATGTAGCTGCTCATCCCCGAGCTCTCATTACTTTGATAGTGCTTGTCTTTGTGCTGTACGCCTTTTGGCGTCCTCTGGTCTAACACCGTTTTGAGACTAGGCTCAAAAGAAAGCTGTCTCTGGTGTGGACCAAAAGACAATGCATATATTATCAGTGTTTTTTGTTTGCATTCTGACCACAAGTATTGTTTTTTTCAACTCTCACAAGAGAAGGCTCTATTTTAAATAAGGCAGGGGAGAATGTCTTCCATGCAGAGGAGACGATATGTCAATGTATCCATGGGATTCTCATAGGTGTGTGTGGTTTTTCCTGTTGCAGATTGTGTTGGATGATCAGACAATCCTGATCCTCGGTGGCTGCGGAGGCCCCAATGCTGTGAGTGATTTTTTTTCTTCCATTTCAGGTTTTTGATCATGCTCAAAGTCATTCCCTGCATGATTGTGGTGCCTGTACTCTGTGTGCTCGCTCAGACGTATCACAATTTGATCTCTTTCAAAGTAATAAAGATATACAATTGCATCTCTTGTTCACAACGTTTTCAGTTGATGCAGCATAAAGCCAAATTTTAATTTAATTGTTCGGTATGTGATGGGAAATCTTTTCTTACGTTCACTGTCTCCAAAGAATATGCGATTCCATGATCCCATAGCGTAACGGTCATGGGTATGCACCAGACATAACCACCGCAGTCCCCAGCGAGTGAATGAAATGTCATGATGCAGGTCGTGGAGCATTTTAACGTCATAACATCTGTATGTGTTACCACTTGTGTACCGCTTTTCTTCAGGTATTTTGTCTATCTCGCATACATATCACAATCCTTATCTCTCGTCTACATCTCTCTCACCTCTACCTCTTGCCTAGTTCTTGTTGGTCTCACTTATCTTCATCTCTTAGCTTCAGCTCTCTTATCTCTTTCTCTTGTTCATATCTCTTTCATCTCGCCAATCTGTATCTCTGCTCGTCTCGACGGGCCATAGCTCAGCGGGCCGCTTTGAGCGCCTTCGTTTGAAGAACCCTGACAAAAGGGTGCGTCACCACCGCGTAAGTTTCGAGCGACGCTATTGGCTAAGGGTGATGTGCGCACACTGCAGGTGTTCAAGGATGCGTGGCTGCTACTGCTGGACGTGCAGCCTTGGCACTGGCAGCAGCTGGAGGTTGTCAACGAAGAGCACTGCGCCCCTGAGCTCTGGTGCCACCCTGCATGCAAGGTGTGTGCCAGCCTCAGTCTGCCTTGCCTTGGAGCATGCCAGCATGCCAACGTGCTGGGGGTACACATAACTGAGTCTTGTCTCCAGAATGTCGTGTGCCTTTTCAATTTGTCAACATTGAAGTATTAGCGTGCACACTGAGGAGGTAAGGTCAAATAATTCCTGTGACCGACACAGCCGAGGGAGGCCTTCATCCAGCATTTCATTAACATTGACTTGGGGCTATATGTGTATTTTAATTAAGTGTGTATGTTAGTAGTTCTATTGACCTACAGAAATTAGGGATTTTGATCGGATCATTGGGGGGGGGGGCATGTGCCAACCCAGCCCCCCCCCCCCCCCCCCCCCCCCCCCCCCCACTGGCTCCCCCAGTGCCAGGCGAGGTAGTTAACGCCTCGCTACTGTAGTGACATACCTCAAACCATTATATATTTATATAATAATGGCTGATACCTTTATAGACACTCTGTATCAATAGAACCTGTTGAAAATCACGACAAAGCAAATAATGTGTGCTGCAACTTAATCTATTTTAAAGTTACGGTTGCCGGGCACAGGCCCAAAATACTCGACGATCGGCAACAATGTCACCTTTGTATGTTTTTTATCCGCAGTTGTAATGTCGTGCATTGCAAATGCCATGTCGTCTCCTCCCATCGAACCACTCGGAACGTGTGCGACGGTTTGTAATTGTTTACGATTCGTAAACAACATTAGCCAATTACTTTAACCGTTTCCTAACCGGGGTGTGTGTGATCGCGTTGCCGCAGGTGGGAGATTGCGTGGTGGTGTTCAGCCAGGCACCGAGTGGAAGGCGCCGCTCAGCCCCAGCCTGCACTCGCGCCCGTCGCCCATCAGCACCAGCCCGCCCGCCGTGCCGGCGCCCATCCGACTGGGCGACCACAAAAGCCAGTCTCCTCACCGCTCGCCACGCGAACCCGAGGAGGAGGCGCAGTGCGTCAACGGGCGCTGGGGCACGCTGCGGCCCCGCACACAGCGCAGCCAGCCCGGTATGACCGCTAGCATGCCGCACGGTGGTCTACAACTAAACACGGCACACACTGGTACCAGGACCACTTCTCCACTCCGCTACCACTAAACCAGTCCCACAGGAACTCAATCTTGAGTCAAGCAGATTGAGTGAAAATCAGGAGCTGACAACATAAAACAGAGGCACAGCTGTAGGCAGCAGTTAGCACACTGCGCTTTGAACCCAACCACCTGAGCTTGTTTCCCACTCGTGGCTAACGTCTGTGGCGAGAGAGATCTGAACCGGTCCCAGACCACAACCCCCTCTTCACCAGCCTGCACTGGTCAGCACGGAGAAGTACGGTCATTCAACTCCCACAATCAGCACGGTGTGAGGAGGGCTTCATCCAGCAGGGGTTGTCACTAATAAAAAATTATGCGTAGAGTTGTGCTGTCCAACGTGTTCCACTTCTTTCCCACCTTATGTCGCCAACTGCGCTTATGGGAGGCGCGGGGGAAGGACAACAAACTAAACACAAAAAACTGCGAAAGAAATTAGTTTTCATTCTAGATTTAAAAGTGCAAAGCTCCAGTGGCTTCCTAACATCGGAAGGAAGAACGTTCCAGACAGCCGCAGAAACGCATCTGAAAGCGTGCGATGCAGTGGCCCGTCTTTGTACGATGGCTAGTATCTAAATTATAGTGCTCCAGTTTCTAGTGGTAGAAACATGATGAGCCATTATGTTTTACTTATTATTGGATAACATCATAGCGTGGTGGTCATGTGTATTTGCCCACCAAAGATATCCGAAAGTCTTGTTTGGCCCTGGTAAGGAAAAGGTTCCCACCCGTCGTGTTATCTCACAAGCTCAGCCCTTAACGGCTGTGAGTTGGGTCCATGTGAACGCTCGCCATCAGCGTGACTCGTGTTGCTCTTCAAAGTAAAAAAAACTCAGCTCTTAGCGGCTTTGTTTGTTTTATGTCATTTGAGTGAGGCCGCTTTATCTTGACACGAGTGTGAAGCTGCCTCGAGAGCATTTTTCACACGTGCTTATTGAGGGTTGTACGAGCTTGCCTACAGGGCTTATAGAACGAGTCAAGGAGAGGCTCTGATCTCTTGGCTGGCTTCCTGCATCGGCAGGGAAGAAGGAATGAGGGAAAGTTTGGAGTGTTGTGAATAGTTGGGTGTTTGGAGTGTCAAGTGGTTCGGAGGAAAGGCGATAAAGTGCCCTGGCAAGGTCAGGGAAAGGTGGGCTTCTTAATTGTCAGGCTGAACTGTTGGGAGGCAAGGCTATGGGTCGAGTTTATAATGATCGTTTAATGTTGTTATTTTTCTAGTTGCATTTATTTTTGTAGAAAAAAGTGCAATACACTTTGGATCTATGTAGTGTCTACATGTGACCGTCACTGCGGGATAGATGAAGGGGGTGCCCAGGACCAGTGCAGATTTCACTCGCCACTGATGTTCGCTGTCAGTGGGAATTAAAACACGAGTCACCTGGTTCATAAAACAGTGCACTAACCACTGCCACCACTCCCCCATTTATTTATATGATTTTTTTATAAATACAAGTTGACACATGTTCAACCATCATGATTATTCAGGAATATAACCATGCTTTGCCATATGAGATATTGCGCCAGTCACATGACTTTATTTTGTACTTATTTCCATTTGTACAATTTACCTGGGTAATATATTTGTTTAAAACTGGTTCTTAAAATGTTTATGGTTATGCTCCTTATCTGCCCTTGAATTGGGATGCCTATTTGGCATAAAAAAAAGAGACGTGCTGTTGCTTGACGTGTAGCGTACGCTCTCTGCGTGGCGATTGCATTGCAGGTGGAGACTCGGGTAGCTCGGCGGGTTCCAGCCCCGAGTACGCCCCTTCGATCGTAGAGGATGGGAGCCCCAGGAATTCCTCCAGAGAGGACGAAAACTACATGTGCCCCCCATCGATCGGGTCTGACCTCTTGTCCAGCCTCACTCCAGCTCACACAGCGCAGCCCGCGGACCCTGTGCCTGTGACCTCCTCCATTGTGCGTGATGACTTGCGAGCTCACCCTGAGCGGCCCACTGATCAGGTTCAATCTGGCTCGGAGCCGGACGCATCGAGCGCCAGGATGCCGCTTCCTGGTGTGGGGCATCTCCTCTCGGGGCCCAGTAGGGAAGCAATAGCGACTGAGGCCGGCGACGGCTCGGCGGACAGGCCGCCCCTTTATTCGGCAGAAACGAGCTACGCCTACAACTACGGCCCCGTAAATGAACGGTCCGCAAAGTGTCCACCCGACAGCTCGTGTAACTTCTCGTCCAGTCCTCTGAGGAAGCACCAGAAGCCGCCCTGGCAGGACCGTCCCAATAACGCTCCGGGGCGCAGTTTGACGGATGACGCGAGGATTCAAATTTGCGCGAGCCATAGCGGTGCGACGGCACTAGGCGGCCTCGGAGAGAATGGTGCGAGCAGCGTCATCTCCGGGCTGCTGAGCCGCCCCGCCTCATCCGGATTCCACAAACACCGCAACTCAAACGCCGCCTCCAGGTGTAACGGGACTCAAGACACCGCCGCCTGCGAAAGGTCATCTTTCAACGCATCCGAACGAGACACCTGGCACAGGTCCGGTCTGTCCTCTCCGCAAATGAACGGCTTGCACAGGTATATGGCCGCAGCCTCCGAACGGCACAGCGTTCGCATGTTATCGGCAGAAGCAGCATCGGGGTTTGATGTGCCTACCAAAGGCTGGAGAGAGTGCCCAGTCGGCAGCCAATCTACCTCGTCGACGCACAAAGTGGCCTCAACCCTCGAGAATAAACGCGCGGCCTCCAGCCCTACCCTCAACGCCGGGCTGAGAGCGGCTTTGCTTTCATTTGATAACGAAACATCGGACAATTCTCGGTCGGAGGAGGATGTCATGGTGACTGTGAGGCGATCAGGACTGGGTGCTGCTGTATTTGGCGCTCAGAGACACGCAGCAGACGGGTCAGCGGCAGCAACGGCTAGATTTGGAGGAAGTGCGTTTACATCCGCTAACAACATGGGTCCCAAAAACGATGTTTGGCAGAGGCAGGACTGAGTCCACTAACCACATGTCCAAAAGGAAAAACTTTGCCTCGGACTCATCCCTAAGAATATCGCCATCCCGGATGAGTTCTGTCGGTAGTGAGGGCAGATTCAGGGAAGCACTGACTGCCCGGCAACATGATGACGCAAACTGCGGTAGCTACTCCGTCAGGGATGGGCAGGACCACAGGCTATCATTTGTGTGCCGACCGGAATCGCCGAGTTGCGATTTGTCCAGCATGGACATGGTGGGCCGGAGCTCCACTACGCTCTCTGCCGAGACGAAAGGACTCTCCGCCGACGTTCTCTCGGCTGCTCTACGATCCGTGGGAACCTCGGTATCGGTCGCAGATAAATCCGGATCTGTTAGTGAGTGTGCGGCTCATAACGACAGGATGGAATCTGGTGTAAATGTGAATGGGTCTGCTTCGGCGGTAGCTGCTGCTGCTTCTGTTGCTGCTACCCACAGCCCCACGGAAGATGAAATGGCACCAGCCGCAAGCTCAACTGATGCAGAAGCAGCAGCAGAAGCAGCAGAAGCAGAGTCCGTCACAGGACCCATCCAAAGCAGTGCGCCGGGAGGAGCAGCAGCAGCAGGTGGTGGTGGTGGTGGAGGAGGCGGCGGGGGAGGCGGAGGCGGAGCATCGCGCTCCTTCCAGAACCTGGCACAGCGCCTGGGAGCGCCACGCCACCATCCTCACTCGCTGAGCCTCGGCAAGCCGCTCTACCAGAGCCTCAACTGCAAACCCATGCGCATGTACGTGCTGGAGGTGGGGCAGGCACGCTCGAGCAGGCGTGTGGCGTGGAAGGGCCTTTCCTGCCGCTCAGTGGTGGGGCCACCCGAGACCAGCCTCCACACGGTGGTGCGCGGCCGGGGGGAGCTCATAATCTTCGGCGGGCTGGTGGACCGCAAGCAGAACGTGAAATACTATCCCAAAACCAACGCCCTGTACTTCGTTAGGGCCAAGAGGTAACAGCGAGGTGGCGGTGCCCAGGCAACGACGATGTTCCCCCAGCCCCCCACCGTCCCTTTGCCGCCTTTTGTGTATGCCGGTCCGTGGATTGGTGCTGCTTGTTTTGACGTCATCTTTTTCATGGAAATGTTCCTTCTGCTGAACCTCGCCCATGGAATCTCGTTATTAATAGGATTTTAGGAACTAATTAATTCGCATTTTGTTACTTTTCGTTATTCTGAAGTGCAGTTTTTAACGTGCGTCGTGACGTCCGCCGACCCATGTACAACGTCGACGTTTACCTGTTCGTGTTCATTTTGGTTTTGCATACGGATTACCGTTTTGCTTGAGGGGGTTTAGCACTGGCTCGTTTTGAAGCCTGCACTGGAGGGGTTCGATGTTTCCGGCGGTAGCAGATTCTCTCTGTGTTGTTTCTCTGTGCCATTGATATGCAATATTAAAAACATTTATTGAACGGGACAACCTTACTTCATATTTATGGTAATCTTTAATTTAAAAGAAAAACACTAGTTTTGCCTTCATTTGTCGAGAGCACAATGCAAACGTACAAAGCCCCTGCACAGCTTGGAAACGGTGTTGAAGTAATTAACGCAGTTGGTTGTTGATACATGTGAGAGCAATTGTTAAATTTGCTTTAGAACCCTTTCATATTTCGTTCCTTTTTATCCCTATTTCACATTCTTTGCCATGACAGAAATATGAAGATAGTGAAAATGTTGTCTTTTGTCAATCCACTTGTGGATTAAGGCCTTCCCAAAGAAGATAGTTCTTTACCACACTGTGCAGTGTGGGTTGGTGAAGCGAGAAGGGGCGGGGGGGGGGGTCAGGACCCACTCACTATTGATGTTAGCTGCGGCCGCGAATCAAACTCAGGTCGCTGGGTTCATAGTGCAGTGAGCAAACCACCGCACCACTGCCCCCTCCACAGATATATCCTTTCACAGTTCCCACAGCATGGACTGCATCGTCGCACCCTGTCGGGAATCAATCCCTGGATAAATGTCACTAATATTTTTGAAGTAACCTCACTGATGCACAATATTAAACTTCAATTGTGTACACTTAGACTGTAGATTGTTGAATACGTGAAACACTAAAAAAAATGTTTGTACAAGGAGCTGAAATGAGTGACGTAAAGTGAAAAGCCAAATTTAACGCGATAATTTTGCGCGCAATAATTTGCGATGAGGCCCGAAAGACTTCAACCGAACTACATTCGACCAATGTGGTTTAAGCGTGGGGCGCATTCCCAGAGTCACGGTGGTGGTGGGCTTTAGATATGACCATTCGTCCTGCAGGCCATCCACATTGCTCGTGTTCAACCTCCTAATGAGACAATTTCGTGACGACTGTACTTCATAAGATGGTGCTAAGATGTGTGTTGGATTGGCAGTGGGAGCCCCATTCTGTCCTGGAGTATAGTGAGATCCGTTAACGATATTAGGTGGACTCTCTTGCCTTTGCCGACGCTGTGATAATGGTGGAAGTTTGAAACTTGTGAACACTTTGATAACACACGGTACAAAGCTTGGACGCAGAGATGCAAAAAGACTCGATGTTTAACTTAAAATAAAAAAACACAATTCAGCCCCTCCATGGGTGTTCCTCTCAATTTTACATTTCACGATTCAGCTGTCTTAATGCCTGTCACAATTCTGTACTACCTGCTTAGGTTTGCACAGTTGTGCCGTATAAGCGCTTCGATGTGTTGTTCTGCACTTGTAACTTGCGAGTTGCAATCACCTTGAGATACAAAAGAAAAATCCGATACCACGTTGCAGAAAATCACTTCTGCATTGTGCGATGCCAACATTTGTTGTGCTGTGGAGTGGACGGACTCCCTGCCACAGAAATGTTGAAATTCCACCACCAGTCGGGAAGTAAACCATCTCACACACATTTGGCAAAGCAGCTTAAAAGGTCAAAAATGTATTCCAGCATCTCAAATTCAACAGCCAAAAGAAGAAAAAAACACGCTTTTGAACAAAATATACAGACAAGCTGTCTACATCAAAACAACTGGAATCCCAGCATGGTTTGCATGTCCGCCTGCCATCCCGTGTTTAATTCCATTTTCAAATGAAGAAAATGCTTGAACGTAACTACAATGTTAGTCTCCCCCAGAATTAACTTATTTTTATGATGGGAAATTTTATTTTTTTGCAGTAGCTGAATAGTACGCGAATTATCATATAACAGCGCTGCCATGCTGTGATCTTGTTTTTGTTAACACACTGGACTTGCAATGCGGATGTTGCTGGTTGGATTCCATCTCCCGGTGCGGCAGTTGACACGTGGAACAAGCGTCTTAGATGATCTGTCGCCTCTGTCCCACCCGGCAGTATAAATGGGTACACCACAAGTCAATTTTCAGATCACGTATGGCAGGGTAAATTGGGTACTTCCACCTCTCTTCTGGCTTTTGACTAACCATCGAAGACCATGAGCAATGGACTTTTAAATTTAGATTGAAAACTCTGAAAACGTTTTGTGTTCAGTTTGTTTTCCTTCCTTCTCCAATGATCACTGTTGGCTACATAGCGTGTGAAAGAAGTTCAACATACGTCTGACCAGCGAAGGCCGATATACCACCTAGAGGGTCTGTATAGAGCTCCATCTCGTCATAACCTTGTCGGCCAGCAGTAGCATGAGCAAGCAATTACAGGGCTGCACTTTTGCCCCTTACATTACATACCAACTCAACATAATATGGCAACAAGAGTCAGCCGTTTGTATGGCTCTTGTACGACAACCAGGGCTGCACAATACCGTTCATGTCCTTTTTCATCATTCACTTCTGGTCCATGCTGCACCAATGTTCTCTGCACAATCGAATAATCCCAAGCTTGTGCATTTCCAACAGGCTGTGCGATCACTGAATCCAGGAAGCGATTCGCTGTTGGAGGTCATAAGATAATTACCATAGAGCAGGTTGATCTCGAGGTGTCGTTTGGATATGCGTGAACATATCGGCATAGTGATTTCACACCTTTTTGCAATATTGGGGGAGCGGTGGTGCAGTGGTTAGCACACTGCGCTCTCGACCTTGCGACCTGGATTTCATTACCAGTAGCAGCTAACATCAGTTCCAATTCCCCCCCCCCCCCCCCCCGACTTCACAAACACACCGTCCAGTGTGGTGAAATGCGGTCAAACAACCTCCCATGATATGGCGCGGGGAGGTTTTTTTTTTATCCAGCTGTGGATTAACGGGTTGTAAATTGTTACATCAATTGCAATGCAACGTATTGTCATCCAATCTTATTGTACTACACAACTCGGGGTACCCACTCCACAGGGTGCCAAGATAGTGAGATGTTCATTTCCTCGTCTGGTATATGGGTTCGATCCCGACCTGTGACGCCTGTATATTTGGAGTTTGCATGTTCTTCCCATTGTCGCGTGGATTTTTCTCCGGGTCCTCCGGGTTTTCCCTCCAAATTTAAAATCAACATGTGTTTATAGTATTTGGCTGCTTTCAATTTCCACATGACAAGCCACTTCGTTGATTATATCATTTGTAGCCAGGTCACTTCTGAAAAAGAGATACTGCTTAGTGGGCCTTGGTAAAAAGAGAAAAAGTGTGCTCTGATTATGCCAATTGACCACGTGTGGTGTGAATTATCGCACGTGGCAGGATCAAACATAAGCGTAATGAGGAGTGGACCACGTGTTTCAACTGCTGCTTGAAGAGAATGACAGTGACATCCACGCTGAGACTTAACTAAAGATGCACACGTTGCCTACGACTAAACACTAAAGTAACAATTCGGAAGAAAAAAACATGCGTTGTGCGTGCATTATGGGACTACGTTAATTAGTTAAGGACTTCAGAAGTATGTAATTAGAAGTACGGAAGTCGGCGGGGTAGCTATTATGCCAAAAAATTAACCCGTAAAAACGTTTTTCACTATAAATCCTTTATATGCGTGGCATCGGGGCGGCTAGAGTCCTCTCGTCCTCTGGCTTGAGATGGCTGCCACCTATGGGTCAGATGATTGTCTGGCAGCATTAAACAATTGGTAATTAAATATTTAAAAATGTTTCCCTAAACAGTGTAAAATTTTGGAATTTTTTTTTTCACGAAAATGTATTGTCACGCACAACGAGTCTGTGTGGAAAATGTCAGCTCGATTGGATCACGGGAAGTGGGTTAAAAAACGACCGAAAAATTTGCACGGTCCTAAGCAAGTGAACTTAATATAAAGGATTTAAAAAGACCCGCAGGCCACTGGCGGTCCTCTGGTGGCCCCCGACAATACACAACGAGTGACAACACCACCCCATCATCATCAGCGTGCTGCTCATATCAAACCCCCAATGGTGTTAAATGTGTGGCAGCCCTCACACTGACGATGTGTTATCGGCAAAAGTGCCCCCCCCCCATCCCCTCTGAAAATTAGTGTTTTGGGCAATAACCCTTCCATGAATTTTGTCCAACTTTATACGAAAACAATACATTTTTTATTCGATAATCTTCATGACAGTTCTTCTGAAACCTCACAAACAGACCGACAGTCGGACATGGCTGATACATCAACGCTTAGTTGGAAATTATACGAAAAAAAACAATAGTTGTGTCATTAAACCCGACACTACCCGACACAGGCATTTAGTAAGGGTTCTCGCGTAAACAAGACGTGCTAATGCGTAGCTAGTTCAGCAAAGCTCTCGCCTAATTAGGCTGCAATTATCAGCGAAACGTCGTACTCGAATTGTAGATAGTGGCTTTACTCCAACACACCGGTGTACTGAACTAGTAACGAATTGGCACGTCTTGGTTCTTTCGGTAAAGTCACGTAGAAGGGAAATAATAAAATAATACAAATAAAACAAAATTCTCACGACGTTGCGGCCACAACGCAAGCAGCCGTCCTCAGGTGAAGAACCAAGAAGATGAATTCCCTGCAGTCACGAAAGCTTCGTATCCTTTGCAACTCGGGGTTCAAAGCGTTTATGTGTCGGCTATGTCCGACTGTCTGCAAGTCTATACACCATTGGAACCTCATTTGCCAGTAAAAAAATATGATGATTGTTTTTTTACCCTTTTATCTGGCAACAAAACTGACACCTTTTTTAAATCCTTTATATTAAGTTCGCGTGCTTGCTTGCTTGCTTAGGACCGTGCAAATCTTTCGGTCGTTTTTTAACCCACTTCCCGTGATCCAATCGAGCTGACATTTTCCACACAGACTCGTTGTGCCAGACAATTATTGTTCGTGAAAAAAAATTCCCAAAAGTTTACACTTTTTAGGCAAAAAATTTGTATTTTACATATATTCAAATAGAACGCATTCATGGCTTTGGCTGAACATCACAGTGCAAGAGCCCAGAGCGTAACCCCTTCACAGGCCGCGGTGGAGTAGCGTAGTTAGTAGCGCCCTCGCTTCCCATGCCAAAGGTCGCGGGATCGATCCCCGCGTCCTCCACAGGCGAATATATTTTTAAATCCTTTATATTAAGTTCGCTTGCTTGCTTAGGACCGTGCAAATCTTTCCCTCGTTTTTTAACCCACTTCCCGTGATCCAATCGAGCTGACATTTTCCACACAGACTCTTTGTGTGTGACAATTAATTTTTGTGAAAAAAATTTTCCAAAATTTTACACTGTTTAGGGAAAACAAATTTAATATTTAATTACCAATTGCTTAATACTGGCAGACAATCATCTGACCCATAGATTGCAGCCATCTCAAGCCAGAGGACGAGAGGACTCTAGCCGCCACGCATATAAAGGATTTAGAGTGAAAAACTTTGTTTTTACGGGTTTACTTGTTTACATCATCTGGTCCAACACCATGTGAGACTAGGCTCTAAGGAAAGCTGTCTCGGGTGTGGACCAATCAACTTCAAGGACAGTGCACATTATCAGAGTTATGTTGTTTGTTTGCATTATGACTGCAGGTATTGTGGTCAATGCAAACATGACTCCTCGTAAAAAAAGTTGTCAGTTTTGTTGCCAGATAAAAGGGTAAAAAAAACAATTATCATGTCTGCAAGTCTGTTCGAGTGCCAAGGATTCAGAGGAATTGTGAAGGTTATCCTGTTTCTATAAATTTTTATTGGATAATATTTGGTCGTGAAAGCCACTTTACTACTCAGTCCCATTCACAGCAGCCGCACCTTTACATCAGCCGCACCTTAACAACTCTTGGAACCTCTCATTTCAACCAGTCTACACAACAAAGGCTCATTCCTTGCAGCGTGCTTCAGCCACACCGAACCTCACAATGGCTCCTCCCACCCTCAACCAGTATATATACAAGGACTGTTTTCTTGGAATTTCTCTCACTTGATGCAGCAATCGTGCTGTGACGGTTCCACCTGAAGACGGAAGCTTGTGTTGCCTCCGAAACGTCATGATTTTTATTTTATTTTATTAATTTTAATTTTTTACCTACGTGACTTTACCGAAAAAACCTAAGAATATGAATCCTTGCAGTCACGAAAGCTTCAAATCTAGAATTACTACTCCTTATTAAACTGAAAAGAACGGGGGGGGGGGGGGGGCGGTGGTGAAACCGCTGACCAAATGAACATTGCAGGCGACAGAGACGAGGGTGCCAAGGCGCGTAGAGACGCCAGCTATTGTTGTGGCTGGCCCGAAGCAACAATGGTTCTGCTTGAGTGAGCGTCCCATTGAGCACGGCTCCTCCTCATTACCAGCGTGGTGGTGGTGTTGGGAGAAATCTTCTCTGCAGCGTCCCCCCCCCCCTCTTGCTCCCACGCTCACTGCAACATCGCCCGGCCTCCGTGCCCGCCACTCACAACTGGCCCAGGGTTCTCATGACCTCTGAGCCCGATTTCTTGTCAGAAGTTGCCCATATGACCCGTGAGGTTCCCACGGTTCTGCCAAACGAACAGATCTGGCCCTGTGCTCCTGTGGAAAGAGATGAAGAAGAGAGGGAGAGAGATAAAACAAGGTTTAGTGTGTGTAAAGAGAGGGTTTTGTTGTTGTTTAATGTTTGGTCCACGATATTTCCTTTACAAAAGGGATGTTGCAAGGGCACGATGTTGTGTCTGCCAGTAGAGGCAATGGCTGATATCAGAAACTTTATTTTGACTGGAGGAATCCGATGAGTTGTGAAGCAAATTAAAGATGCACCCACGGGCTAATTATAACTCGGTCCTGTCCGGTCGTGGCCTTATAATGATTTAGATTTCATCCGGCAATCTCTTCCGCTTTTCTTTCTCTGCCTTCACTCACAAATCACAGTTTCAAAATCATAATATGTATTTATACTGGAGGATCCATTGCGCTATAAAGCTATTTTTCAGATGTCCAGTAGGTGCAAGTTGTTACAACAAACAATACAAAAACACAAAAGGAGTGCAAAGTATAGTAAATGTAAATAAATCACTTTTAAATATATACAAATAAAACTAAACAAAATAGTTTTTTCTTACCAGGTAAGGCCCACTGAGCCATTAGCTTATTTTTCATAAGTGACCTGGCCACTACTGAATACAAGCAGCTAAGGGGGAACGAAAGGACTGGAAGAACATATCTTCTTGGTTCTTTTGGTAAAGTCACGTAGAATGGAAATAAAAAAAAAATAGAAATAATAAAATGTATTATGCTTAATTTTTATTATTTTATTATAATAAAAATTATAATAAAATAATAAAAATAAAACATAATAAAAAATGTATTATGTTTTATTTATTTTATTATTTCCATTCTACGTGACTTTACCGAAAGAACCAAGAAGATGAATCCCTACAGTCACGAAAGCTTTAAATGGAAGAACATAGTTTATTTTTACCCGTGGCAGACGACATGAAGGGGAGTGAATGATGTAATGTATGGGGGAAATGAACGAGATATGAGAATGGGGAACTAAGATATGGATGTAAAAGGAACGGGAAAATTAGAAAACACTGAAGTGAGCTACACAGAGCGGCGTGTGTTTTCACAGGGGGCGGGGAAAGAGGAGGGGATTCAGAGTAGGAGTGCCCACACAAGCCACGTGGTTTACAGGTGGATTGATCTGATTTCGACAGATAGGGGGGGTTTTTGCCCAGCAATTGCAGATCATTTAAATTCTTTCATTGTAAAAAAAAACATGGCATAATGTAAACGATCCGTGTAAAATAAATCTGAAAGCGTCATGAAAATCCAAAGTTTAAAAATAAAAACGAATCCGTGGTATTTGGTGAAATTTAAATGGGAAAGTGATTCGCCGAGCCACAAATGTCCCAATTACGACTTGTTTTCCGTGAGTTAGCCAGCGGGTATGTTACTTTACCGAAACTCCCAAGAATATGAATTCCTGCAGTCACGAAAGCTTTCGGTCAAGATTCGGTTCCCTCGTGTTTCGTTTAATTTCTGAACGCTTACGCGTTCGTGATCTCGTAAGCCAAGTTGAAACCTGGAGCCAGGACCCCAAGATCCTGACCCCCGTGTACCCCGAGTGACCGCAGGATCCCAAAACCGACGTGACCCCAGATCAAGTACCACGTGGGTAGGGCAGCATAGGGCAAAAAATTAAAATTAATAAAATAAATTAATTTTTTACCTACGCTACTTTACCGGAAAATAACCTAAAAATATGAATCCTTGCAGTCACGAAAGCTTCAAATCTAGAATCAGCATAGGGCAGTGTAGCAACATCCATTGTACAGTACTTCTATGTTATTTTACTTCTATGTTCCCACGTTTATGCCTTCACTAACCCCGCATTGTCCAGCGTGGTGAAGTATGTCCAACTAAACCCCCTGGACGCGCACGGCGTGGGGAAGCCCTCGTCAAGCAGTGGGTGGCACTGACAAAAAGGAGCCGCTGAAGTGAATCTTGTGTAGGGGGGTGAGGGGGGGAGGAATGAAACCGGAACTAAAACAGCGGAGCGGTGAGAAGAGGCCGGACCCTTGCGCGAGCGGGACCCGGTCCGGAAGCGGCAGTGACTCCACGTGATTCGCCGGCTACGGACACGAGGGGCGTGGAGGTGAGGGCTGGGATGGGTGAGTGGGGGTGAGTGAGGGTGAAATAGTGAGTGAGGGTGAAATAGTGAGTGAGGGTGAGAGAGGGGGTGAGAGAGAGAGGGTGGGTGAGGGGGAGAGAGGGAGAGAGGGTGGGTGAGGGGATGAGAGGGAGAGAGGGTGGGTGAGGGTGAGGGGGTGGGTGAGAGAGTGAGTGAGTGAGGGTGAGGGGGTGAGTGAGGGTGAGTGTGAGAGAGTGAGTGAGGGGGCGAGGGTGAGAGAGAGGGTGAGAGAGTGAGTGAGGGGGTGAGAGAGTGAGTGAGGGGGTGAGGGTGATTGAGGGTGAGAGAGTGAGTGAGGGTGAGAGAGTGAGTGAGGGTGAGAGAGTGAGTGGGTGAGTGAGGGGTGAGAGTGAGGGTGAGAGAGTGAGTGGGTGAGGGGGTGAGAGAGTGATTGAGGGTGAGTGAGTGAGGGGGTGAGTGAGGGGGTGAGTGAGGGTGAGGGGTGAGTGAGGGTGAAAGAGTGAGTGAGGGTGAGAGAGTGAGTGGGTGAGTGAGGGGTGAGAGTGAGGGTGAGAGAGTGAGTGGGTGAGTGAGGGGGTGAGAGAGTGATTGAGGGTGAGTGAGTGAGGGGGTGAGTGAGGGTGAGGGGTGAGTGAGGGTGAAAGAGTGAGTGAGGGTGAGAGAGTGAGTGGGTGAGGGGTGAGAGTGAGGGTGAGAGTGAGTGGGTGAGTGAGGGGGTGAGAGAGTGAGTGAGGGTGAGTGAGGGGGTGTGTGAGGGGGTGAGTGAGGCTGAAAGTGAGTGAGGGTGAGAGAGTGAGTGAGGGTGAGTGAGGGGTGAGAGTGAGGATGAGAGAGTGAGTGTGAGGGGGCGAGGATCCTGGGGTCACCTGGGGTGTGGGTAGAGTGAGAGTGAGTGAAAGTGAGTCGGTGAGGGTGAGCCAGGATGGGTGCGGGTGGATGAGTTTGAGTGAGAGCGTGTGAGGGTGAGAGAGTGAGTGGGGGCGACAGTGAGGCTGTGCATGTCTATGCTGTGTCTGCGTGTGACTGAGTTTGTGTCCCTTACGCGTGTTGTGTGTGGGCAGCGGTAGTGCAGTGGTTAGCGCACTGCACTACGAGCTCGACACGGCCAACATTAGTAACGATTAACTGAACCGGTCTCGGGTCTTCACAGGTAGACCCAGCCTGAATCAAGTACCTGATACGGTGTGGAGACAAAGGCGGTCGGGCGTGGTGTTGGCCACCCACCCCCTCGTGTGCCGTGCCGGCCTTCATAGGTGCTCGCTAACAGCACTTGCCCCTACAGTCTGTTAAGGCTATACGGGGGATCTTTGTCTTGTCTCTGGGACTGTGTCTGTATCGCTGTATGTGTGTCATTGTGCATCGTGTACCCGCATTGTCTGTCTCACAGAGCCACTGGGTCTGTCCCGTGACCTGCTGCTGCCAGTCGACACTTAAAACGTGAGCTCAAGTTTCACCTTGGCCAGCACATGACGTCCTGGTGTCATCACCGCCAATTGGTGGCGATGTCTTAGTTTGTGTGTGCCGTGCCCTCTCTCTGGTTCCACGCGTATCTTCGTGAGTGCCTATTAATTGTGCCTGCACGTGTGTCTGTTGCACGCGCTTTTCAGGAGTGCCATGCCAATGCGGGACCTTCCTTAAGATTTAGTGAGGCTTTCCTGGGTAAGATCGAGGGCATTGCGAGTTGTACCACGCACACACACGCGCAGTTAGTTATTCACACCCACAGACTTAAAGCACGCGTGCTCACACAATCGTGAGAATGTGTAGCGAATGATACCACCACGTTTCGATTTAAAGATTTCGTGACTGCAGGGATTCATCTTCTTGGTTCTTTCGGTAAAGTCATGTAGAAGGGAAATAATAAAATAATAAAAATAAAACAAATAAATAATTCTCACGACGTTTCGGCCCGACCTGTTCTTCACCTGAGGACGGCTGCTTGCATTGTGGCCGAAATGTCGTGAGAATTATTTTATTATGTTTTATTTTTATTTCGATTTAAAGCTTTCGTGACTGCAGGTATTCATCTTCTTGGTTCTTTCGGTAAAGTCACGTAGAAGGGAAGTAATAAATAATAAAAATAAAACATAATAAAATAATTATTATTATATATTTTATTGTTTTATTATTTTATTACTTCCCTTCTACGTGACTTTACCGAAAGAACCAAGAAGATTTATTTTTATTATTGTATTACTTCCCTTCTACGTGACTTTACCGAAAGAACCAAGAAGATACCACCACGCTTAAACTCTACAACAAATCACAGGCTCGCAGCTCTTAACACACTCCCCTCCGACCACCCGACATGTCATCAGAGCAGTCTCACGCTGGGACTGGCTCAGAGGTCGCAACCGGGTACCCGATACCCGTACCCTACCCGATACCCGGCTACCCGTACCCGGCCGGGTACGGGTACCCGTTTGCGACCCAGGTGCGGCCGGGTACGGGTAAGGAATCAAAACCCGTTTGCGACCTCTGGACTGGCTACGCTCTCACGCCACCACGTGGCCGCTCTTTCGCAGTACCGCTCGCGAGATGAACCCGGCTGGCTACCTGAGTTCGATTCTCAGCCACGGTGGTTACCACCATCCTTGGGGAGCGATATCTGAATCGTTCCTGGACCACCCCAAACAAAGGCAAAGATCCCCCGTGTAGCCTTAACAGGCTGCCTGGGGCAAGTGCTGTTCGCGAGCACCGATGAAGACCGGCGCGGTATACGAGGAGTTGGGTGGCCAGCACTACGCCGTGCTGGTTTTGACTCCCTAGGAGTGATATGGGCACACTGCACCGGGGACTTATTTGAGGCTGAGTCTACCTAGGGCAGGCCCAGGACCGTTTCAGATAATCGTCACTGGTGTTGGCCGCGAGCAGGAATCAAACTCCCGTCGCCAGGTTCGTTGCGCAACGTAGCGCTAACCACTGCGCCACCGCTCCCCATTCTGGACCACCCAACCACTTCACTAACCCGCACTGATGAGCGTCCTGAAGCACGGTCGTAACACCCCCATGATGGACACGGCATGGAGGGGTCTTCATACAGCAGTGTATTTACTGTTGTCTGTGTGTACAGCTGCCCGTGTGTTGTAGTAGACTGGCGTGATGCGTTTGTGGTGCGCTGCTCGAAGACTGACACCAGCTCTCCTGTTCCCCTTAAGGGTACGTGAATATTACTGGACTTTGCGAGTCAGATTGGCCTCATTGTAGATACCAGTTGATGTGTAAATTTGTATGATAATTGATACTGGTGATATTGTCACGTTGGATTACAGGACGTCCCGCAACATTTGTGATGGTTTATGGAGATGGGGTCGCATATATGATAGGCAAATGTGTGAGAGACTGTGAAGGTTGTGTTAGGGCCTATCTAAATGAATTCGACTGCGTGGGTTTTCACGGTCGTGCTATGTTGCTCTCCAGTGTGTTTTGGGTCGTGTTGTTGGCACGATGTCCGATGTTTTGCTCCACGCGATGGGAGCTTCGTCAGGAACTGAATTTCAGGAGAGGGATTGCAGAATCTCCCAGCACTTGGAGCAAACAACGTGTATGGATGTTAAACTTATTTATCGCCGTACGGAGCCAACCGTGCTAATCAGAGGTTCGGGAGTGGAATATGCGACTTTACACTGTAAAAATATAGTTGTCGATGCCACCCTCTGTATTACCTTTAAAGTTTAGAGTTGGGTCACCTAAAGACAGATTTCAAAATATTTGTGTTTAGTTGTGACCAAAAAAGTAGAACTGAAATGATTGTGCCCATGTGTTGACATTTTTAACTTGACCTTTGCCCCACCGTTAAATAATTGGCCCCAAAAGGTGAATTGTAACAAAAAATGAGCAAAGCAACTCAGAAAAACACCCAGGTGTAGTTTTTGGGCTTCGTTTATGAAAAAACCCCCAATAATAACTCCATACTTGACCGCGAAGATAACGCTCACCGGTGTGGTGTGTGTGGCTCGGTAATTGCTGTAGGGACAGGTGAGCACGCGATTACACACGCGTGGATTTTCCAAGGCTTCCAAAGAGATACAGGTGAGCTTGCCAGAGCTGCAGCGTGGCCAACAGCCCTCACAACCCACACTGCTTGGGGAAGGGGGCCTTAATCCAGCGGCCGATTGACAGAAGGGCTCTCTACGTGTGTTTCCGTGTGCACGCGTGAGCAGTTCAGTTTGCGAACTCGAATCTTGGTGACAGCAGGAATTGGATCGGCCTTCTTTGGGTGGTGGGCATATTTGCGGTATGAAAAACAAGGTACGTAAGTATACTAAAGTACACGTAATAATCATGAACGGCATTGTCAACCACTGGTGGATAAAGGCCTCCCAATGCCGTGTCGGTTAGCTCTGAAATTCGCCTATCTTTACCAACATTCTCAAACTGTTACTCCTCTTGGATGACTTTTGAGTGTCCTCATTTGGACACACGTGTGTGATCACAAGCACGTGCTTGTGTGTGTGCTTATACGCTGTGTTTGTCGTCCGTCTAGGCTTGAATGATCACATCGTTGGGCTGGGAGGTGTGAAATTTGAACTGACCGATCAGAGTGGACACAAGGTTAAGGGTCACGACCTCCTGGTCGGCCGGTGGAGCCTGCTCTACTTTGGCTTCACGCACTGCCCCGATGTGTGTCCAGAGGAAATGGAGAAAGTATCGGGCGTCGTACACACCCTCGGTACGTGAGCTTCACACGGACCGTAGAAGGGCTTCCAAAGCCACTTCGAAATAGGAGGTCACGAGAATCCATTCACGAATCCAACAATAATTCCATATCAATGACTTCATAAAATCACTTAGGGTGGTGGTCAATAATGAAAAGACTTCGAATTTTCATAGTGCAGGAATCCGCATGACTCACACCAGATCCTGTGACTCTCTTAACAAGTGGGAAATCAAGGGAAACCTGCAGTGCAGAGGTCGCAAACGGGTTTTGATTCCTTACCCGTACCCGGCCGCACCAGGGTCGCAAACGGGTACCCGTACCCGGCCGGGTACGGGTAGCCCGGTATCGGGTAGGGTACGGGTATCGGGTACCCGGTTGCGACCTCTGCTGCAGTGTGGCTACGAAGACGGTGACCAAACTGTGGGACACATCGTGCACCACAGCACATTGAAAGCCATAGGGCAAATTGCAAACTCTTGAGTGCATTGTGACATGCAGATTTCATTGCGAACGGTACGGCGCGTTGTAAACCACTGCCAACTTTGCAAATTCAACGGAGGCAGCAGCAGCAGCTGTAACTATTCACTCAGCCTCACCTGCAGCCATCTTGTGGCTTTCAAACTTGGATATAGATCTCTAAAATGTGATTCACAGAGACATATGCAAGAAGAGGTGAAGGAGTGTGTTGCTACCACACAATGACATTCCTAAACTATTTTATTTTACCAGGTAAGGCCCACTGAGCTGTGTAGCTCTTATTTTAGAAGCAACCTGGCCACGTGTGATGGCTCAATGAAGTGGCTTATATGGAAATGTATAGCAGCTAAATATTCTTCAATGGATGTTTCTAAATGTGGAGGGGAAAAACCCGGAGAAAAATGCATGCGACCATGGGGAGAACATGCAAATTCGAAATATACAGGTGTCAGGGTTGGGATCGAACTCCCGTATACCAGGCAAGAGAGTTAACATATCGCCAACCTCGCCATGTAACAGACGCAGTTATTGAACCTGACACCACGTCTCACATCCGGTGTGACAAGCACGTGTTTAGGTCCTGTGACGCGTGTATGCTGCGTGCGTGTGCTGCGTGTTGTGTGCGTGTGCTGCGTGCGTGTGCTGTGTGTTGCGTGCGTGTGCTGTGTGTTGCGTGCGTGTGCTGCGTGCGTGTGCAGACAAGGACACGAACCTGCCCAGGGTGCAGCCTGTGTTCGTGACGATCGATCCGCAGAGGGACGACGTCGCGGCTGTGGCGCAATACATAAAAGGCACGACGGGTTTCCCACCTTCACCAACCTGCTTCATTTATTATTTGCAGTGTGTTGAAGAATTTATTTTGAAATGTTGTTATGAAAGGGATGCTGCCGTGATGTTCTGTTTATCACACTGGGGTCTTTGGTTCAAACTCCTGACAATGGTCGTTGAAACAATGGAGAAAGTTTATGAAATCCTCCCCTAACCTGTCCACCCAGCAGTATAAATGGGTACAGCACATACTTAATTTGGAGCTTTCGTGACTGCAGGAATTACTCTTTGGTTCTTTTGGTAAAGTCACTTATAAAGAGAAAATAATAAATTAAATACTAGCATACGACGTTTCGATTGCAACACAAGCAATCATCATCAGGTATAAATGAAATAGAAACACAAATCTAGTATAAGTGTTGACTGTTATGTTATCCGACTCTCTGTTGTATTACATTACATTTCTAAGTATACTAGATTTGAGTTTCTATTTCATTTATATACTAGATTTGTGTTTCTATTTCATACAACAGTTAGTCGGATAACATAACAGTCAACACTGTTATGTTATCCGACTCTCTGTTGTATTACATTACATTTTCAAGTATACTAGATTTGTGTTTCTATTTCATTTATACCTGATGATGATTGCTTGTGTTGCAATCGAAACGTCGTATGCTAGTATTTAATTGATTATTTTCTCTTTATACGTGACTTTACCGAAAGAACCAAAGAGGGTACAGCACAGATGGTCGGCAGGTCGCATATGGCGGGGTAAATTATGGGTACTCCCACCTCTTCAAAGACATTTTACCTGTATGGAAGAGAAGGCCTGTTACCCTTCGAGGGCTTCGAGAGCTCCCTTGAGTGGAGGCCTATCTGCCAGCAGTGGCGTTAGCAAACAATTGCAGGGCTGCACCTTTACCTACCAGGGTCGTGTTTATTCATGATCCACATTTTTTGCCAAAATATCACCGACGTAAGTTACAGAATTATCATCATTATTGTTGTCGTTACCTGTGTACTTGGCGAGACAACCCCGTAAACTACGGCAGCTTTTGTCGCGTGCCACGCAGATTTCCACCCACGGCTGGTCGGCCTGACCGGCTCTCCGGAGCAGATCTCGTCGATCTCAAAAGCCTACCGCGTGTACGCTCAGCCCGGCCCACGTGACCCCACCGACCAGGAGTACGTGGTACGTTACACGCGGGGTCATCTACTACACACGTGCGCAGACAGAAGTGGCCGAGCGGTTCAGGGGTCGATACGCAGCTGGCATTGCTGGGATTCTTGGTTTGAATCCGGGTTTTACAGTCATCCCAAGCATGATTATTTGGTTGCTATGAACGGCCACATGATACGGCACTTAGTGGAGCCATCATTTGTGGCCAGGTCACTCGTGAAAAAAACCTAGAGAGCTCAGTGGGCCACACCTGGAAAATTTCAAGTTTAGTTTAAATTCAAGTGGGTTCTAAAGTGTAGTGAGTTAATGGTTTCAGCCAGATTACCTGTGACTGCATAAAAAAAAAAACACCATGAATTTGGATTTGCATTTAGTTTGGTTGCATTCCAGTTATGAGAAATAAAATACTGTTACAACATTTCTCTGTAACAGTACCCCCTTATATCAGGATAACAAAAGCCACCTGATGTGATCTCAGAAGTAGTTCTATGATGTCCATATCTCTGGCCATTCTCCACATGATGCTGACAGCACATTTGGAATAAAGATTGGGGAGACAACCAGTCATGAATGACGGTTGCCCATCCAAGCACTAACCAAGCCCAAACCTCAAAGCTGCTTAGCTTCTTAAATCTAACGAGATCACATGAGTAATATTCTTCCTCTGCTGGTGGACTGATGCCTATTGAGCGGGCCGGTGCTGTGATAACATTGCTCCGGGGGGGGGGGGGAAAGGAGTCGCCTAGGTAAAGAGCAATGCACCGAGACGTTTCGTTAGCTTACGGGTGCAATGTAAACGCAGGCGCTATTACAGTATCGGTGTTATTCCGGGTGACTTGGTGGCAGGCGGCGTATAGCGAATGCGGCTGACGTTCGTTCATTACCATGCGTGTGCGCGCAGGTGGACCACTCCATCATCACCTATCTCATCTGCCCGCACGGCGCCGTGCTCGAGTTTTACGACCGCTCCGTGGAGGAGGCCGTCATGGCAGAGAAAGTGCGCCAACGCTTGCGCGCACATCGCCTCTGACCACCCTGTCTCCATGGCAGCACCAAGCCAACGCTCAGAGTTGAGGCGTGGGTCCATCTTTATCCAATCAAGTTTTGCTTTTTAATTATGAACATTTTTACATGCCATACAAACAAACGTCACGGCCGTTTGTTAATCTATTGGATGAAGGACTCCTGAAACACCGTTTTTGCGTCGGTCATGGGGGTTCCGTCAACAGCACTTGACCACGAAGCACCTACGGTACAACACATTCCTGCGGAGGGAGCTGGTAGGAACGTTGGGTTGCTCGGTCAATGGCCAGGGACAACGGCGGCGTGGTGTATTCCGCAAATATGCCCGACTGAGGGCGGGCAGAAGCCGGCGTGAGTAGGTTAAACTTTGAGTTTTATAAGGGCACCACGGGCTGACCAGCCCCACCCCTCCCACCCAGCCCCTCCCCACCCTCCCCACCAAGCCCCTCCCCACACTCCCCTCCCCACCCAGCCCCTCCCCACCCTCCCCTCCCCACCCAGCCCCTCCCCTCCCCACCCAGCCCCTCCCTGCACGATGGACACAATAATCCCCTGTGGGCTGGTGTAACCAGGAGGTTCCTACCAGTATTTATTTGGCTGCCACCGCCCTCTGTTGCCCAGAACGTAGCCACGCGATGTCCCGCACCGACCGCTTCAGATCTCACTCGCCACCGACGTTACCTGTGGCTGGGAATCAACCTCGGCTCGCAGAGTTTTACATCACAATGCTGTGTTAGAGGAATCCCAGTGGAGGATGGGGTGGCGCAATGGTCACAATGATACAAGGGGTGATTCCTGACACTTGCGATGCAGTCTGGACCATTATCTTGATGGAAGGACGTCTGTGTTGAGAAGCGCAGCGGCGCGTTGGTCGTTGACTTTCACTACGAATTTGGCAATCCCGAGTTCAATTCCCATGTATGTCTGAAGCTGACGTTTACGGTGAAGTATGATCTAATAACCTCCATGCCCGACACGGTGTAGGGAAGCCTTCATCCAGCAGTGGATGAGACAAAGGACTGTATATTGTCATGAAGTTCAACACCGTTGGAATTGTTTAAAATACAAATCAGTTATTGATGTGTACCTCTGATGCTGGAAACAGGTGTTGTAGCTTAATACATAGTAACTGTGTGGTGGGTTTGTAATTGTAATGTTGAGGCTGTACAAAAACATAAAGAGACCAAGGTTTTAGATCGGGATGTCTTGTGCATTTTGTATACACAGCTGTGTCATACGCATACGGGGCTACCTGTCACAGTGGGTAAAGTTACTCTCTCTCTCCACCATTGCAAGCTCTGTAATGTGACCAGGTATCTCCCCGCTGCAGGGAATAAATACGGTCAAAGTTTGTGTTCAAGGTTATTTATGTTGTTACTCTCAGAAGTTGATCACTCCATGGACAAATTCTTGAACTCATTCCTTAAAAAAAACCGACCATGAGCAAGAATGAACAGAGCCCCTATTCTCAATTGCACTCAGCCGAATTTCTTAAGTGGTGAACATGTAATGCTTCACTTTAATGACTTTGTGTTGTTCTTTTTTTCAGCACGATGCTTTACATCTGTGTATTATTTATTTGGTGCCATTTTCAACAACTATAAAGTACCGTGGTTTACTTTCTACTTGTTTTTAATCCACATCTCCCATGCAGAAGAAACGTCACCCGTCATGCTTAACCAATGTGCACTACGCCCCCAGCTCCACTGCAGCAATCCTGAGATTGCGCGATGCCTCGCAGCAATTGTGCAATCGCAACAAGGCGATGTATCGGCAGGAAGTGGCCCTTCTTCACAGAGGGCAGTGGTATTGATTAATGTGTTCAGTTTGTTGTTTGTTACTCTTTGGTTTTTTCGGTAAAGTCACGTAGGTAAAAAGTAAATAAAATAAATGAAAACTAAATTTTTTACCTACGTGACTTTACCGAAAAAACCAAAGAGTATGAATCCTTGCAGTCACAAAAGCTTCAAATCTAGAATTGTTGTTTGTTATTTATGCTCGTGTGCATCGCTGCCAACGTAGCACTACCAAATTGTTTAATCACAGTCGAGGCGGTCACCCACTTTTAGCTTTTACGATGTCACAATGCGTTCCTGGAAACCCCGTCATAAATCGGACCCGATTGTCGCCATAGTAGAAACGGTAAAAACATTTTGTTTTCAAGCTTTCGTGGCTGTAGGGATTCATATTCTTGGTTCTTTCGGTAAAGTCACGTAGAAGGGAAACAATAAAATAATTTATTTATCGGTAAAGTCACGTGACTTTACCGAAAGAACCAAGAATAAGGTAGAAACATTGCTTGCTGATGTGTTTTTCCTTTTTGTAAGCCACATTTAACAGGGTTTAAGAAGTAAAAATCCACAAAACCACTTAGTAATAACAAAAGCTCCTAACCAAGTGACATTGGAAACCGGACCGGTTTAAAATGTGTACGGAGTTGTGTCAGAGGATGTGTCGTGAATGTAGATCGTCGTGAATTTGACAGTCCGCCTGTATGGTGATTACCAGGACCATGTGGTGCGTCATGTGACAACCCCCCGGCCTCGTTGGGAAGTCTGTCTGCCATAACCAAATCGGCAACGCAGGACAATTCCAGCAACCACCACAGAGTGAAACGCGGCACTACTATTTTCAAGCAATAAACTTTATTCACATAAACGGACAATTAGTGTTAGCAACCAAGCCTTTTATAAGACTTAAGAAATCACCTAGAAATCCAGGTCCCTCCTGCAATAAAGATCAGTTTCTATAACGATTGCCAATATCCACAGTTTTGGCGAATTTCATTTGGAATCGGCATCATTTCGGCAAAACAATCGGCGACTTTAATCAAACAAAACATTTGGACCAACGGAAATACTGCCGCTGAATAGATATCTCGCACCACAATTTCCTCTTTCAACATCGCGATTCTCACAATCGATTATGAACAAACGTGTAATAAACTAAGCATCATCAAGGGGTGGGAGTGGCGGTACAGTGGTTTGCGCACTGCGTTATGAACGAGGGGACCAGAGTTTGAATCCGAGCCACGGCTAACATCAGTGGTGACGTGTAAACCAATTCTGTTCCGCCCAGCGCGGTGAAGTTTACACCAGCCCTCGTGACCGACATGGATCTTCCTCTAACAATGGATTTGACAAATCACTACGTTTATTCATTTGACTTCGGTGTCATTCTGCTTCAATGATTTGGTCTCTGGTCACATTCTCTTCTCTGCAGCACTAAAAAGATGCCACCTCGTGCGTCTATCAGTGTTCTCTCTATGGGACTTTTGTTTTCTACTTGAACCGTTAAAACCGATGCATGCGATGCAAACATCGGTGCAAGATAAAGCAGAAAGACATCAAAGTCTGTCTGTGGTGCAAAACAACAAGTGCCTGGAGGAGGTGGAGTTATTTAACACGAAGATATTCTCAGCACCTCAAGAGTAACGTCATTATCTTGTCAATGAAATTTGAAAAGACTTTCATCTACAGCACAAGTGTGGGCTGGCCAAAATGCAGAGAGAGCGTGCGAATTTGGAACGCTTTAAAAGGCACGAAGACACAGCGCCAGGCCGGGCCGGACTGAGGTCTCTTTGCCTGTTTTTGATTGGGACCGTCATCGCCTTCCTTCACTTGCTCAGGCACATTCTCTTCATCATCACCTTCATCCTTGACGACAAGTGGTGGCTCGCTGTCGTCGGCGTCTTCGAGCATGTTGCACGGCACAGCTGAAATGAGCGGCAGGTCCGGCGAGCAACGGCACCGCAACCTCGCCACGGCCGCCCCGCCGTGGGACTCGTAGAGACGTACCACCAGCACCACCCCGGTACCTGCGTGGCCAGGCCAACCTTCGGCGAGCTTCAGCGTCTCCACGACCACGGAGGACGGCTCCACGGTGAAGAAGCCCCGCTGGGAAATCCGTTTGACACGCGGGCCGCCGCTAGGCGCAGCAGGAAGACTCCGGGACGCTTCCTCGTTGAATACCTCGGCAGGCGCAGCGTCAACGGTCAATGCCGCATCTTGCTTACTCGGGCTTTCCGGAGCAACGGAGGAAGCCATGGAGGAATTCTGGGCGCCACCCGCCACGCTGCTGGAGGACGCGCGCTGCGCTCTCAACGGATGGTTGAAGGCGCTCGCGCAGCGGATAACGCCAGCGTCCTGGAAGCTGCCTTCGTGCGGCATGGCCGCGTACGCGAACGTGTGCTCCCCCATGTCAGCCTCTGGGTCCGGCGCCTTTGGCGACCTCAGTAGCGAGAGGGACAGGACGTTGCCGCGTGCCGAGTGGCCGTACTTGCAGTCGTTGAGCAGAGCGAGGCCGAAGCCGTGCTCGCCGAGGTGAGCCCAGCGGTGGGCCCACACCTCGTAGCGCGGCCAGTCCCACGACGTGTTGCGGTGCGTCGGCCTGCGAACGTGCCCGAACTGGATCTCGTACGTGGCCTCGCCGCCGCCGCTGCGCACCGCCACGGGAAATTCCGTTTTCAGGAAACGGCGGTTTTCGTGCCAAGTGGCGGTGACGTCGAACCGAACGAATGGGCTTCCTGCGTCCAGCGAGATGTCCACGGTCGCCCGGCTACGCTCTCCCAGGTGCAGGCACGCGCGCACGGCCACGCGGATTCCCGCAGCGTCGGTGAGAACCCGGAGCGGCTCGGAGGTTCGCTCCTGAGGCTTCCGCGTCTCCAGATGGTAGTCCATGACGTCCCACGCATCCCAGTACAGCGGCACGTCGTCGAACATCACCAGCTGGTTCGCCTTTTGGCCCGGAGTCACCGCCTCCCTGCCCGACGGCTTGTGGATGAGCGAAGTCAACCGCCCCGCGCCATCCACCGACACACGGAGCAGATCATTCTCCAGGACCGCGCGGCTGTCAGACTCGTGGTGCAGTATTACAGCGAGAGACTTGGCCGCGCCGGCCAGCAGTGAGGCTTCGCTGTAGATGGAATAGCCGAAGGCCGGAACGGTGACGAGAACCAGACCAGCGGAAGCGTCTTCTTGGCCGTCTGTGCCATCGGCGTTGTCGCTGCGTCTCTCGTCGCCCTTCACATACCGACCGTAAACAATTTTAGAATTTGGGACGAATCGGTCTCTTCCGAGGTAGCCGTTCACGCCGCGGCCCGGCAACGCTGCCACCTCCGTTCTTTCCCAGCCGAGCGTGTTGAAGAACGCGATGGGGTCGCGCGGGAAGTCTCCGGCGCCCGGCTCGCGCTGCACGACGGCCGCCATGGCGTCGCGGGCGATCTGCTCCGCGTCGATCTCCACGCCGCCGTAGATTTCCTCGGCATCACGCGCTACTTGGCGCGTGCAGCTGCCAGGCAGCACATCGTGGAATTGGTTCAGCAGGACGCCCTCCCACAGGCGCGTCAGCTGCTGACGGGGATATCCCAACACCATCGCGTCGTCGCCCTCATCATCACCATCATCACCATCGTCGTCGTCATTCGCCTTGCCCTCCGTACCACCACTGGAAGCGTTGGTTCCTGGCATGGCGTTGCCGCCCTCGGAGGCGGTTCCGCTTTTACTTTCATCTCGCGTTTCGCCGCAGCCGTCTCCTGCGCGCTCAGCCGCGTACACGGGGCTCTGAGCCAGCAGCGCCAGGCAGCACAGCGCCTCCGCGTCCCTGAGCAGCGCCTCGCACCGGCGGTTTCCGCGCTTGACGCGTGCCTGCGTCGTGTACGTGCCGTTGTGCATCTCCAGAAAGAGCTCTCCACTCCAAGTGCACAGACGACCTACACCGCCGCTGCCGCCGCCGCCCCGCTCGCCCTGGTTCACCTCCGCCTCCACCGCGTTGAAGAATCGCGCGGGGGTGGAGGAGGTCGCGCGGGGCAAGCCGGCGACGTTGCGTACGCGGCGCAGCCGGTCCAGCATGGCCAGCGTGGGGCCTCCGCCGCCGTCGCCAAAGCCGTAGAGCAGGAGGGCGTGCTGCGTGCGACCCTTGTCCCGGTTGTTTGAAGCGCTTTTGAGAATTTCTTTGACGCTCACCTGGGCCGACGCGGTACAAGAGCAGCGGTTACAATGGAAATTCTTATTTGCTGCGGGTTTTTCTTTTTTATTGTCCGTTCCCCCAATTTAAACCTGATTGTGCCGTCAGCCATCACGTTATGAGATGAAGAAACCATTCGAGTCTCCAGCATCCATTCAGGTCGCTCGCAGAGAAGCAGATTTCGGAGAATTGCTTCCGACACCTCTTCAAGTGACCTCTTTTTCCACACGAGGGGAAAGCACTTTCTTTCCCACTCGCCATGCTTCAGAGTAACGTTCATTTCATGAAAAACATATCTTTAAATATCAGGGTAACGGGTTCCTCGATTAATTAATAAAAATTGATGCCTTATGCTCATGATAGCACATATAATCATACACGCCAGAATATTGTAAATGATATGCTTTAACACCTTCGGACTAATATAAAAAACAACAGACAATACAAACGGGCTGGATGATACAAACAAGACAAAACAAATGCAACAGACTAATGACACAAAGAGATTGAAAATGCAACCAAGACTATACATGCTCTAAATAATCCAAATGAAATTGACATTGCAAATGAGATGCTAATATCAGATTTCGGCTCATGGAGCGTACAAAATTGTACCAACAAGATAGAGGTTAAAAAAAGAATAGAAAAAATCCAAACCAAGTGGTAAAAATTTGAATCAAGGATTTGATTTGCGAATTGTAGCACAAAAATTGCAATCGTGACAATTAATCGAAAACACCGGAAGAGTGACTTCGATGGCGGTCTGGTGGCTGCGCTGCTGCACTGCCGCACTGCCGCACTGCCGCACTGCCGCACTGCCGCACTGCCGCACTGCCGCACTGCCGCACTGCCGCACTGCCGCACTGCCGCACTGCCGCACTTCTCTCTCCGTGGGTGGCCTCACCTTGCACTCGTAGGACTCGGCGGGGGGGAAGTGTGTGAGCACGCGCGTCCCGTCCAGCCCCTCCCAGTGGAACGTCGAGTGGGGGAACGCGTTCACCAGGTTCCAGCTCAGCTTCTGGGTCACGAACCGCCTCGCGCCGCACGACGTCATGATCTGTCGGGGATGGGGGGGGGTCAACGAGAGGTGGGCAGGCACGTTGGTCGGTTTGCCAACTGCTTTACAACTAAAGTTCAATATTGTCCTTACCCCCCCCCCCGCACCTCCGATTAGCACGGTTGGCTAGGTACGGTGCGAAAGAAGTTCGACACACGCACATATGCAGTAGCTGTCCATATGTTTGTAACGGGGATGCACGACAACTCTTGTGAAGATGATCCGATGTGAACAAAACTTGTGTGTTGCGATTAGGGACTTACCCCAATGATAATGGGCCAAATTAATACAATGGTGGCCCAAAACTTGAAAACACAAACCAGATGTGTTGGTTTATTGTACCCTCCAGTGCATCCAACGTTATTGGCAGTTCACGTGTGCTCCTGCCAATCTGGAGTGCTCTCTTCAATTGTGTTTCTCAATTCCTTTGGAACTTCGTTCCTTTCGCAACGTCATCGACGATTTGCATTTGTTGGGCGCCGAAATGCCTCGGCATCTCACAGAGCCTTACATCACCTCTCATCCCATTCATTCCAATGCCCAACAAAAGGTTGGGGGGACCCCCCTGACAAAAGCTGTCCCTGTATGGCACAAGGTGATGGCAGCAGTGGCTTGCAAGTGGGCATTCATTTGTCAATAGGGGGGCGAGGTTGCTTCCGATTATGTGATGTGTTGGTAAGTTTGAGGACGCTCAAGTGAGACGTCTAAGGGTTAGCACCCTGCACTTGCAATGCAGAGGTCGCCGGTTCAATCTCCCGGTGCCGAAGTTCAAACAACGGGGAAAGTTTCTCAATTCCCCACCACTGCCTGTCCACCCGGCAGTATAGGTGGGAACACCGCAGTTAGTCGATGAACAGGGCACGTGCGATGGAAGTAAAGTGTGAGTACGCGCACCTCTTCCTGCATGTCTGATCAACGTGGAATAGCCAAATACCTTCGCAACAAGACGTGTACTACCTCGCCTGGTATACAGCAGGTTTGTGGGTTCCATCCCGACCCTGGCGTCTGTATGTTTGGAGTTTGCATGTTCTCCCCATGGTCACCTGGATTTTTCTCCGGATCCTCCCGCTTTTTTCCCTCCACATTTATAAACATGCGTTTAAGAGTATTTGGCTGCTATATATTTCCACACGATAAGCCACTTCGTTGAGCTATCATTTGTGGCCAGGTTGCTTCTGAAAAAGAGCGACACAGCTCAGTGGGCCTCACCTGGTGAAATAAACATAGTTTAGTTTAGTAATGTCATTGTGTGGTAGCAACACACTCCTTCACTACTTCTTGCATATGGCTCTGTGCATCACATCTTAGAGATCTATATCCAAGATTTAAAGCCACGCAATGACAGGTGAGACTGAGTGAATCGCTGCAGCTACTGCTGCCTCCGTTGAATTTGTGAAGTTGGAAGTGGTTTACAATGCGTTTCTGAAAAAGAGCTATATTACGCAGTGGGCCTTGATAAAAATAAAAAGTGGAGGCCCTACCGCCAGCAATGGCGCGAGCAAGCAATTGCAGGGCCGCGCCTTTAACCTTTGCTTAACCACGCGACGCACCAGTTGGCTCGGGTCACCTGCGGCAGCTGTGCGGAGTATCCGAAGGTGTCGGGCAACCAGAACTCGTCGCAGCGGGCACCAAACTCGTGCAGGAAGAAGCGCTGTCCCAGCAGGAACTGGCGCACGAGGGACTCGCCCGACGGGAGGTTCCCGTCAAACTCCACCCACGTGCCGCCCACGGGCACGAAGGCCCCGCGCGCCACCGCGGCGCGCACACGCGGATACAGCGAGCGCGGGTAGCGCCGCTTCAGCCAGCTCAGCTGCTGGGCCTGCAGGGAGATGGGAGAGGGGGTGCGGGTAAGAGGACGAGCAGATGAAGAGGTCAGAGGATGGCGGTTAAGTACAACGTCGCGTATCCGACCGTTGGATATTTCACGATCACACAGGGTCATCATGGTGGCGAGATGTTATCTGCCTTGTCTGGTATACAAGAGGTCGTGGGTTCGATCCCGACCATAACGCCGGTTTTATATTTGGAGTTTGCGTGTCTCTCTCTCCCTGTGGTCACATGGATTTTTCCCTGGGTCCTCCGGTTTTTCCATCTACATTTAGAATGGACATACGTTTAGGGTATTTGGCTGCTATAAATGACCACGTGATAAGTCACTTTGTTGAGCTGTCATTTGTGGCGAGGTCACTTCTGAAAAAGAGCAATATAGCTCAGTGGGCCTTACCTGGTAAAGTAAATATAGTAAAGTTTTTAATTTACATATCCACCCTAAACCCCGCAGCCCTATGATTGCCTGTTGTGGTCACCCATCCGAGCCTTATACAGATTTTCCTGCTTAGCTTGTGTGATCTGATGACATCGGGCACATGTTTTAGTGAGGTTTATCTCTTAAGGCTTTTGGGTTAAATTCTCGACTGTACACAACTAACTAATGTCTCTTTTATCATCCTCCTTCCCTTCTTGTCCAAACTGTGACAATGTACTCTGCACAAATAGCCCAATCAAGTAGGTGAACTGAATGCTGAGATGAGTCCCCAAAGCAACAAAAAGTACGTAATTCTAAGCCGCTGAAAATACAACAGACTGTGTGCAATTATCGTCACCGGAGGTCAGAAGTTCATTGCCACAGAATATAACCTCATGGTTTCATTAATGTACACAGACACACTGTTACACACACTTCTGCAGGATAAATAAAGATTCTGATTTGGATGCTGCCGTGGTGAAACGTTTATAGTCTCGATTCCCTCCATCTCACTCCCACCTCACTCTGTTCCTTACCTGCGAGCACACGAACGTAAACTCGGGGTCACGATCCATGAGCTGCAGGGTGGTGGCCCAGCTGCGCGCGCACTTGCGCACCGTCTCCTCGTAGGGCCAGAGCCATGCCGTGTCGATGTGACAGTGTCCCATGGCGTGCACCACCGTTCCCGGAGCCGCCCCTCTCTCCTTCCCGTGGCCGCACCCGGGCCACGGCTCGGAGAAAAATGCCCCCGAGATAGCTCGGGCGTGCCGCACCCACTCCCGCGTGTCGCCACCGTCGTCGCCGGCCGGCGCGGCCCCTGCCGGGCCGGGCCGTGGAGCATCCGCGCAGGCGCTCACAACGGCGTTGCCGCAGTAGAGGGCACGGTAGCCAAGCTGCTCGCCGCCACGTCCATCCGCCTCTCCTGCCAGGCCGCAAGCCACCTCGTAGATCACCTCCAGATCCGTCAGCAGCTCGTACACGTCGCGCCGGAACAGCGCCACTGCCGCGCGCTTCAGCGCAAACTTCCGCTCAGGGTCCGGCGGTGCGATCATGGAGCCCTTGCCGGCGCCGAACAGGCCGTTGCACGCCATCTCCACGTAGGCTGTGAAGGAGCGCGCCGGTGGCAGGGATTTTTTCGTGGACGTCGTGAGGTCGATTGGCGCGGAGGTTTTCCCGGTCGCCGACTCGTTTCCCGCGTCCTTCCTTCTGCCGCTCGCATCCTCGGCCGTGCCGGAGAATCCTGCCGCTGACGACGACGGTGACGGGGGGGTCCTGCGTCTCGCCCGCCCAACGACGTAGCTGGTCTTCTCGCCCTCTGTCGTGAGGCCTGCCACGGGCTGCCCGTCTCGAAACAGGAGGCACTCGCCCTCGCACTCCCACAGCAGGTGAACCTCGTCACACTCGGCGGCGGCGTCGTCATCGTCGTCACCAGATTTGCACGTCCACTCCTCCGGGACCTCCACGTGTACTTGGAACCAGTGTGTGGACCAGCTGAGGGGGGAAACACGGCTGTGTGTTTGCAACTAATTGTGTGCTGCTCAGACAAGGGGTACACGTAAAATAAACCTGTTGGGAGTGTGTACATAAGGACATGGCAATGGGGGGAGGAACTTGCACCCATTGTTGCAACTGCCACGCCTGGAGATGGAACTGAGCCGGCATATTGGAAGCCTGGTGCGCTAACCATACAACCGCCGCAGCAGAATCCAACAGGAATCGACCGGCGAGTGTAAATACGATGCAATCATCATTTGAGAATTCCATGGCCTTCGATGTGCAGTGCAACCACGGTGTACAGCGAGTAAGTAGTAGTGGTGAAGAGAGCTTGTGTGTGTGTGTCTTTGTGCGTGCGTGTGGGAACGTACGTGGGTCCATAGGAATCCCCGACCTGCGTCTTCTCGTACGTAGCAGACTGGGCGTCCTGGAAGGAAATGCGTCCTCCAGCATGATGCACCGCCAATCCAGATACCGGCCGGGCATCTTCATACAGCCTGTATCACCAAAAGCAAAGATGCCCCCCCCTATAGCTGTAACAGAGTATTGGGGCAAGTGCTGTTAGCGATACCTATGAAGGTCAACATGGCACTCGAAGGAGTGGGTGACCAGCACCATGTACTCATTTAACGCTGAGTCGACCCTAAGGGAGGCCTCGAACCGGTTCAAATATCTGTAACCCAGTTTGGTATGTGGTGAGCAGGAATCGAACGTCGGGTCGCCGGGTTTGAAGCATGGTGCGCTAACCACTGCGCCACCACTCCGCACAGCATCGCAACACCCAATACAACCCAGTGGTGTAACCTCTCAGGTGTGCAGGCGGTGCAACTGCACCGGGGCCTACGGGCTGGATAGGGGCCAGGCATTGGGCTATGCAATCTGACCGATTCCCACGCTCCATCTCCACACCCGTGGTCACCCAGTTCATATGCACATCAGGTGTAAACGTGCGGCAGGTAACGGATACGAAGCACGTGTTTAATGTCGATTACAATCCACGACCTGGGTTCGATTCCACGGCTAACATGAGTGTTCAAATTCATGTATTAGGTAGAGCCCTGTGTGTCATTCGGCTCTTCAAGTTCAAGCTCATGTATTAGGTATAGCCATGTGAGCCATTCGGCTCTTGAATCGGGTGCAACCGCAACAAACAAAAAACATGAACAAAAAACATCTTAAAGTGAATATGGAACTAAGTGCAAACAAAAAATCCAAGACAGCAATATATTGCAGAAAAAAACATCGTAACCCAACGCTGTGTGCAAAAATCCCAGTGGGATGCAAGTCAAACAACAACAACCACAAGACAACTTAGATTAAGGCCATCAGTCTAACTCTGTACTACAACAAACAAACATGAGTGGGGAGTGATAACGCCCGTGGGAAGGCCTCCATCCAGCAGTGGATTGACAATGGGCCTGTAAATGATAGTTTTCTCAAGTTAATCTTCACTAACTTACACCCCACGCCGCTGCACTTTAACCGCAGTTAAAAAATTAACAAACATCCTAAAGGTGGCGGGGGGTGCAGGTGGTGAAGGCCACCAGGACCGGTGAAGTCAATATACCGGTCCAGTATAACCAGGTATAAGTTTCAAGTTTCATGTATTAGGTGTAGCCCTGTGAGCCATTCGGCTCTTGAATCGGGTGCAACCGCAACAAACAAAACACATGAACAAGAAAACATCTTAAAGTGAATATGTGACTGAGTGCAAACAGAAAATCCAAGAAAAGACAGCAAAATGTTGCAGAAAAAGCACCGTACACCAACGCTGTGTGCAAAAATCCCAGTGGGATGCAAGTCAATAACAATGTACACAGCAACACAGCCCTTAGTCGCTCCACTGCTGGATGAAGGCCTGGTGGATTGGAAGGCGAGACATGTTTGGCCACACCTCACACTTCACCACGTACAGCATGTACAGTACTGTATGTTGAACTTTTTTCGCACCGTATGTAGCCAACCGCGCTAATCGGAGGTGTGCCAGGCTAGGTGCACGTGCAGTGCAGGTGACACACACACGCGCCGCGCTTTACCTGCCCCGCAGGTTCACGTCGGTGAAGTAGAGAGGCGACAGCGCCTTCTCGATGCGCTCGAGCGCCGTGCGCTTGTTCTTGATGTGGAATTCGGCCATTGCAGCCGGAAACGTCTCTCTCTCGCGGGAGGGGCGGAGCCAGAGACCCAAGAGGCGTGGCCAGAGAATTAGGGGCGGAGCCAGAGACCCAAGAGGCGTGGCCAGAGAATTAGGGGCGGGGCCAGAGAATTAGGGGCGGGGCCAGAGAATTAGGGGCGTGCCAGAGAATTAGGGGGCGGAGCCATAGAATTAGGAGGCGTGGCCAGAGAATTAGGGGCGTGGCCAGAGAACTAGGGGCGTGGCCAGATAATTAGGAGGCGTGGCCAGAGAACTAGGGGCGTGGCCAGAGAATTAGGGGCGGGGCCAGAGAATCAGGAGGCGGGGCCAGAGAATAAGGGGCGGGGCCAGAGAATTAGGGGCGTGGCCAGAGAATTAGGAGGCGTGGCCAGAGAATTAGGGGCGTGGCCAGAGAATTAGGAGGCGGGGCCAGAGAATTAGGGGCGTGGCCAGAGAATTAGGAGGCGTGGCCAGAGAATTAGGGGCGGGCCAGAGAATTAGGGGCGGGGCCAGAGAATTAGGAGGCGGGGCCAGGGAATTAGAGGCGTGGCCAGAGAATTAGGAGGCGTGGCCAGAGAATTAGGGGCGGGGTCAGAGAATTAGGAGGCGGGGCCAGAGAATTAGGGGCGTGGCCAGAGAACTAGGGGCGTGGCCAGAGAATTAGGGGCGGGGCCAGAGAATTAAGGAGCGGGGCCAGAGAATTAGGGGGCGGGGCTAGAGAATTAGGGGCGGGGCCAGAGAATTAGGGACGGGGCCAGAGAATTAGGGGCGTGGCCAGAGAATTAGGGGCGGGGCCAGAGAATTAGGGGGCGGGGCTAGAGAATCGGGGGGGGGGGTCCGAACAAAAGAGGTGGGACCCAGAGAAGCGGGGAGAGGGGTAGGATAATTAGGTAGGCGTGAAAAAAAACTTAATTTGGAACTTTCGTGGCTGCAGGAATTACTCTTTGGTTCTTTCGGTAAAGTCAGGTATAAAGATAAAATAAAAAATTAAATACTAGCATATGTATGGCAGTATTTAATTTATTATTTTTTCATTTTAAGTATAAAGATAAAATAATAAATTAAATACTAGCATACATACTAGTATTTAATTTATTCTTTTATCTTTATATGCATGGAAGTTTTTTTTATTTTAAGTATAAAGATAAATAAAATACTAGCATACATATGCAAGTATTTAATTATACGTGACTTTACCGAAAGAACCAAAGAGTAGGTAGGCGTGGTCAAATAATTAAGAGGATTAAATAATTAGGGGGCGGGGGCTAGAGAATCAGAATCTTTATTGATTTGAAGCTTTCGTGACTGCAGGAATCCATTCTCTTTGGTTCTTTCGGTAAAGTCACGGAGGTATAAATATTTATTTATTTTATTTTCTACCTACGTGACTTTACCGAAAGAACCAAAGAGTAATCAGAATCTGTGTTTAGACTGGAGGTGGGGATCCGATGAAGCCCTTATTTACACAAATATGGGCACGGGGGTCCAGCAAGTTACAACAGCAAACAATACAAAACAAACGGTAGGAGAGTGCATTGTCTAACACACTTGGACCGCCCTCTCGCCATCAGCTCCATCTCTGCCCCCTCCTTTCCCCCCAATGTCTAACGCACGACTTGTACATGAACACGACTTGGACTTGTGGTGCTTTGCTCCGACATTGGCGCTAGCTGCTCCGCCCATGCTGTTGACGCCGCACAGAAGCAGGGGCATTTATGGCTTGCTCCCTCTTTTCTCTCCGCCTGGTGAAGACCTCTTGTGTTGCGATCGAAACGTCGTGGGTTTTTTGCTTTTATTATTTTAAATTTATATATTTTTGCAAAAAAAAATTCTTCAAATTTTTATTTATTTTATTTTCTACCTACGTGAACCAAAGAGTAATCAGAATCTTGGTTTAGACTGGAGGAGGGGATCCGATGAAGCCCTTATTTACACAAATATGGGCACGGGGGTCCAGCAAGTTACAACAGCAAACAATACAAAAAAATTCTTCAAATTTGTTTTTTCTATGTACGTGACTCTATATACCAAACTTTACTCCACCGCATGCGACCTGCCGGTCGATCAGCCGTGACGTTCCCCACGTTTACTGCTGGGTGGGCAGAGGCGGAGGAGGAATTGAATTTAAGAAACTTGCACGGTTTTAACTTCCGTGTCAGGGGATCGAACAAGACCAGAGTGTTGACCATTAACCCCAATGGGGCATCCCAGCTCCGTGTAGTAATGCACACACACGATAACGTTGCACTGCAATACAATTCTTACACTGTGTAAAGAAATAAGAAACTCATCAGAAGGAATAAATGTGGACAGACCTGAAATTACGCAGTCTTTCATTAATGTTATGAAGCATAAGTACGATACAGCCATCATTTATTTCTACTGCCACTTATGCAATTTCGTTTTTAATTTTGTCTTTACAAAAAAAACGAATGGCAATGTGTGACCCAGGTGTAGCTATAGAGGTCTATTTAATTGACGACAGACTGTAATGCATAGCTGTCAACCCATAGGGTTTACCCCGTATTCTTGTACAGGGACATCGAGTTTCCAGGTCCACACGACGTACAGCCGTTTCAATACAGGCAAAAGATTTGTCTATTTGTGTTTCTCCCTTGTGATGAGACTTTGTCGGATGAACGTTGATATTTATAAGGACACGGGGAGACTAATAAGGTCTGAATTGGTCTGCAATAAGGTAGGGCACTGATAAGGGGTTGACAGGTATGGTAATGTCATCTTTGAGGGCCGTTTACCAATCAAGGGTGGTAACACTTCTCACTGCGAGACTTCAAAACGGAAATGGATTTAATCCTGTGGCGTGACGCCAACAGTACACGTGTTCCCAGATGGTATGATAAATCATAGATAAGATTTATTAAAGTTGTAACTAAAATATTATTTCAGGTTTTTTGACAATTGCATATTTGTCGTTGCCCAGGCCTCGCCCATCCTGGCTCAAAAACTCAATGAACGAACAGTAACGATTGTAATATAATCTTGGTGAAAACGCACATAACATATATTTTTTGGGGGGTTAGATCACGTAAATATTATTCTATAATATTATTATATTATAATATTATTTTACTATGTTGTATTTTTTTATTTTATTATTTCCATTTTACGTGACTTTACCAAAAGAACCAAGAAGATGAATCCCTGCAGTTACGAAAGCTTTAAATCGAAATATAAACGTGTCGTTAAACCCGCCACCACCCGGCAGCCAATTAGTAAAGTTTGTCACGTCAACAAAACAGACAGCTTTGTGCTGGCTGTCGCCGATGATGCCAGTTGTAATTAATGGGGAAACGTCGCGGTCATCGAATTGAAAATGTTGTGGGTTTACTCTCCAACACACACAACTAGTAACAAATCGGCATTTTTCGTTTACGTGACAACCCTTACTAATTGGCTGTCAGGTGGTGGTGGGTTTCACGACGCATTTATATGCATGCGCTCTCACCCAAAAAACATACTGAAAGCTGCAATAAAACACAAACGTTCTTTTTATAAGACAACTTTTTAATAAACATTCACAAATGCGTGATAGTAAATCATAGTCCAGTAGATTGGCGAAAGCGTTTTCAAAAACGGGCCTCCCTGTATAAAAAATATTTCACATCTCTTCCCAAGTCTTATTTATTGTTTTTTTTTTAAACAGTATAATAAAACTGGCTCTTAAAGTGCATTGTATGCATATACAATATATACTATATATAAAACAAGTAACCGGAGTAAATGTTATTAAAGTGGAATGTACACTCTTTTAAACAGCTCAATAAGCCGACAGTGAATTTGTGTATACGCATGGCGTATAGTTGTTGCTGTACATCTGGATAATTAATTTTTGGCAACTTTTAAAAGACATTTTAACGATAAGTAGAGCGAATTTGCATGGCGATGAGCTTGGAAAGGCCCCATTCAGCAGCTATGATGAGGATGATATCCATGTAGGTTTGGGGTGGCATGACCCCACCCGTTCACACTTATCCGATTATTTTTTTGTAACCACCTCAAACGAGAATTCTTCACACTCCAGTCCTTGCGACAAACCATGGGAGGTCGTATTTTACAATTCACCTCTATTAGAATACAAATCAAGTCGTTACACGCTGCACGCAAGTGATGATTGCTAAAACATATTCCGTGGATTCAAATTAAGAGAGATCATGTGTGTGTGTCTGTAAACATCAGCGGTTGCGTAACGGTGAGTGCGCTGCACTACGAACCCATCGACCAGGGTTCGATTCCTGCTCACGGCCAATACAAGTGACTTTTATCTGAACTGGTCCTGGGCCTCCCCTAGGTCGACTCAGCCTCAATTCAGTACCTGGTGCGATGTTTAAAAACACTGCCACTCGGGAGACAAATGCGGCCCGGCGTGCGGCCGGGCAGGGTGCTGGCCACCCACCCCCTCATGTGCCAGTCCGGCGTTCATAGGTGCTACTTCTAACAGCACTTGCCCCAACAGTTTGTTTAGGTTCTACGGGGAATCTTTTTCTTTGGAAACATCAGCACAGGGGAGACAAAGGCGGCCAGGTGGGATGTTGGCCACCTACCCCCATGTGTGCTGCATCGGCCTTAACAGATACTTGCCAACAGCACATGCCCCAACCATATGTTATAGGCGAAACGGGGAATCTTTGTCATTGCATTTTTTCTCGTCAATATGTGTCTCAAGTTGTGTAGCGTGCCAACTCAAACACAGAGATTATGTGCCACCTGCCAGCGAGCCATCAATGACACAGCACGTGGCCTCAACATGCACCTGGCCTGGCACAAGCGCTGTGGTGACGTCCCCAGTGACGAATGGTGGCGGTTGTGCCACATGGCACGAGCGATTTTGCGTGCACGTGTGTACTCTACATGTTTGTCATGTGACACGTCAAGTGAATTGTTTGGCAATCATCAGGCAAGCGCGGCGTGTACCTACTTAATTCGTATTTGAATGCATAAAAATTAGTAGAGTTGGAGAGAGAGGGCCCATGCTAGGTCATGAGCAATGTCATTTGGGAAACCCTGCATTGCTGGAAATTCTCGGTATAAAAGCCACATCCTCCAAATTCAGAATATTGTGAAATTGAACCAATAACATGCTGCGGGAAAATACATAACGGAGGCTCAGCGGCAAACCTTTAAGGTCCATTGAAATGAAGAAAAGCGATCGCTAAGAAGCCCCTTTTAAATGCTAAATAATTGAACAACAGTGTGATTGTGGCGAGCATTCATTTTTTTTACACTTTTCAAAATTGCTCTTCAAACCCAAGCGACGTAACTGCGATGTGTAGGGATTAAAGTTAACTATACTTAAATTGCAAAAGGGAAGTTTCTTTCGCGGGTTCTCGTCAACTTAAAATCACTGAAACAGTTAAAATCCCTAACGATGACCCTGCCAAATGTATTTCAGAGTTTCTCGAACATGGCACGAGCGAGCCTCTGGAACACCACGATACACCGAGACAATTTTACGGGAATCGTCACGGGCAATATTGTCGGCACCGATTTATGTTTTATAGACAAAACAAATCCGTCCACATTCTGCGTCACTGCCGTACCAAGTTGCCATAGCTGCCAATATTAAGTGCTCTTGCCAGTGAATATGGCCGATAACTGCCAATGACAACGATTGCCCCAAAAATGCCGAGTGTATTGCCGTGGACCTTCTGCAGTCGGCCGCAGCATGAGCAGCAGAAAGGATACAATTACTCCACTCCTTTGGCACGCAGAGCATTGCACACCCTGGTCAGGTAGGAAGAATCCGGATAGCTTTCCCTGCAAAACAAGAGTCAAACAGTTATGATGTCACATTCTAGAATCCATTTGCCGTTATGATGTTTGGCTCCGCATTTTTAGTTTGCTGCACTGGAGCCTGTTAATAACAACCCATCATCACGCAATCTCTTCTCATCCAAACTCCAGTCATCCTCGCAGAGGCTTTTGGCTAACTATCGAATAAAGATTATCACCAAATCGCGCGCTTTCAGATGCGCTTCTGCGGCTGTCTGGATTAGCACGGTTGGCTACGTACGGTGCATACAATAACGATAATACTTTACAGCGCTTTGTCAAGCCACTTCTGAAGGCCTTCGCACACCGTGTGAATCACGGGGGGGATTACTTGACCATACTTCACCGCACCGGTCAAGTACGGGTCACAGGGAGGAGGAGAGGGTGAGCGTGGGTGGGGGGGGGGGTTGGTGGTGGGGGGATACCCCCGCCAGGCACGTTTTCCGCTCACACCGCTCACCCGCAGCTGCTGCTGAACACGGCCGTCTTGTGGGGGATCCCGTTCCAGGTGACACGTGCCTGGCCCGAAGTCCCGCCGGTGGCGCGCACCGCGAACGTGAGACCGCGCTGGAAGGCGTTCGTGAGCAGCGACAAAACGCGCCGGCCCTCGGGGCTGTCGGGCAGGTAGGCCTCGAAGGTTCCGCCAAAGTAGGGGCGTCCGGGGTACGGGTCCCGCCTCTGCTTCGAGCCGCAGATAGACACAACGCGTCCCGATCGCTTTACTACGGCAGCGGTGGGGGCAAAGCAACGGCCGGATGCAGCCCGTAGCTTCGCTTCACACGGCCGCGCAAACCCTCCCCCACCACCGTGGCCAATCCGTCACGCCAAGCATCTTAGCTGTCACTAATCGGTAAGTAAAGGGGAATATTTTTTTACGTGGTAATGAGTTAATAATCTTGGTCACATGCAGGGGGCCCACGACTAGTTCAGATATTACTCACTGCTAGGCATGGCCGGAAATCAAACTCCAGTTGCCAGATTCATAGGTGAAGTATTCTAACCGCTGTACCCAGCTCCCTCCTGCTCTGCACGTACCAAAAAAACCTGAGTTGTGAGAGCAATAGACTGTCCATTTAAATTCTAGATTTGAAGCTTTCGTGACTGCAAGGATTCATACTCTTAGTTCTTTCGGTAAAGTCACGTAGGTAAAAAATGCAATTAAAATTAATAAAAATAAAACAATAAAAAAATCACGACGTTTCGGAGGCAACACAAGTCTCCGTCATCATTTCATTTTTTACCTACGTGACTTTACCGAAAGAACTAAGAGTATGTCCATTTAAAGGTCCCTTGATTTACATTACACAAATACAAACAGCATTGTAAATTGCCAGTGAGCAATGTTAGAAAATAAAATCCGTACAAACCCCTTGGATGCCATCAGGGATGTTGTAGGTGATCTTGATGGTCAGCTGCTTGCTGTGTCCCGGCAGAGGAAAATTGAGCACGGCTGAGCTCATGCTGCCTCCGAGGTCCGATCCGGCCACTGCTCCATCAGCCGCCGCCGCCGCCTCTCCCAACAGACACATGGGGCAGAACGAGGCCCTCGCCTCCGCCGGGACCCTGGGAGGCGATCCCAGGCAGCGATCGCAGAGGCAATGCCCGCAGTTCAGCCTCACCACTTGCCCAGAGAACTGCTGGCACCGGGAGCATGTCTTTTCCAGGGACAGCAGGGGCGAAGGCGACGTTCGGCAATGCTCGCGGAGCTCATCCCGCGGCGATGCCCGTCCCTCCCCAGTGGCGTTCGCCGGGTTCCTTCTTGAGCCGCCGAGCTCCTCCAGGGAGGTCCACCTGCGCATGCCCGCGGCCGAGCCATCGCTTGTCCACAGGCCCTCGTCGGCACGCTCCTTGATGGCGGCGGCGGCGGAGTGCCTGGAGGAGAGGCCCTGTGCGAACACGTTGGTGTCTTTAAGGGCGACCCCATCCAGGTTGGTTTTGGTCGAGACGGCGGACGCCAGCAAGTCCTGAGATTTCTGCAGCCTCCTGCCCATGTCCTGCGCCTTGCAGACGTCCGCGCGCGAATCCTTCGGCTTCTGCGCGTTCTGCACGGGCGTCTGTCGCGCCATGTTGCGGGGCAGCGACGACGACCGTCTCGGCGCGCCGCTCGCCGTGCCCCTCTCCACGTCCACGTTGTCCTGCCGTCCTCGCGACTCCGATGACCTCGGCTTAGCGCTCGACTCCTTCGCCGAGGGGCTACGCAGGGTCGCGGCTTTCGCCCCCCTGGTCTCAAAGCTGAACCTGTTTGGCAAAATTCTGGAGCTGGTTTTCGCGCCTTCGAGGCCTCCTCTGGTCTGCTTCTGCTGATGCCTCTGTGGCAGGGTGTGAACGTGGTTCTGAGGGTTCCTCCTGCTGTCGCCCTCGCCAAAGTGTCGAGGGGAGACTTGAGAGTCCTTTTCCGAGGAAGCAGAATGCGGGGTACGGCCGGACGGCTCGCGAGAGACGCACGCGGCAAGCAGCTCTGCGAGCCCGTGCACAGCCGCCAGGCAGCCATCCTTCTGACCCACAATCACGATGAGGTCGTTGTGCCGTGTGAGCAGCAGGGGAGGATTCCTCTGCTGGAGGTCCGTGCTGTAAATTTGAATCTCCTCCTCGGACAGTTGCACGGCAACGCCGTCCATCAGGAGGTACTCTATGTGTAAACTGTAGCACTTGTTGAGGTACCAGACCAGAAACACCTTCGATGCATCCTCCACTTTACCTGCGCCTGTCGCACACGCCGTGAGCTTCAACACCAGGTTTGGCTTCTGCTGCAGGATGGTGATCTGAACGTTGTACTTCTTCAGGATGCCGTCGAGCTCTACTTTGCAGAACTTCTCCAAGTACTGGAATTTCAAGGCATCCACCGAGAATGTGTCATCGGCGATCTTCTCGACGTTGGACTGTTTCTTCACGGCGGATTCCACATGGTGCGCGTCGGAACAATTTCTCCTTCTGCCTCGATCTGCCTCCTCCCTGGGCTGGAGGTGTTCGGCCAAAGCAGACGCGCCGTGGTCTGGAGCATTCGAGGGACCCCTGTCCACTCGCACGCCGCTTGCGCTCGGAAAGTAGAAATGCGAGGAGGCGTAGTAGTCCGTCGTTCGCTGCTCATTGTGCAGAGATAACATTTCTTCCGGACATCGATCGAAGCCCGCGGAGTGCTGAAGCTTGCTGCTTAACGACGTGGTAGAAGACGAAGACGTCGATGCGCCATTGGATTCTCCGATAAAGTCCGACCCGCCCAGTGGCCATGAAAGGACGTCAGCGGCAGCACCGGTATCATTGGCGGTCGCACTCTCATATCTAAAGCCACTTTGCTCAGCCAAGTGCTTGCTTCTGGCGCCCGCTTCGTGGCCGACTGCACGAGGAGCTTGTCTGTTTGACGGGCCCAGCTGCTTCTCCGCTTCGCGCTGGTCGTCGGCGATGGTGGTATTGACCATTCTGAGCTCGTTGGCAGCGGCCACACACTCCTCGCTCCTGCCGACCACACAGATGCCGCCGGCGCTTTCGGAGAACAGCACCTCGGGGAACCTCTCCTTGAGCCGCCTCCACACGTGCTTCATGGTCGCTATGCCGTGTATGCCGCCACTCTCCCGCAGCAGGTTGATTTCGTCGATCGGGATGAACTGCTGGCCCAGCGTTTTTTCCACGGAATTGTAGAGCTGAGCAATTTCCTTCCCGAAGCTCCTGGGGTCACATTCCGGGATGGATTTGTTCGCAGACGAAAACTGAAGTGTCACGATATCGCCGTCAACGCGTTTGGCGACGTCCACGTTGTACTTGCTACCCAGCTCTCTGCAGCGCGCTTTGTGAAACGACTCAATGTACGTCCATACCATTGTGTCCATGGCCACACTTTCAGGACAACGGCTGAGGTCAAACGGCTCGTCCGGGGTTTGCGACGACCGAAATGGCACGTCTAGGCTCTGTGACCGCAACGGGATTTTTGAGGAGACGTCTGCCGATCTAACCCTCGAGCCTCTCTCCTTCAAAAACGCCGTCGACATCGTGGCACACTGCTGCTTTCTGCCCGTCGCTTCTTTCAGGACATCGTCCGAGGAGCCGGAGAATTCATTCGCCTCGTCGTGTCTTCCCAAAAACGACGACCTGTAAGAATTAACGTCAGTATTTGTGTAATCCACCTGCCTCCTAGCAAACGCCGACATCCCGTACATTTCAGGCAATGCATAGCCATGCGAGGTGTCTGTCTGGCCCTCGAAGGTTTTGTTGGACGCCCTGCCGTCTGAATTGGCTCCGCCTCCGCTGGTGGTGTTGGTGGTGGATGCCTTTTCTTTTGCCCCAGCTTCGTCTTTCATAAAATTAGAGCTCATACTACCGGACATATTGTAAAGACCTTCAGTGGTACGGGCATCACACGTTTTGTATAAAAGTGCCGATTTGGTGAACGTGTCTCCCTCTAGGATGCCACGCTGATCGTCGTCTGGTAATTTATTGTAGGATTTAAGTTCACTGGCTGCCTCGTACACCTTAGAGATCTCTCCAACCAGACAGAACTCTGCTTGGTATCGCTTTATAAGAATTTCCTTGTACTTATTCTGCATGGCTTGGCATATTTTTGTCAGCTTCTCCACGCTCAAAGACGCCGGACTTAGGTCGACCCACTCTTGGCAAAGCTTGTCCTGAAATTTCTGATAAAACGTGGACAGCTCATTCCTCGCTCTGCACATCTTGCGTTTACCGTCGGCGTCGTCCAACCGCCCCACCGCCTGCGACTGAAAATACACGGTGGTGATCTCTCCGCTCTCACACTCGACGCACTCGGCGTGGTTCCTGCTCAAGACGTCGTTGTACTGCTGCTTGTAGAATTTCTTGATGTACTGAAATACGTCCGTGTCCATCGCCACCGAATATTCTTCACTGTGCAGACCCCGCTCGGGCAGCGCCACCACATGAGCGCCGGCTCTTTGCGTGGGCTGCGCCTTCTTGTCGTGAAGCGCCGCCGATCTGCCGCGCGTCTCCGTTTCCTGAGCGGCTCTGGCTGCTGCGCCTTTTGCGGTCTCCATCGGGGTCGCTTTGGAATTTTTCGGGTGACCGATGGCCTTTTCTCTGTTGGGTATTTTAGTGGAAGTGTCACCGTGGGTGCCGCCATGTGACCAGTCGAGAGGCTGCTTCTGATTGTCCGCCTTCACGGGCTCGGCTCCGTTATTGGCCCTCAACTGTGAAGAGGTGGACGGCAGAGCTGCAGCGCTCTCGGAGGTGAATCGACAGTTGTTGGTTTGTACTGAAACTGACCTGCTATCCAACTGCTGCAGCCCCACCGGTCTCGGGTGGGAATTTCTGTTGTTGGAAAGTTTACTTTTGTCGGGAACTATTTGTTGATGAGGAGCCTGGACCACGGTAGATACAGTCCTGTTAACGAGACCTACCTCCGGCATTTTGCTGTTGTCTGCTTTCAAAGACATTAACTTGCACTTTTCAATGTGCTCCAATGAAAGACGGTCACCGGCCTCCTCTTGCGAAAAGGGTCTTTTACTTTCCGCCTTGTGTTGTGGGTCCACCGATGAATGCGATGGGTCCGGAAGCGCCTTTGCATTTGAGTGCTGCTTTGAAAATCCTTTTCTGTTTTCGAAACTTTCAACGGCGGCCCTCTGCGACGACGGCTTACGGTTTGCAGCGTCCTCTGGTGGCCGGTGACTCGTGGTGCCGAAATGTGCCGCCGCCGCCGGCCCGTGCTCTACCAAGGAGAATCCGCCGTTGTGCTCGCTGCTCACGAGGTAGAGCAGCTCGTCGTGCACTCTCTGCACTTCGCGGAATGTCCCCTCCACGAACCACTGCGCTGCCGCCCTCCTGTGGTACAGCCCCGAGCTTTTCAACAGGCCCAGGACCGCCGCGTCGTCCCGCAGCGTCTCCAGGTTCACCACCATCGTCACCTTCTCGATAACCTGCGAGGGCAGCGTTCATACCGACCACGTTTGCAACGGATAAAAATAGAGACGGAAGACCGTGCGTCCGGTAAGCACACCGATCTTGTGATCTGGAGGTCGCCGATTCCGTTCGATCTCCCGGCGTGGAAGTGGAATAAGATGGACAACTTTGTTCAAATTTCACTTTCTCAGACCACACAGCAGTATGAATGTGTAGACGATTAGTCCAAGAGCAGGTCACATGTAGTGGGGTAGTGTGGGTAGTTCCACCTGCGGCCATCTGGAACTCTCTTCCTTCCGATATTAGGAAGCCACTGGAACTGTGCACTTTAAAATTTTGATTGAAAACTAATTTATTACAACGGCTTGTTGTTAAGTTTGTTGTCCTTACTCGCACCTCCGATTAGCACGGTGGGCTACGTACGGTGCGAAATAAATTCAACATACACACGCACAGAATATACCCTTCAGGGGCTCTGTAAAACTCCTTCTAGTGGAGGCCCCTTCCGCCAACGGTGGTGTGAGCAACTATACCTTCTAGCAAGGCGCGACGACACACGAGGTGTGGTGAATTTGCAGGGTTCTCGCCTTATTGTCGCTGTATGGAGACACCTGCAACTCGTGTTCCACCTTATCGATGCTCAGGATGTGTGGCTTGTGCTTCATCACCCGTCTTGCCACTGAACACGTCCAGCGTTCAAGGGACAGAGGAAACATCTTCGGGTGACAAAGACAGTGCTGGGTTGAGCATGCACGGTAGGCGAGAGCGTATATATACAAAGACAAAGATCATCCCATATAGCCATAACAGACTTTTGGGTCAAGTGTTGTTAGTGAGCATCTATGAAGGCCGGCACGGCACACGAAGGGGGTAGGTGGCTAACATCATGCCCGGTCACATTTGTCTACCGAGTGGCGATGTTTACACATACCGCACCAGGTACTCATTTGTATGTACGTATGTTGAACTTCTTTCGCACCATACATAGCCGACCGTGCTAATCGGAGGTGTGGGGAGGACAACTAGGTGAAGTCCTGGACCAGTTCAGATAATTGTCAATGGTGTTGACAGTGAGCTGGAATAGAACTCGGGTCACCAGGTTCGTAACGCGTTGTGCTAACCGCTACGCACTGCTACCTACCCTGTGAGTCTTGGAAGGTGAGCAGGGCACAGCCGGGCATCTCCGTCGGGTAGATCACCTCCAGCACCTCCCCGCCGCCCTTGCTCGGCTTGAGGAAGTGGATGAGCAGCTTATCGCGGAGCGTCTCCTCGTTGTACCCGAACGGCACGCGGCGGACCCACACGCGGCGTCCGTCCACTTGCGCCACCACGCCCCGGCTGGCGCCCGGCTCCTGGCTCATCCTGCTGCCACCGGCGGCGGCTCGCTCAGCGAGCGGCGAGACACTGCCAGCACGGCGACGATGGTTGGTCGTTAATCTGTTTAGGGGATTTGCACAGAATGTTGCTCGACTGTGGACGGTGTAGAGTCGGGCTTGTCACCCGTCACATTTTGTGTTCAGATTAAGCATTCTTTTGCATACATTGAGCTGTTGCTGCTGCTGGTAAATGTGTTTATATTTCATGCTTTTGTAAGATAAGTAAGTTCCTATGTATTTTGGTGTTTAATGTTTTAGCATATTAGCAATTTGGGCGAACAGGTACCATATAATTAATTTATATTGCCAATTTGTACCATCAGGTGCGACTGATTGAAAACATTTCACGAATTTATCTCTGAAATCCTCAACACCATGCATGAATTTTAAGCGATTCACGAGACGTCAGAAAGACGACAGTTAATCGTTAATCTACCTCGAGGATTTGCACAACGCTGCTAGCTCTTCGTTGCGTTGTTCAGAATAATGTCCGACATTTCGTTCCATGTGCTGGCTGCATCTTCTGAACAAGTTCCCGAGGAAGGTCCCTAGCAACGTGGAGTGAACATTGAAGGTGCTTATGCTTTCATTTGTTTACGAATCTCCCAGTTTTTGTGGAACAAATTGCTGGACAATCACAACTAAAACACATTGGAGAGCTGCGGAGCACAACCACCAACACCTACGCACGCAGTGGCATTACTTCCTGGTATTCATGTCGCCAGGCCCATTGCCTAATCACGTTTTTGCAGCTGCTGGCAAGGGTGTATAAATAATACATATCTTTGCACGTCACATCCCCACTCATTTCGGTTCATCGCCAAGTGCACGGATATTCCCAAAAAAGCCACGTATGACCCAACAACACTCTGGATTTTATAGAGCTTCTATTCTCAACCGCATCTCAAGAGGCTGTACAACACAGCTGACTATGTCCATCAAGGAGGCAGATATCACAAAGACCCCCTATTTAGCCTTTGTTGGGGCAAGTGCTGTTAGCAAGCACCAATGAAGGCTGACACGACACACAAGGCGGGGGGAGGAAATAGCTGGCCAGCACCACGCCCGGCCGCCTTTGTCTCCTCAATGCTGTTTACACAGTCCAACAGCTACTGTACTCATTTAAGGCCGAGTCGTTCCAGGGGAAGACCAGAACCAGCTCCGATATTCATCACTGATGTTGGCTCAAGTCGCAGAGTTCGTAGCACAGCGCGCTAACCACCGCGCTCACACACACACTAACACATGGATTGGAGAACAAAATCAGGTTAAAAACATCATATTGGCTTTTAAGAAAAAGCACAGCGAGTGGGCTTGGGTGTCTGGCCTATGATCGAGACTAACGACGGAGTGGCAAAGGAGGGAAAGAGGAATTTCCACCGTGGAGATGCAGCGATGAAATCAGCTCGTGTACAGGTGCTGGGAGGATCGTTGCATTCCAAGGAACGTGAGAGATGGCGATGGCTCTGGAGGCCATCATCCAGCAGCGCATAGAGCACGGCTACTGCAGTTGCTCAATGGTCACGACGATAGATTTTTTTGGGGGTTTTAGAGAGACGTCCGAGGCAGCAGTCCGAGAGAGAGAGAGAGGGCCTTGATAGAGCCGGACGACTTGAACATGGCACCAGGAAGTTTCAGACTGTTTGATTTAATCACTGGGCAACAGGACTGATTTCACAGGAAGTGACCCCGTCACTTGTAAAACCTCTCTCTCTCTCCTTGCACTTAGCATAAAGTTTAATTGGGGCATTCACAAACAACACCAACAACAAAAATAGTTTATATGCCGTGGTGGTGAAGACCTTGGAACAATTCGCTCGATTCAACGCTGCTCACTCTTCGTTGCGTTGTTTGACATAATGTCCCACGTTTTGCTCCACGTGCTGCCAGCCTCTTCTGAAGAATCTCCCGAAGAATCACAGGATCATAGTAATCACTTTACACACAACAATAATAATAATACAGCACTACGAAACACCCCTTTGTCGATACTTTATCCTGTTGGGTGAAGACCTTCACACGAGGTGTCAGTCATGGGGTGCGGAGTTGGGGGGGTGAGGGGTTCGACCATACTTCACCACGCTGGTCAGTTTGTAGGTTTCGTGAAGGAGGAGTAATGCTCAGGGGCCGATCGATTACTGATCACAGTCGCCACTGATGTTGACCGTAGCTGGGACTAATAATTGTTATTGAACTCCCCTCGCCTATGATTTACTGCACGATTCACCACGGCAACCTGCAACTGCTATACCACGAGTCCACATCAAACGCCACCTCCAAAGACAAAGATCCCCCGTGTAGCCTGTAACAGACCATTGGGGCAAGTGCTGTTAGCGAGTAGCAGCACCAACGAAGGCCGGCACGGCACACGAGGGAGGTGGTGGGGGGGTAGCCAACACCACCACCACCACGCACATCCGCCTTTGTCTCCCCAGTAGCGATGTTTTTACGCACCACTCCAGGTAACTCATTTGAGGCTGAGTCGACCTAAGCGGAGGACCAGGACCGGTTCAGATAAATCGTCACCGGTGTTGGTAGACTTGGGATGGAATCGATGCAGCACGTTAATTGCTCCACCACCACAACGGATGAGGAACAATGTTCCACACTGCCCACCAGGGATTATTTGTCTGACTGTCGTGCATAAATAAATATATAATAACACGTTCCTTCGGAGTGGGCAGGTAGGAACTTGGTTGGACAGCGCATTCGTGCACGACAGACAGACAAATAATCCCTGGTGGGCAATGTGGAACCTGTTGTTCCTACCTGTTTACAAGATAACTTGACTTTAGGGAGCCAGGCAGCCAGCCAGGTAGCCAGCCCCCTTAACTATCGGCCCCTCCTCCTTGCTTAGGCCCCTCCCCTGATCACCCCCCCATATCCTTAGGCCCCTCCCCTGACCCCCCCTCCCTTAGGCCCCTCCTCTGACCCCCCCCCCTCATGCCCCTCTCCTGACTCCGCCCTTCCTTAGGCCCCTCCCATCTCCGTACCCGGCAGTAGGTCTCCACCAATCAAAGAGCTGTTTATATTATATATTTATTTATGCACGACAGACAGACAGACAAAAAATCCCTGGTGGGCAGTGTGGAACATTGTTCCTACCTGTATAAACAGCTCTTTGATTGGTGGAGACCTACTGCCGGGTACGGAGCGGGGAGGGGCCTAAGGGAAGGGGGGTCAGCGGAGGGGCCTAAGGGAGGGGGGGGTAAGGGGAGGGGCCTAAGGGAGGGGGGGTAAGGGGAGGGGCCTAACCAAGGGGGAGGGGCCGATAGTTAAGGGGGCTGGCTACCTGGCTGGCTGCCTGGCTACCGAAAATCAAGTTATCTTGTATACAGGTAGGAACAACAGGTTCCACACTGCCCACCAGGGATTATTTGTCTGTCGTCCATATTTGTCTGTCGTGCACGAATGTGCTGTCCAACCAAGTTCCTATCTGCCCACTCCGAAGGAACGTGTTTTACTGACTTTGTTGTCATTATCACGCGTTGGGGGAATTCCGTACCCCGTCAACCCCCCCCCCCCCCCCCCCCACACGGCTTAGCCCCGTATTCTTGTACAGGGACATTGAGTTTTCAGGTCCATACGACGTGGAGACGTTTCACTACCGGCAACAACAACAACATTGTCTCTTTGTGTTTCTCCCTTGTGATGGGACTTTGTAGGATGCACGTTGAGATATTTCAGGGACACGTGGTGACCAATAAGGTCTGAGTTGGTCTGTAATGAGTTAGGGTGCTGATAAGGGGTTGACAGCTATGGAACTCACATTGCGGAACAACAACAACAAGGCACAACGAGGCACAACAACAACAACCAACGAAGAACTCGAGGATTGGCTTAGAGATGATAGAGGGATGAGAGAGATGTTAGGGAGACGAGAGAGAGATGAGAGAGAAGCGAGAGAGAATCTAGAGATGATACAGAGATGAGAGAGAGAGATGAGAGAGATTATAGAGGAAGGACGTCCTCCGAAGGGAGACGGAGCGTTAATGAAACCCGACTCGCGTTGTAGGCAGGCCAAGTGTGTGGTCGGAGCAGGGGCGGTTTCTTCATTAGGGCGATTGGGCGACGCACCACCAATGTCATTGAACCACAGAGTCACGCTAGCCGTCACTGTGCCTCTGGATATAGTCCAATCAGTGTCATGCTACGTTCTGTGGAGTACCGCCTCTTTTTGGGCGATTTCACTCCGGCTGAGAATCGCCCCGAGTGGCCCCATAGACTTACATTCAAAGATGTTATTTTTCGAACGGCGGGCGCTTCAATGCATTCTCTATGGCTTCCGGGAGGGCTCGCCCTAACGTGCTTACGTCATCATACGTGCTAACGTCATCATACGTAAACACGTTTCATCGCCACCTAGTGGAATCTGTAATAAAATAAACTTGAGTGGTTTCTTTTATTAGTGAGTATAGAAACAAACAAGATGTATTGTAAGAGTCACTTTATTTTTCATTAATATTAAATAAGTGAAGTTGCCTTTACATGCTTAAGCTGTTAATTTATCCATTGCATGGGTGGACCTTATCCTTATCAATCATCCAGACATTTGCCCCCCCTGAGAGATTTTGCAGGAGCCGCCACTGGGTCGGAGTGATTGTGGGGGGGGGGGGGGGCTTGGATGGAGCCCTATGATGGACGGAGGCCTTCATCCAGCAGAGGATCAATCACAGCTGATATTGGTGATTATCGATCGATCGATTCTCACATCGAACCAACCACATTTAACTGCATACGGAACATCCGAGTTTGAACAACAACACCGACAACGAAGCGTCAATGAAGCCGTCGGCCTGGGGGTTGCTGCAGCAGCAGCAACTGCTGGTGGTGGTGGTCGTGGTGCTCACGTCAACCACCACCAGCAGCACAACAACAACAACAACGATGCAGCCACTCCACTGCTGGATGAAAGCCTCCCCGCAATCCGCCATGTTCACGATGCTACCGGAGGCACCTAGAGCACGTGTGCCGATTTCATCGCTCCATCTCCTCGTTCCCACCACCCACCACTACAGCGGCTCTCAATGCAAGTCCCAGGACCATCACTCACAACCACCACAACCACCACCACCCTTCCCCCCATTCCTTCTTTTCCTTTCCTTCCGCAACCCCCCACGGGGCTCGTCCTCTCGCACGCGTTCGCGTGACCAGGGACCCCCGCGCGGGTTTCACAGACAATTCTCAACCGCGGTCATTCCTCACACACGAACCGACCACCAACAACGCCACCAACAACAACATCAACCACACCACCACCACCAACCACACCACCAACACCATCAACCACCACCACGAACATCACCAACAACACCACCACCACCAACCACACCACCAACACCATCAACCACACCACCAACCACACCACCACCACCAACACCACCACCAACCACACCACCACGAACATCACCACCACCACCAACAACACCACCAACACCACCACCACCAACACGCACAGCCCACAGACTCACCCTGCCGATGCAGCTCACCGCCGCGCAATTGCGTTGGGGTCGGGGGGGTGGTGGTGATGGTGGTGCCAGGGTGGAGGGCAGGTAGCTGCAGGGGGGGGGTGTGTGAGCAAGGCTGTGAAGGGAGAGAGAGAGAGGAAGGCGGCTGTGTGTGGTTGTAATAGGAGGCAGAGGGGTCGTGCTTGTGGCAGTGCGGAATCGGGTCTCGGCTGTGACGCGTTGTTAGGGGGGGGGGGGGTGCAATGACGCAGGCGAGTGAAGTCATGTTCGCTTTGCCGAGAGCGAGCGGCAGGCGGAGATAGGAAATAGACTCCACCTCCTCATTCTCCTCCTCCTCCACCCAGCCTTCTCCCAATCCCCCCCTCCTCCCAATCTCCCCTCGTCTCAACCTCCTCCCCTCCTCCAAATCTCCCTCCTCATCCCCTCTTCCAAATCTCCCCCTCCTCATCCCCTTCTCCCAATCTTCCTCCTCCCAATCTCTCCCCTCCTCCTCCCAATTTCTCCCCTTTTCATCCCAATCTCCCTCCTCCTCATCCCCTTCTCTCAACCTCCCCTCCTCTCAACCTCCCTCTCCTCTAAACCTCCTCCAAATCCCCTTCTCCAAATCTCCCCCTCCTCATCCCAACCTCCCAATCTCCCAATCTCCCCCTCCTCCAAATCTCCCCCTCCTCATCCCCTTCTCCCAATCTCCCCCTCCTCTCAACCTCCCAATCTCCCTCCTCCCAATCTCTCCCTCCTCCTCATCCCAACCTCCCAATCTCCCCCTCCTCATCCGAACCTCCCAATCTCCTCCTCCAAATCTCCCCCTCCGCATCCCCTTCTCCCAATCTCCCCCTCCTCTCAACCTCCCAATCTCCCTCCTCCCAATCTCCCCCTCCTCCTCCAAATCTCCCTCCTCCTCATCCCCTTCTCCCAATCTCCCCCTCCTCATCCCAACCTCCCAATCTCCTCCTCCAAATCTCCCCCTCCTCATCCCCTTCTCCCAATCTCCCCCTCCTCTCAACCTCCCAATCTCCTCCTCCCAATCTCCTCCTCCAAATCTCCCTCCTCCTCATCCCCTTCTCCCAATCTCCCCCTCCTCATCCCAACCTCCCAATCTCCCCCTCCTCATCCCAACCTCCCAATCTCCCAATCTCCTCCTCCTCATCCCCTTCTCCCAATCTCCCTCCTCCTCCCCTCCTCCAAACCCCCCCTCCTCCCAACCTCCGAGCCCTTAACCACGTCGGCGCTATAGTGACGTCAATGTTGAATTGAGAAAGGGGGACCCCCCCAACCACTACCAGGCATAGGACATCCTTCGTGGAGATGGAGCTACTGAATCTCTCTCGGATACAGGGGGGTGCTACATTGCACTGCCGCATCGTGAGATGATGGATGGCATGTGGCTGCCTTCCTCCCTTAAGCAGACGCACCAATAAATTATAACGGCTGCAAGTTTATAAATCTACTTGCTTAAGCGACGTCAATATTGAATAACGTTCGATTAGGAGGGAAGGTGGTAACGAGAGCCCCCCCCCCCAACCCCGTGGATGGTGTCAAGTTTTTTTTTTTCTCGCCAAAGAATTGGAAAGGAACGTGCAGAAGAGATAAACTTCTCGCAGGCAATGTTATCGATTTAAAAATGTTTTTAAAAAGCAGTTTCAGTGGTGTCATTTTTTTTTAGTTTAGGTGGTCACCTGCCCGAGTGCACGTCCCCAAAGGAGATGGAGTGAAGTTTGCTCGCTGGAAGATATCCCGTGGCGGCGGCTCCTCTAGCCACTGCCATCAAACGTCGTGAGTGAAAGACGTCACTGTGTAGTGCGATTATCAGTGGCGGGAATATCGATTAGAAACATTTGATCACCGTCTTTTTTTATTGTTGAATATAGCGACCTCTAGTGGCCGATTGTGGGCGGTGGGTTTACGTGAACATTCATAAACGGCTTAAATTTCGAGTTAAAGCTTTCGTGACTGCAGGGATTCTTCTTCTTGGTTCTTTCGGTAAAGTCACGTAGAAGGGAAATAATAAACAAGTAAACCCGTAAAAACAAAGTTTTTCACTCTAAATCCTTTATATGCGTGGCGGCTAGAGTTCTCTCGTCCTCTGGCTTGAGATGGCTGCAATCTATGGGTCAGATGATTGTCTGCCAGTATTAAGCAATTGGTAATTAAATATTTAATTAGTTTTCCCTAAACAGTGTAAAATTTTGGAAAAAAAATTTCACGAAAATTAATTGTCACACAACGAGTCTGTGTGGAAAATGTCAGCTCGATTGGATCACGGGAAGTGGGTTAAAAAACGAGCGAAAGATTTGCACGGTCCTAAGCAAGCAAGCGAACTTAATATAAAGGATTTAAAAATATATTCGCCTGTGGAGGACGCGGGGATCGATCCCGCGACCTTTGGCATGGGAAGCGAGGGCGCTACCAACTGCGCTACTCCGCCACGGCCTGTGGAGGGGTTACGCTCTGGGCTCTTGCACTGTGATGTTCAGCCAAAGCTATGAATGCGTTCTATTTGAATATATGTAAAATATTTTTTTTTTGCCTAAAAAGTGTAAAACTTTGGGAATTTTTTTCCCGAACAATAATTGTCTGGCACAACGAGTCTGTGTGGAAAATGTCAGCTCGATTGGATCACGGGAAGTGGGTTAAAAAACGACCGAAAGATTTGCACGGTCCTATATTAAGTTCGCGTGCTTGCTTGCTTAGGACCGTGCAAATCTTTCGGTCGTTTTTTAACCCACTTCCCGTGATCCAATCGAGCTGACATTTTCCACACAGACTCGTTGTGCCAGACAATTATTGTTTCCTGTAAACAAATTCGCCAAAAATTTACACTTTTTAGGCAAAAAAAAATTATTTTACATATATTCAAATAGAACGCATTCAAGGCTTTGGCTGAACATCACAGTGCAAGAGCCCAGAGCGTAACCCCTCCACAGGCCGTAGTGGAGTAGCGCAGTTAGTAGCGCCCTCGCTTCCCATGCCAAAGGTCGCGGGATCGATCCCCGCGTCCTCCACAGGCGAATATATTTTTAAATCCTTTATATTAAGTTCGCTTGCTTGCTTAGGACCGTGCAAATCTTTCGCTCGTTTTTTAACCCACTTCCCGTGATCCAATCGACCTGACATTTTCCACACAGAATCGTTGTGTGTGACAATTAATTTTCGTGAAATTTTTTTTCCAAAATTTTACACTGTTTAGGGAAAACGAATTAAATATTTAATTACCAATTGCTTAATACTGGCAGACAATCATCTGACCCCCATAGATTGCAGCCATCTCAAGCCAGAGGACGAGATAACTCTAGCCGCCACGCAAATAAAGGATTTAGAGTGAAAAACTTTGTTTTTACGGGTTTACTTGTTAAATCCTTTATATTAAGTTCGCTTGCTTGCTTACGACCGTGCAAATCTTTCGGTCGTTTTTTAACCCACTTCCCGTGATTCAATCGAGCTGACATTTTCCAAACAGACTCGTGCGTGACAATTAATGTTCGTGAAATTTTTTTTCCAAAATTTTACACTTTATAGGACAAAAAAATTATATTTAATTACCAATTGCTTAATGCTGCCATGCAATCATCTGACCCATAGGTGGCAACCATCTCAAGCCAGAGGACGAGAGGACTCTAGCCGCCACGCATAAAGAATTTATAGTGAAAAACTTTGTTTTTACGGGTTAATTTTACTTTTGCGATCAATTACTCGGGCCCGTGAGGCATAGCATAGCCTCTCCACCCCGCATTACAGTAAGACTTTGAAGTATCCATCCAATAAAAGTCTCTGCATCTCATCACGAAGAGCGGAGTTTAGGGAGTGGCTGAACCAGAAAGCCACAACCTTCAGGCGAAACAAGTAAACCCATAAAAACAAAGTTTTTCACTCTAAATCCTTTATATGCGTGGCGGCTAGAGTCCTCTCGTCCTCTGGCTTGAGATGGCTGACACCTATGGGTCAGATGATTGCATTGCACGATTAAGCTATTGGTAATTAAATATAATATTTTTGTCCTATAAAGTGTAAAATTTTGGAAAAAAAATTTCACGAACATTGTCACGCACAACGAGTCTGTGTGGAAAATGTCAACTCGATTGGATCACGGGAAGTGGGTTAAAAAACGACCGAAAGATTTACACGGTCGTAAGCAAGCAAGCAAGCACGCAAGCAAGCAAGCACGCAAGCAAGCGAACTTAATATAAAGAATTTAAAAAGGCATTCACGGTATTTTGCAAAATTATAGAATTCCAGAAGTGGATGGATCAAAACACCATGAACAAAATAGGAGATCGCTTTAGTATAGCCTTTAGGTAACAGCAGAACTCGAATACTTTCCAGGTGTCTGGCAGATTGCTGCAGCCATGTGATGTGTAGCCCCACAGCAATAGCGAGAGGTTTACTGGATGTGTTCTGGGTGTGGAAAAGTGAACGTTTCGATTTAAAGCTTTCGTGACTGCAGGGATTCATCTTCTTGGTTCTTTCGGTAAAGTCACGAAGGGAAGAAATAAAACAATAAAAATAAATATAAAACAAAATAAAATAATAAAATAAAGTAATATAATAATATTATATTGTTTTCTTTTTATTATTTTATTACTTCCCTTCTACGTGACTTTACCGAAAGAACCAACAAGAAGAAAAGTGAATGCTCAACCCCCACAGACCCAGCCGAAATGCAAGCCCCTGGGTAAGTGTTGTGTTTTTGAAAAGCTGGATTTTAATTTTTGGTAAAACAGAAATCGTCAAAAATATTTACAATTAATAAAACCGCCACACTGGCGTCTGCAAGAGAGCAGCAAGGTACAAATTAGTGGGGAAAAAGGAGAACCGCTCTCACCAATGTTGGGTTTTGTTTCCCCCGCCAAAGTAAAATAAATATTCCCAGACATTGGAAACGTGAAGGCATGACCAAATAATTTGGCATCAATTCATACCATATTTACAAACAAGATTTAACCAATGAAAATGCATTTACAATGATTTAACATATTTTCAAGGTTGTAATGTTGGACCCAATAAATACACGAACAAAGCAAAAATCAAGTACAATTTTGCTTGGCGTTGAAATAACTTATTGCAGACAAAGCAGAATCTTTCAACTGACAGTGTATCAAGACTCAATACAGATTAAACCAAAAAGGCAAATAACATCGCGATGAAGTGTTCTTTGGAACAATGAAGTTGATAGCGTAAAGGATATATATATTTTTTTAAACTTGGAGACATTACTGCCATCAACTTGCGGATGGAAAATATGAGACTGCAAAGAAAATGCAGGTATCAGAGAAGCATGCAAAGCATTGACATACTGCTTGAGATTACGAGGAAACATTGGCCTGGGAACACACATCAATGACTTAAGGAGTTTGGCAGGACACGTCATGAGAAGGGACGATTGCCAATAAACACAGCGGATAGTGGCGGTCAAAGGCGAGATCACCTCAAAATGGGCAACCACTGTGGAGATGGAGCAATGAGATTAGTTCAAGTGCCGCTGTGAGCTGCCCTGACAACATTGCAGGACCGAGAGAGATGGTTATGTGCAGGATGGCCTTCATCCAGCGTAGAAAATTGCCGATGCTGAAAGTTTATAACCTGCTCTTTTAAAGAACAGATTCAAGTGAAACGGTTTTAACATACATGATACACTCTAGGGTTGATATTGGTATATACTGTAAATCCATTTCTTTATTAGAATACAGAGATCAAGATTCCACAGATACCATCAGGATAATTCTGACATTGCTTTAAAAATACATCTAAAACATTGTCTAAGAGTTGCCCCCCTGCTAAGTAAAATTGCTGTATGCTGTTGCAGAATGCGCCCCATCTCGTCAGATCTCGGAGGCTAAGCAAACAAAGGATAGCGGTTTGGTTGACCACCGTGCATAAAACATGTGCTGTCGGCTGCAACAGGGCTACGTTGTGGACAGCACGACAAAATTTGTTGTACTGCACAATGCTCAAATATTTACAACTCCCACCAATTCAGCAACCCACACAGACCAAAGTACGGTCAAAATTGCCACAACCCACGCAGCTTGGAGAGGCCCTCATCCAGCAGTGGAGTGACAAAAGGGCTGTAAAAATAGGATCTGCACAGCTATTCCCCCATTGAGCAAAAATGTATAAATGCATGGCTTGGGCCCTGGATGTAAATATGGACCCGTGGCTTTTCCAGGAACCAACCCAACCACTGCTAAAAGTCACAATATCCTGTGTGAAAGGAGTAGGTGTGTTCAGCCTGTTTTCATGATCCAGCATGCACAGGGCTGGCCTCTCATTGCCATACGCATAACGAAATGCACCGAATCATCGGTCAACATCGATTCTTACGCTCACAATCTCACGATAGGAACTTCATAGTTGTGCGTGCGAGAATAATTTGCAATTTCTGTTACTGTGCACGCACATCATATACCGACGTCACAACGTTCAGGACAATGCAGCAGACAATACTGTACAAACTAGACGGAACACAAATGAGAAACGATAACAAATGAAGGTGATGAGAATGAGATAATAATTGATTCTTTAACAGAATCTAGACCCTGAATCGTGACGATTCATATCCCTGGGGTGGGTGGTGAATTGTTGCGTGCCAAGTAACCACCAGTGTATAAAAGGAACATTGGGCCTACAGCTTAACGTGTTTTCTGGTTGTACCAAGCATTGTTCGGCACGTCTGATGTTTTACTCCCAAATGAATTGGAAGTTGTTGTTCCCAACTCGCGGAACAAAAAGAAAGACATGCCGAACAGCACGCGGTATAACCCGACAAACGCATCAGAGCCGTAGGGCACAACCGCGTAATTGTACGCAGCAGCACTGGGACCTAGCCAATCAAATTGCCCATAGGAGCACCCCCCCCCCCCCCCTCCTCAAAATTGGCCCTACCTTGGATAAGGCATTCAAAAAAATCAGGCTATTCGTAAGCTTTTGCGTGGCAAGACAGCAACTCAAACTACACCCCAAGCTGGCCATTCTAAAAAAAAGTAGCAAATACCTACACACAAGTTTAGCACCAATAACCGGCATCAAAGTTGCGTTTAGAGTAATTAAAATTACACTCGCAACTTAAATCAACAAATCCACTCTTAAGTAGCACCATATACAGTACAGTTGAGGAATGGTGAAATTCAGTCATTACAGGCAACCCAACTACACTAGACTATACTACGAAGAACTCCCCAAAAGTAGTAATGCCTCCTATATATTTTTCTAACTTTATATTTTTATTGAGGCAATATACACAATTTTAGATATTCATGGAAATGTCACGACATTGTCAGCTGCCCTCCAACACAATTCCAGACCAACACAGAGCCTGAGAAAATCAGAGACCATAGCAGTCCGAATGGACTCTGTTGCCCCCCCCCCCCCATCCACCGCACATCCCAGATCTGGCACTCAACATTTGTATCTGTTCAGCATACTGAAGGATGGCTGTCATACAAGACACCAATGAATCATTTAACCAGGATGGAATTCCGACCTGGTTTCACATGGGCACAAGCGCTGCAATCGTGACAATAGTTTCTCTTAAAAGAGCACTATTTATCTCAAGTGGTTTTACTCGAGGGAAATAAACTTCAGATGTTGATGGCAACTATGTTGAAAAAAAGTCTAATGTTCACGACGCTGCCACGAATATCTGAAATATTGCATTGGCGTGGATGTGGGAGGGGGCCATGATATTGAAGAGTAATGGGGCACAAAGAAGCACGGGTTGTGTGCGCAGGAGTGCACCTGGACGTGAGAGTTACGTAGGGCGTGCACGTGCAAGCACAAGGTGGCAGTGAAGAATGCCTGTGGATTCGTGCCGTGTTATCCTGCGAGCGCGCAACAGGTGAAAGTGCGTTGCGACCTAAAATCCCTGTGACTTACAGGCCATAGGTTAACATTTGGAGAAAATAGTGTTCAATAACTACCTAATTACTGCCCTCCATGGCAACTATCGTGTCCATTCAATCATTCAAGTGACAAGCACGCGTTCTTAACCATAGCTGCCCAGCGATAACATTTTGAACAAGCCCATAACACCATATCTCGCAAATCGCCACAAGTGCCGCTTAATCTCGTGTTTTCTCATTCGCACGTAGGTTTTCGCAGCCACTGTTAATCTGAGTGTGGTCCTTCTGGGTTCAGCTACGTGGTCCAGCGAAACTTCCGTCAAACTTTCACCACGCACCTGCTGTGGGCATCTTCAGGAGTTGAACTCCATTTCATCTCAGCTCTGCACTTCAGCTCGTGAAGATGCCTGCAGTGTAGGCCCCTAGTGCAAAAGCTTGAGAGAAATATTCAACACAGCCCAACCCACAAGACGACACTTGCACCCGAACGTTCTCATTAGCTGCACCGATTTGTGCCACATGCAGTTAGGTAGGCCAAGCGGATCTCACAGAGACAGGGGCCACACCGCATGGACAACGAGGCCACACTATCATGTGGGCAAGCCACACTTAACTTGGGGGACTCGAGGTACTCCGTCGAAGCGATGACATTATTTTAGTTCAATCCTCAATTTAAAACTCAACACAAGTGAATATTTTCAACTTCTAATATTAGTCGCAAATCCTACAACACTCATCACTTGTTTGGGTTAAAATTGTACCAACAAATGAGACCACCGAATTTGGTGATTCCAAGGTTAAAAATTAGTATACAAGGATTCCTCCATCCTTTCGGTGCGTTTTATGCAACAATTCAAGAAAACGTTGCTGCGGTGTTTTAAAAAGGTCGGTCTTCGGAGCAACTATCCGAGTACCAATGATCCGTGCGAAGAGCTGATGATCATTGAAAAACCATCGGACACTTCAGTCAGGCAGCCGTGTGCACCCAGCACTTAAAAAAACCCCATCACGTGATCAATATTTTTCAGACAGGGCGATCCATTCATAGATAACACATGGAGATATATCGGGAGAAAATTTAAACCAGATTTGTATGTGCATCTCCCAGCAATCTCTCCTGACACACCATCAAATATATCCCATGTAAAATTCTAACAACATTCAACAACGTGCAAGTAGAGGTCATTCGAAATTACTGGGGTATCGAAAAATGGGTCACCCGCCCTACTTCAGGCTTGACATCATTGTACAGCGGAACACGTCAATTTAAACTTTCAGAAGCAATGTACATGCAAAACACAAGGTACATCGGACGTTTCCGGAATTAACGCAAGCGCATTCCCTTAGACCGATGTGCAATTTCAAAATAAGTTAACATAGCTCTCCAATGTGTTTTCATGTTGTAATGCGTGTTCGTTCGGCACGACATCCGATGTTTCACTCGCGCGTACTGGGAGATTATTCAGCAAATGGAAAAACATTGGAAAGCTGTACAAGCACACACAACCGCGAAAACCCAAGCGGTAGTTTAAGTTCGTGTTGTTGTTGTTTGACGCCTGTAAACAATGGTAATTTCCTCACATGCTAAAACATCTACTCGTCGTCAGTAGCTATCAATCAAAATAATAATAAAAGTTGCTCGGTAACATTTCACGTGAACCTGAGGAGGGTATGAAAGGGGGTAAAAACAATAGCACCTGTAACAGCCCCCCTCTCCAGGAAGGGAGATGCAGCACTTCCCCCTCCTCCAATGCGCTCGTCGATGAAGCCAGGGGCCGAGCAGACGGGAGAGCATGGAAATGTTTATGCTGCAGGTGATCGCCGCAGTCTTTCAATCGACAAAACATTTAGAACACGGGCCTCCCCCCCCCCCCTCCAATCACCCCACCACCCCTCCTCCACCCTTCCCCACCTCTCTGCGGTGAGTTTGGTCACTACGCAGGCAGCCGCAGCAGTAACCTGGATTAGCGGGAGTCAAACTGGGTTCTGGGGGGTGGCTTGCGGGGCAGGCGGGAGTCCGGGCACGTCCATGCCCTGCCCCTCGAACTGCGGGATTATCCAGCCGCCACCCGGGCAATCGTCCTGCATTTGTTGCGGAGAGTCCATGGAGACGTCCGCTGTGAACGGGAGAAAAAACAAAAAAGAAAGTTGGGACGACAAATATAAAATCACACATACACATGGATTGTGCAATGCTTTCCTCAAAGAATGCGTCTTCGGAACGATTGTCACTACTAGCCTTTTTCCCGTCCAAGGACGGGTGTATTTCAGTAAATCTTAAACTTGCAAGCGAAAAGCAGACCGCGACGTGATATTCATTGTATCAATTCGTGTGCAATTGTAAGGCCGCGGTGACAGACTTATTCAATTTAAAGGTTATAATCCCTTGATCATCATCCCTTTAACTTCGATGTCTCAATAGCGTTACGGAGATCACGTGACGCGATGGTTCTGCCTTTGTAGTGAGGGTTGTAAGTTGACGCTGAGGAGGGGGGAGGTGCCTCGCCCCCATGTGGAGTGACGTCACCCACTCATTAATATTAATGGAGGGAGGGGGTGTCCATCTGGAGGCCATCACTTGTTCATGAGTATTGAGGTGGGCTGGCTGACGTGGAGTGACGTCACGCGCAGGACAGACATTCTTGGCTCATTATAGTAGTAAAAAATAGTAAGGAGGCCGACAGCTGTCGAGGAAAATAAGTTTACGTAATTGCATAGAGTTCTTTGTGCCAGGGTTTGTCTCCCCAAGTGTCGGGTAGCCGCTTTGATCAACGTGGCAGATTTTCAATAGGGTAATTCCCTCACAGCAACACCAGTGCGCTTTCAATGTAACCCTCTGCGTTGGAGAAGCTGCAGCACGCAGTGTCAATCCACTGCTGGATCAAAGCCGCTCCATACTGTGTTGGTTCTTGACGTTTGTTCGACCACACACCTCACCATGCTGGTCAGTGTGGCTTTGTTAATGTGTGAACCTCTTTTGCGCATGCCCTCACATGCACATTTTCAGCCTCGTCAATCCACTGCTGGATCCACACAGGAACAATCCAAATATTACTTCGCTGCTGACATCAGTCATGGCAAGGAATCGGACTCGTGGCCGCCGGGGCTCATAGCGCAGTGCACTAACCACTGCACCACTGTTCAATCCCTTGTCTGTGTATAGTTAACATGGCATTATGAAGTGGTGGATCACACGGCTCGCTCGGCTACGAATGGAGCGCGCAAGTGGTACCTGGCTGGAGCTGCGCGTAGTTGCAGGACGTGCTCTGTTCCGACTCGTTAGGTGCTCCTCCATAAGCCGCGTCGTATCCTGGGTCGTGCTTCTCCTCCTTGATGGCCATCAACTTGGCATCCTCTGCAAACACACAAGCATAAAATGTTCGTTATCGGGCCCCCATTAGTGAAATGCTACTCAGCTCAGTGAAAGGCAAGCCACATGGCTCATTTACAGATCACTTGGCCTGGGGCAACACCCCTGTTGAGAGATCAGAGCCAAACCAAAGAAGTCAGGACCTCTTTTGCACGTACATACATGTACACGTTCAGCCCTTTATCAATCCACTGCTGGATCGACACAGTGCGAGTCGTGAGGGTTATTTAAAGATACGTCACCATGCAGGGCACCGTGGGTTGAAGGCAGAGAGCTTCGACGTATGGTACAGCAATGGATGTTGGCTGCACTGCTTTCTGGTACTCCCTTGTTCACACCACTGATGGCAGAAGGGCCTTGAATATAGGGGGAACTAGGCAGCCTCTAAGGTATTTTGGCCTTCTCTTCCACATTCGTCAGGCATAGTACAAGACATTGGAATACCCGCACTTGACCCCACACCACACGCGCCCTGCTGATCGGATAACCATGGTGTAGGGTTGGGGGGTGGGGGATTTAAGATACTTGCACCATTGTTTCAACTTCCAAGCCAGGAGATTGAACCAGCTACATCTAAATTAAAAGTGTGTTGATCTGAAAAATGGAAGGAACAAAAAGAGAGAAAGACCCAACAGAGAATGACTTTACTACATAGGGGGTTGGTGCCAGAAAGATGTGGACTTCTTGAGCATATTGGCGCAAGACGGGTGAAAGTGGAAAAATAAATTATGAAATGTGCAGTGGACACCTACGGGGCGATCCGACCATGGATCGTGATGAAGACGGTGATGACCTCTGGATTTAAAAGTCCAATGTGCGAACCATTACACCAAGGCAGCAATCCACCCCCTTCTAAAAATGGTCCTTTTAACAACAATAAATATTAAATGAAACGTTTTAAACCACAGCTTCTGGATAGTAAAGTCACGTAGAAGGGAAGTAATAAAATAATAAAAATAAAACATAATAAATTTGATTACTTTTATTACTTCCCTTCTACGTGACTTTACCGAAAGAACCAAGAAGATGAATCCCTGCCGTCACGAAAGCTTTAAATCGAAATTTAAAGCTTCCGGATACTTGTGTCACCCCAGGAAGCCATAGCTGGAGCAGGGCACCACACCTTTAGCTTTGTGCAGGTCGAAGGTGTACTCCGTCTCCTGGATCTCTTCATTGGGTGTGACGCCCTTCGTGCTGTTCCTCAGCTCCTTCATCTTGATGTAGAAGTGAACCTTGTCCTGGGCGCGCGGGAACTGGGCACAGCGAGCGCTGGACGAGGGCATCACGTACACGATCTGCCGTCATGACGGAGGAACACACGGACAGATAGACACACGCACGCACGCGGTGGGTTTTACAACGTTTCTCCATGGGCAGATCCCAGCTCTCAGCAGTTTTGTGTACGTTGCACAGCCCGTAAAATAACGATTTTAACTATTATTAGTACGTTCGGTATTCACAACTTTCTTTTAGCGCAAGGCTCATCTGAAGGCGCAATGATTCACGGACAGGTATAGTCTGCCAGTAAGGGAGGCAATGTTTGCCATGTGGGTTTATCAAAGCCCGGCATGAACTACTTCGGAGCCGAGGAACAGCTGAGAACAGTAACTGTAGCAGCAACATCCGTTTGCCCTCATGTAAATACACTCGTGGCAAAAAAAATAAAATGATCGCAAACTCACAATGTCCGTTTCAGGGATCTTGTTTGGTTGCTCACCAAACTGAAAATTTTTTATCTTCTCTCCAAAAACTTCCTTGAAGAAAATTTCAAAAATGCCTGAGGACAACAAAGAATATTTGAGCATTTTGCAGTACAACAAATTTTGCCGTGCTGTCCACAACGTAGCCCTGTTGCAGCCGACAGCACATGTTTTATGTACGTTGTTCAACCAAACGCTCTCCTTTGTTTGCTTAGCCTCCGAGATCTGACGAGATGGGGCGCATTCTGCAACAGCATACAGCAATTTTACTTAGCAGGGGGGGCAACTCTTCGACAATGTTTTAGATGTATTTTTAAAGCAATGTCAGAATTATCCTGATGATATCTGTAGAATCTTGATCTCTGTATTCTAATAAAGAAATGGATTTACAGTATATACCAATATCAACCCTAGTGTATCATGTAAAAAAATTACTTCACTCATTTTTTGGTGATAAAGGATCACTTCTGCAAATGAATCCTGGTCTCTTGGAAGTTGCCACCTGGTTAAACAAAATAAACATGAGTCACACGAGCGTGTTTTTTTTTACACCGGTGCAGTTTTAGACGCTTACATTTCCCGTTGAAGACTGCGATAGTCGGCTTGAACTTTTGCAACTTCTGCAAAAGAATCTTCCCTCCTTCCCTGATCTCCTTACTGAAATCAAAACACGCACACACATATACACACACACACAGGGACACATTTTCTATAAAGAAGTAGATACACACAAATTATAGACAAATATCCCCATATAGTATTTACATTGCTCGTTAGATAATGTGATGTTTGTGAGACCAATGAAGGTCTACACAGCACACACGAGATTAGTGTTGTGGCCAGAACAGCGTACAGTTGCTTGTCTTCATTCGAATAAAACAGTACATTTAAAACCCAGGGGGGACAAGCTGCAAGATCTACCACTGAAATTCCTGATCTTCAGACGACACAGCAAACACGTGCATGTGAATGCCACAGTTTTCTCACAAAAACACGAAATATGCATCTTCTTGGTTCTTTCGGTAAAGTCACGTAGAATGTAAATAATAAAATAATACAAATAAAACATTATAATATGCAGTGCATATCTAGTAAACAGCATCAGTTTCTGCTATTCGACACAAGGCTGCCTACCATGCGTAACATTCGATTATAATCGATACAATGCAACACAGATTGTCTCCAGTCCGGTGAGCTATGGCGGGTGACAGTTCACTGGTATTGTGGGAAGCGTATACTACCACTTGGCCTGTGCTGCAAAACCAAGGGCCCTGTTGCTTCCCTAATTACTATGGCACGTCACAAAATGCTCACCTCCCATTGGCCGGAGAGGCGGCTTTCGATGTTGTACTGGAACACGTGGACCGTTTTACAGACCCAGTGACCATACGTGCAATTTTTTTCTCTCTCAATGTCAGCACCAGATTGTGCCATAGGCATCACGTCACGAGACAAAATAACCATTCAGATCTCTCTGTGTTGGAGAACGACCCGCTGAAGCGAATATCAATCGCAGAGCTAGGACAACAGGGCCTCGTGTACCTCTTGAGATCTTTGCTGCCTGGCGTGGTCCGCTCCACCATGTTGGTGAATCCAATGCCATATTTTTCTGGCAGCGACTTGTCATCAAGATGGTTGAGAAGCTGGTCTGTGAGTCCAGACAGGAATAGGCACTTCCCTAGAAAGAAAGACAGGATATGGAAAAATTAGGTCGACGACAAACTTGAGAACATCTTGTGGAGAAACAGCAGATACGCAAGCAAATAGGTAGACACTAGGGATGAGTTTTTCTATGTTAGTATGCCGATGATATTATTAGGGGAGTTTACGTAACCCATAGATTCCAGAGTTAAGTTAAAACAGACCGTAACTTCTCTGAAGCAGAGCAGAGTTGAGCCCAGTTTGTACTTGGATGGGAATCTAGCAGGGAATATCAGGTACTGCAGGCTTGGGCTGCAAGGTGGGTTAAATAAAACTGCGGATCTCCAAATATTACTCACACTTGGGATTTCTGGGTGCTCCCATTTCCTCCCACAAGCCAAACACTCATTCAGTTCATTATCCAAATATCTCAGGGCACTCCTGTGATTCAAGACTCAGTTTGGCTTTATGGATATATTAAGGGCATTTTTATTTTACCAAAGCTAGAAATACATTTTCGGTCATTTACAACAATTCACGAAAAATGAGCTTAACAACAACAAAAGATATTGTCAAGTCGTTTTGTTGCTGGCGTTGTGAATGGTGGTTCCTTACAGAAATGGTTTCCTGGTCCAGGGTAGTGATGCCCCTTATAGGCTGCCATCAGGCCAGGGTTGATGCCAATCTACAGAGAAAAGCAGCAGCCATCACCATCATTGTATTCATCCAAAATACACAGGGATCATGTATGCTATAACGTATGCAAACCTTCCTGCTACCTCCCTATTTTTGTAATAGTGAAACTTCAATATTTTAGCATAAGCTAACCAATTTTTTTTAAGTGCCACAAAATCATCTATTGAATTAACAGTTTCCCCAAATCTACCATGCATCCGTGTCCCCTGATACCTCTTCACCGCCACATCTGAGCTGAGACGGCATGGCTATTTGGTGAGGCCGAGCCATGACCCAAACGTGACACACTGGCAAAAATGCATCCGGCTTGGAGCAAAGCAGGGCCCAGACCAGGGTGAGACTAAATGACTCGTACAATTAGTGTGACAACAGCAGCCAGTACATCGAGGACACGTCACTCACACGTGTCTCGACTCATGTCAGCAGCACAAGCTTGGCTTCCGCATTGGAAAAAAGACATGGCACATCCTGTTCACCCAGGGCCTAACTTGGCATGGCCACGGCATGGCTACAATGTGCCAGTTGAAAAGTGTTGTAAAATAACGATTTAATTGCTTTGCCACATTTTAACCTTCAATGACCGAAAAGGGTGGTGAGTGTGCTTCACTACGATTGTTGTGAAGCACAAGGAAGTTAACTTGTGGGTATTCTCACAATGACAATGTCGAGGTTGAAGGTGAGGATGTCTGGCAGAGTCTTCAGCAGTAGCTCCGCCTCCGAGACACCGTTGAATCGATCCACCTTCCGCTTCACCTTCTGAAACGTGTCCGTAATCTTCTCCTGCTTGCCGCTGCCAGGTTTCCTCCCGGGCCGTCCCTTCTCCTTGGGTGGCTTCGGCTCCTTGGGCGGCTTGGGCTCCTTGGGGGGCTTGGGCTCCTTGGGGGGCTTGGGCTCCTTGGGGGGCTTGGGCTCCTTGGGGGGCTTGGGCTCCTTGGGGGGCTTCGGTGCTTTGGGCTCCTTGGGTGGCTTTGGGGGTTTTGGTTCCTTGGGTGCCTTCGGAGGCTTTGGTGCTTTTGGTTCTTTTGGAGCCGCCCTCTTGCGTCCTCTGCCAACTGACACCAAAAACAACATCATAATCATCGGCTAAAGAAAGGAACACCCGCGAGGGGACGTCCATGATGAATTATCATCAGCAGGTGGCATTAACATTCAATTGGGGAACACCGATGTTATATCATGAATTACCTTCATCCATGACAAATCCACAGCTAGATGAAGACCTCACCAAACCGTCAACATTTATCCCATTCCTAAGATGCAAAAAATCCAACAAGCAGCTGTACAAACTAATTTCACCACTCCCATCTCTGCAGTAGACGAGACGGTGTTGTTGACTGCTAAGAAAGTATCAGAATTGATCTGAACTTGCATCTGCGATCCCCTGCAATGTTGGAAGGTCACAAATTGGTTGGTCCATGTGTAAGCTAATCCATGGATCATAATCACCACCAGCAATGATCCATCACCTGGTTATAATATTATTGCATGAAATTCCAATAACGAAATCACAGTGAATGAACCTAATTTTGTCAGATACAGGAAGATGAACAGTGTGGTAGGAGTGAGTCAAGCACAAAACCGGTGTTTGTAGGCTGCTGCGGGGGCTGCAGGGCAAGTCATGCAACAAAATGTATTCTTGTACTGGACTATGCTTCATTTAGGCTCTGCGCTCTCACCTACCTACCTACCTACCCTGTCCAGCGTGGCGAAGCAAGATCAACCCCCACGACCTGCACTGCATGGGGAAGGGCCCCGATTGAGATAAAGGGCTGTTAAGCACATGCATGTTACGAATCAAAACTGTACCCGTTATCGTCTCATCAAGCGCCCTCTTAGTCGAAGTCACATGGCAAGCCTCACCAGGAACGGGGTTGGCCGGCTTGGGAAGAGTGCCTTCGGCTTGTGGCCGCCCCGCAAAGTCCGGACAATGCGCCGGCTGCGCGTTCTGTAGTTGCGTGTAAGCCGGTTCGTGTGCTGGTTGGTCTGCTCCGTGCGGAGACTCCGGCGAGTGCTGGCCGCTCCACACGAGGGAGCCGGCGGCGTGATGGCTCATGCCGGCCGCCAACAGTCGTTGGTACTGCATCTGCAACACCTGCGGGTCCGCTGCGTTTAGCCTGTGGGAGCAGTAGAAAATGCAAGAGCAAAGCATGCTTATTACCGCGTAGGTGTTCGCTTTTGTGCCACGCGTCGTTCCAATACGGTTTTTTGGGTTGTGCCGTGCGATTAATTGCCACGTGTCCAACGTTTCGCTCCACCTGCTGGGAGCTTGTTGAGGAACAGAGATTATTGTTTCTGACGGAAGCTCCCCGCACGTGGCATGAAACAGTGGACGTGCCACATACACGGCACAACGCGAAAACAGAGAAATTGCGCAGTTTCGTTTTTAATCAGTGTAAATTACCTGCCAAGATTCGGATTGGAAACAGGGACACCCGACTAAAGAAATGGCGCAAAAACTGAAAGCACAAATAAGCATGGAGAGGCAAACTCTCGGAATTACACCGAAACAAATGGATCAGTGAACGTATGCTTATCGACATAAGAAAAGCAGGCGGACTTGGGCAGGGAACATCGTTAAGGGATGGCCAGCAGCCGAGACCAACGAGAGTGGCAGCTAAAGGAGAGAACGCGATTAAGGAGACGTGCACAGAACTTAGGATTAAGTGGTTTGTTAAATGTAAAAATCACTACTTTGTAATTTTCATTCGTATGGCATTAAGTGTATGGCTTCATCGATGGTTGAGTCCACTTATGTTTGGAATATGCAGTGTTTTCTCCATGTAGGACGTCCATCATACATACACGAACAAAAAAATCGACTGTCCTGTCAATCTACTGCTAGAGAAAGGCCTCCCCATACCAATTTTTCAATGGGGTTTGACCATATTTCACACTGGTCATTGTGGGGTGGGAAGGGAGCATAGGATCAGTTCAAATATCACTCATTGCTGAGGTTAGCCATGGCTGGGAATCAAACTTAATCGGCAGGCTCAGTGCGGTAAACTATCCACTACACTGCCTCCATCATGCTGTTTACTTCATTTTGGCTTCTAGTCTAGGATGCAACCACTGACACCACATGCTTAGTAATTGGATGCAATATCTTTGGATGTGTCCAAGGCATTAATTTTAATGAGGAAGAATATAATTTGTGGCATACCGGCACACATCACGAATATTAATGCTGAATGGGGCTCTGGTTGCTCAGGATGCAAAGGATTCACGTAATGCATGGCGATTAATACGAATTGCCACCATTCAAGGGTCGTAATTTGAAAATCAACAATTTTTATCCAATTTACGGCATCTCATTTGTATGGTTAGGCTTGTATGTTGTGCGTCTTGTTTGCTCCATCTCGGTCATTCTATGACCTAATATTGCGCCAAATGTACATGTCAATTACTTATACATGAAAGCCCTTCTGAGTCTCAAGGCTCTTTGTTGCTGCTCCAGCGGGTGGTTGACTAATTCAATTAAACGAGTTAGATTTTTTTTCTCCGCTATCTTCATTAAAATGAAATTCTCTACTTAATTTGTATGTGGCTGTACGAGTCAAATGCAATTAATAAGGCTGCATGTGGGAGGAAGCCAGAGAAAACCCACCATGCAAGCGAGGAGGGGAGTGGGGTAGAGAGACACTCAAGCAATAACATTTCCGAGACACCTAGTTGCTGTACTCCCCCACAACACCTGGTAAGTCCTGGCGGTCACCCAATCCAAGTACTAACCAGACTCATCACTGCTCAGGTTGCTAGATGCAACAAACAAGATCGGAGGACATTGAAGGTAATTTTATTGAAGGCATATTACTTAAATTAACGTTTATATGTGTAGAAATCTTCAATAATTGTTTCTCATGGAACAATTCTATGCATCTTCTTGGTTCTTTCGGTAAAGTCACGTAGAAGGGAATAAAATAATAAAAATAAAACATAATAAAATAATTCTCACGACGTCAGACGCTGTCTCCCCGACAGACCTGGTCTTCACCTGAGGACGGCCGCTTGCGTTGTGGCCGAAACGTCGTGAGAATTATTTTCTGTTTTATTTGTATTATTTTATTATTTCCCTTCTACGTGACTTTACCGAAATAACCAAGAAGATGAATCCCTGCAGTCACGAAAGCTTTAAATCGAAATTCTATGCATGTATCTCGAGTATATGCATCGATTTTAGTCAATGAATGGATCGGCATCATGCCCCGCCCCCGAAGGTTACATAATGGCAGGCGCTCTCATCAATATTAATTAGCTCAGGGGTCAGTGGGGGGGGGGCAGGAGATGGCGGGGGCATCCAGAAGTTATGTTTGTCACATGGAGAGCCATCTGGCACCCACCCCTGCTTCCTTCAAATGCGCCCATGGCGTCTACACGTAAATGGAATATAATTACGAGGGATGCACCGATTCGTTAACCGAAATAAAAGTCTTACACTCGCGATCATTGTCGTCATGACCAATGATCAGGGCCTCCCCAACCCGAATTGTCACGATTCAGAGTTGCGTTTCACAACAACAATCGCCAAGTTAGCGCTTCGGTGAATGGTAGCGCCAGAAAGACTAACCCATTACAATTCCTACAAGGTACAAATTAAAAAAGTGGCAATTTAAACTTAACCACACTGGTTCGGTACAACCGGAATGAAACCCTTTAAACTACAGTACTTCCTTGAGAGGATTTAAAATTGGCAAGTATTTGGAAAACAGTTTAACCTAGTTTTCAATGGTCAAATTGGTTAAACCAAGTCGGTTCATTTCTCCGCCACGTGGATTGGGTCGTTAGGTATAAACGCTGCGCAGTAAATTTCCACATCAAAGAATAAAACGTGGTGCGAGTGGCGACTAATCTCCGACGGAGTGGTACGAGTAATATAATGATGAATAAGCTCACGAGCCATTCCACTTCCACTGAAACGGAAAATAAAAGTCGTGTGAACCCGAGAGAAATGTCCATCCGCATTTATTTTAAGCGGGCAAACCTCGCTCAAATGTTACTTATCTGGTCCAGCTCTCGCTGCCATCAGAATGTAATTTTAATCCGAGCTCATGCTGCTGCAATGGTAGTGAACTAGACTTTACCAAGCCAGATAAACCACTTGGTTTGACTAAACAAGTTCAACAACCACAGTTGGGAGTCATTTCCAATTCCAATTGTGTAGTTGATAATCACAATGTAATGGGCAATCTCGGCTAACAACGCTACTGTCATTGTAATCACAGCTGAAAAAAAGCTGCCATACTTGTTCAGAGTGAACAGAGGCTGGGTTTTGCCTCACCAAGCCAGTTCAGCTACGTGGTTTTTACTAAACCATACTCTTAGGTTTTTTCGGTAAAGTCACGTAGGTAAAAATAAATAATAATAATGACTTTACCGAAAAAACCTAAGAGTATGAATCCTTGCAGTTACGAAAGCTTCACATCTAGAATATTACTAAACCAGTTGAACGGCCAGACCTATTATAATTTACAATGATAAATTCGTAATTGGCCATCGCAATGTAAAGAGCAATCCCAGCTAACAAACGCTGCCGCAATTGTTACTACGCACCCCATGTATCCAGTCCAACCAAGTTGAGTCTTGCTTCCACTAAAACCAGTTCAACATCCGAACGTTTGGAAGGACGTAATTGACAATGGGCAATGTAATTCGTAATCACAAAATAATCTTAATTGTGATTAGCACGTTCTCTCCGGGTCCTCCTACTTCCCTCCTCCCTCCAAATTTAAAATCAACATTCGGCTGCTATAAAAAAAACAATTCACGTGATGATAATGAAGCCATCTCAGTTTTCAGAAGCGACCTGCGATAACCAGGTCGCTTCTGAAAGAGCTACGTAGCTCAGGTGGGGGGTGGTGGGAGACCTTACCTGGTAAAATAAAAAAAACACAGGACCATTGGAACCTCATTTGCCAGTAAAAAATGATAATTGTCTTTTTACCCTTCTATCTGGCAACAAAACCGACACCTTTTTTCAAGGAGTCAAGTTTGCATAGACCACAATACCTGCAGCCATAATGCCAGATAGAAGGGTAAAAAAAACAATTATCAAAACCACAGGAGTTTTAGTTAAAGTTTATAATGGGCATGATCGGAGGGCCCTTCCAGCTGCCTTTGGCATGGCCAGTCAGGGCCCACATGGCACGCGTGACGTCACTAACGGTCGTGGATTTAAACGACAATGGGGGGGGAGGCGCGACAATGGATGGGCCCACCACCACGTGCTGTGTCCATTTAAAAAACTACAAAAAAGCTATCTCGCGGTTAGACGCAGAAGCGAAATTATTGTTAACAGAGCACTCCGACCCCCCTCTCAAGACCCTGTCAAGAGGCCACGTTCATTTGCCTCGGTGTTGTCCTGATACGGTGGTGCTGTGTGATACATTGAGGGTTAAACTGTGTATTTTTGGTTGTTGCAATTTCACGTGTTTAAACTCACACTGGACTACTGTATTAAAAAGGGGACATTGTCCCTCAACCATTCCTCACTTTGCATTACAATTGTTAACGATCATCATCTCAGGGGAGGTAAATAGAGCACTACTTTAAAAGTACTAAACTTAGTAAAACAGTGATGGCACCAAAACGTCAATCTTCAGGGTGGTATAACATTGATAGTGCTTCATGATAATCTTTACTTTTGATCAGAATACAGTATATTAGTATGTAATACATTATCAAGGGCGGCCAATCAAATAAGTAGCACAACGCGAGAATTTAAATGCAGAAAGAACCAAGAATATAATTTAAATGCAGTTTAAGTATCAACGTCATCTTAAGGGTTCGATAAATTAACTATTACACCTATTTCCAATAGTTAAAAAATACAGTAACGCAACCTATCTATATTAAAACAAAACATTGCTATGAAACAAAAAATACCCATTTCATTGATCAAAAATCGTCGGCCCAATGGATGGACCGGCTCCCGTCACGTTAACGTGGAATTAACCAACCATCGGCTTGGCATCGAAATAATTAGGCAGCTCTGCTGCTACGTTCTTGGCAGTCCAGCAACACACGTGTTGTTGTACAGTACTTTCTATCCTGCCACGTGTCAATGCCTCACAGCCATCAACCCACACGAACCAGACCGGTGAAGTATGGTCGAATTAAAACAATCTAGCAATGGCTTGACAAAAGTGGCTTCTACGTGTACAAATACACGAACATATATATGCGGTGCTAATCATAACCCTTGACAAGCGCGATGAAGTATGGTTCATACAAACACAAACCCAACGATACACGTGGCGTGTCGTGAGGGAGAGGCCACCATCCAGCAGTGGATTAACCCAAGTGGCTGTACGCGCTCAACCAAATGTACCACCAACTCGTCGTCGTTGTTGTTGCGGCCAACACATACACAGCCAATACAAACCACACGAACGCCGCCATCTCTCACCAGCCAAAGGCAGGGGCCTCGTTACCCGCAGGTAACACAGCGTCCATTGCCGCAGAGTTCAGTAGAAGCAGCAGCAACAGCAGGCGAAGAGGACACGGGGTGAGAGAGTCGAGCAGAAACCCCGGCAAGCATTCAATAGCGAGCTGAAGAGGGGGGGGGGGGGGGCACTGTTCGTCTCTATAGGCCCCAAAGAGATGAGCCAACACACAAGCGGTAGCAGCGAAGATTTAAGCAAGGCACCGGTGGGCCAAGTACACTGCCCGCCGATCGCTGGAGTGGTTGTTGCAGCAAGACTGTGTAGCGCTTAGGAGAGATACCCACACACGTACGCGCGGACGGAGCCTTGTACCCTTTGTGTCAGAGGAGGGATACGAATAAAATTCTGATCGCAAAGGCCCAGGGACTTGCTCCAACAAAAGAACGGACGATGCCGGCAAAAATTGTGGACACGCCTTCGTTACCGCCCCCTTTCCCCAAGTAGCCCCGCCCCCTTTCCAGATGACTCCGCCCCCTTTCCAGATGACTCCGCCCCCTTTCCCCAAGTAGCTCCGCCCCCTTTCCAGATGACTCCGCCTCCTTTCGCAAAGTAGCTCCGCCCCCTTTCCAGTAGCCCAGCCCCCGACGGTTCAAGCACGCGCCTTTCGACCAATGGGCGTTGGGCACATTGCAAGAGAAGTGGGGGGGGTCTGATAAGGGCAACTCCCCCCACCCCTCAACTTCGCAGTGGAGGGGGAGGGGCGAACGATGGTGACGTCATCACCACCTTCCAAACAGACGGACTCCACCATTCTGGAAGGCGATGCTTTTGAGAGGACATGACGTCACGTCGATGTGTAAAACTCAGCGCCATCTTGCATGGGGGTGGGGGTTGATTGACAGTTTTGGTTTAAATTGTGAAAACTCAAAGAGATTAGTCGCCAATTGCATTAAAAAACACATCTTAAGTGAACATACCCATACCGTGTCAACTCATACGGTTTGTACCGTATTCTTATACAGGGAAATTGAGTTGTCAGGTCCATACGGTGCATAGTCGTTTCATTACGGGCACAAAAAACATAATTTTGTGTACTCTTAGGTTTTTTCCGTAAAGTCACGTAATAATGTAATAATAATAAAATAAAATCAATAAATTAAATTTAGTTAATAACAATAAATGAAAATAACAAAATTTTATGTAGTTAATAACAATAAATGAAAAATAACTTAATTTAATGTAGTTAATAATAATACATGAAAATAACTAACTTTAATTTAATTTAGTTATTTTAATTTATTATTATTTTATTATTATTTTACCTACGTGACTTTACCGAAAAAACCTAAGAGTATGAATCCTTGTAGTCACGAAAGCTTCAAATCTATAAATAATTTTGTGTCTGTTTCTCCCTTGTGATGGGAATTTGTAGAATGAACGTTGAGATGTATAAAGGTCACGGGGTGACCAATAAGGTCTGAATTGGTCTGTAATAAGGTAGGGCACTGATAACGGGTTGACAGGTATGCATATCTCTTAACACTGATTTCAATTCATAATCAACGTTTTTGGGTTAGATTGCGTTATTTATAAATGTGTCGTAACCCTCCACCACCCGACACGGCCAATCAGCAAAAAAGTGTCACGTTGACAAAAGACAAAATAGTTCACTGCTTTAGCCCACCGGTGTGTTGAAGCGTGAAACCACAACATTTACAATTTTTGAGTTGTACGACGTTTCGCTGGTAATTGCATCCAGCGAATTGCCCGATGATGCACGCCACTGATGTTAGTCGTGGCCCGGAATCGATTATGTCAAAGTGCAATACACTGATCACCGCGCCACCGCTCCGATTTAATAAACACCAGATTTTAAAAAAACATGCCATAACATAAGTACAATTCTAACAAATATAATATGACACGTATAATACATGTGAAACCATGAGAGTAGAACCACGTGGATCAGAGAATATACATAAGGGAGAGAGGCAAACACTGGTAGGGACCTCCTGGTTACACCAGCCCACAGGGGATTATTGTGCCCGTCGTGCAGGGAGGGGCTGGGTGGGGAGGGAGGGGCTGGGTGTGGAGGGGAGGGTGGGGAGGGACTGGGTAGGCAGGGAGGGGCTGGGTGGGGAGGGTGGGGCTGGGTGGGGAGGGGAGGGTGGGGAGGGACTGGGTAGGGAGGGAGGGGCTGGGTGGGGGGGGTGGGGCTGGGTGGGGAGGGGAGGGTGGGGAGGGGCCTGGTGGGGAGGGTGCGGGGTGAGGCTGGGTGGGGGGAGGGTGGGGAGGGGAGGGTGGGAAGGGGCTGGGTGGGGAGTGGCTGGGTGGGGAGGGGCTGGTCACCCCGTGGTGCCCTTATAAAACTCAACGTTTAACCTACTCACGCCGGCTTGTGCCCGCCCTCACAGTCGGGCATATTTGCGGAATACACCACGCCGCCGTTGACCCTGCAGGCCGACGTTCGTACCAGCTCCCTCCGCAGGAATGCGTTATTGAGTGTTGAAGAAAAGCAGAGGGGGGTGCTTGGGCAGGGCACGTCATGGCCAGAAGGGACAACAGGCGGTGGTCGAGACTCAGCACGGAGTGGCAGCCAAAGGACGGAATGCGTCTGGGTAGCGAATTCAGCTTCGTGTGCAGAAAGGCTCCAATCACTGAATCGTTATTTTGAGTGCCAGTACCGGCCTCAATAAAGTAGGCATCAGTGTACGTGGTTGTCTAGATGTCGTGTGACCCCCAATTTATCAGCATCAGAATATGTATTTATACTGGAGGAATCCGATTAGTTATAAAGCTATTTTTTTACAGGTGTCCAGTAGGGGGCGGTTAAGAACGTTACAACAACAAACTGTAAAAAACATGATGGCAGTGCAAAGTACAAGAAAGGTAAACAAATCACCCAAACACATACAAATAAAACTTAACCATCCCCATCCCACCAGGCTAAGCCCACTGAGATTTGAACTTATTTTTCAGAAACAACCTGGCCACAAATGATAGCTCAACAAAGTAGCCTTATCATTTGGACATTTATAGCAGCAAAATAATCGAAATAATCTCAATGCATGTTTCTAAAATGTGGAGGGTATAAATTGGACAAAAAATCCACGCGACCACGGGAGAGAGAGAGACATGCAAACTCCAAATATACAGCAACCGGCGTCAGGGTCGGGATCAAACCCCCGACCGCCTGCATACCAGTCTAGGAAGATAAACAAAACATATACGGTAAGTTCAAATATATTCTATGGGGTTTTCGCTAAAGCCACGCAGATAAAAAAAAATATCACGACGTTTCGATCGCAACACAAGCAATCGTCTTCTGATAGAATATGTATTCCTGCAGTCACGAAAGCTTTAAGTCAAGATATACATTCAAATTTCGTCGTCAACTCCCAAGCTTAATTGACACCTGACATTTTGTGACCTTTGTATATTCATTTATGTTTTAAATAAATCTCACTTTAAACAAACTTACATTAAGTTTTAGAGAATTAAATGGGGGGGGGGGGTCACAAGCCAGCGGAACGGGGGAACGTTGGAGCAACAGAGCAAGAGGAATGAAAATTTAGACCCCGTCACGACCTCAGCGGCTGACAACGACTGAACGAATAGCACGAGAAATGTAAGTAGTAAATAAACATTCAGAAAATATGTGAAAAGTAAAGAAGACAGTTTAAAAAAATTAAAAAATTCGATTTTATGGGAAGGCAAGTCTAAATAGGTGTCCGTGGCCAGCTCGCTTCTTAAAAAAAGTTACATAGCTCAGTGGGCCTTACCTGTTAAAATAAAAAATAATATAGTTTGTAGTTTAGCACGTAGGCTTTCGCAACCAATATCATCCATAATACAGGTTTTTTGGGGGGGTTAAATGGCATAAATATAAAGTGTGTCGTTAAACCCGCCAACATCCGACAGCCAATTAGTAAGGGTTGTCCCATAAACAGAACGTGCCAATTCGTCACTAGTGTTGTGTAAATGTTGTGGATTTTCTCTCCAACGACGTCGTACTCAGATTGCAAATGTTGTGGCTTTGCTCTCCAACACACCGGTGTGCTGAACTAGTGACGAATTGGCACGTTCTGTTTACGTCACAAACCTAATTGGCTGTGTCGGGTGGTGGCGGGTTTAACGACACATTTATATTTACGCGATCTAACAAAAACACCTGTAAAATAGTTTATCGTTTAAGAGACACTCGGCGCGTTTCGGATGCCCTGTCAGCGGTTTGATGAAGCCTACACGCAACAGTGGATGGAACATGGTTGATGACGGACCTGACCTCACGACGTTTCGGGCGCAGCACAAGCACCCTTCTTCAGGTGGGGACAACTTAGCGAAAGCACAACATAAGTTCTCCCCACCTGAAGAAGGACGCTTGTGTTGCACCCGAAACGTCGTGATTTTATTTATTTAAATTTTTTACCTACGTGACTTTACCGAAAAAAATAAAGAGGATGAATCCTTGCAGTCACGAAAACTTCAAATCTAGAAGTACAGAACCGGTACATTCTGTTAAGAGAATGACTTGCAGGTTGGATGTCGATTACATGTCATTAAATCACTTGTAATTATATCCACAAGCAGCTGAGGGCGTGGTTTGATATAGAGGATTAAACCGATACAGAACACACCGGAAGGTGTTGTGTAACCGACACCACGGCAGAGTGGACGCAGCCACACATCGAATGGGAATATGAAATGGAGTCCAGACAAGTGACATTCAGGTAAGGGCACGTTTTTATTTAAACGATTTTCTCACTCTCGTGGGAAGTTCACATCAAAAACGGCAGTCTCTCGTCCTCTTCACATCCCATTCCTCCGTCTTTCTTCTAGAATGTTCACTCGGTTCCCCTTGTCCTGACCAATCATCTCCCATCTCCGTGAGGCGTCTCCAGCCGTTCTGCGTTTTCCCTTAGAATCCTATAAAGTACCAGGGGTGGGAAACGTCCGGCCCATGGGCCGTAGAAGGCCCACGAAATCATTTGGTGTGGCCCTACCAAGGCAACCGCAGGTGGGACTCGAAATTCAATAAATCTAGGAGCAAACCTGGAAAAGCAGTTGCGAGTAGCAACATCATCAATACCATATTCTTGGTTCTTTCGGTAAAGTCACGTGGGAGGGAAATAATAAAATGATAAAAATATAAAACTAAAATTCTCACGACGTTTCGACTGCAACACAAGCAAATCATCATCAGGTGTTGCAGTCGAAACGTCGTGAGAATTTTATTGTTTTATATTTTTATTATTTTACTATTTCCCTTCTACGTGACTTTACCGAAAGAACCAAGAATATGAATCCCTGCAGTCACGAAAGCTTTAAATCAACATCATCAATACCAGCTAACATCACACGCCTCGCCAAAGAGAAGCAGTTCCAGCCCATCGCATTAGCGGTGAGTTAATTAAATGTTTGACCAAATATAACAGGCTAATTTTTAAGTTGATCATTTTGTATGGCCCGCGAATTATGTTATAAATATCCAAATGGCCCTTGGCAGACTAAAGGTTCATACTCTTAGGTTTTTTCGGTAAAGTCACGTAGGTAAAAATAATAAAATAATATGTCTACCTACGTTAAAATCCTTGCAGTCACGAAAGCTTCAAATCTAGAAAAAAAAATGTTCCCCACCCCTACTCTAAACCAAGGCGACCGAGCGGCTGGGGTATTCTATGGCATGATATTTCGCACAGCGGTGCATTCCGCTCTTGCTGACGCGCTTGTCTTCTGGTTTGACCACCTGAACGTGAAATTGTGTAAGTTGTTGATCTGGAATTACGAGAAAAAGACCAAGCCGGTGCGCATTCCCCTGACAGCTATCACACGACAGGGCTGTTTATTTGATTGAGGAGGAACTTCGGAGACCCGTACACATGCAATTGTTACGAATTTTGTTGTAATCCATGAATCGATGCATTGTTACGCGCCTGCAACAATGTACACCCTTGTTTTCATTAAATAGGAAAAATTACTCAGCTTATGGAATTCATATTTAAGTGAGTTGAGTAACTTTCCATGTTCCAAACGTAACTGTTTCTCATTCATGGTGGCCACTGCCAGCCTCTTATGTTGAGACTGACACCCTGAATTTCTGTACAGTCGTTAATCGATTATAATTGCCATTGGATGGAAATCTATGGCATGATATTCATACGAAGCCACACACACATCGGTTGAAGTAGATGGTGATGAGAATGGTTATAAGGATTTTAAAGAGCATAATTTGGTTTGATGAGATGGAGAAGGATAAGGAAGGGGAGCGAATGGATGAAGGAGGAGGAGGATGATGATGATGAGGTTTGTGGCTGCCAGGTGAAGGTGAGCCCCTGCTGGGCGGACCCTACCTCTGGTGCCACCCCCCGCAAAGGTCAAAGCCCTCCCCGGAAACCTCTCTCAGACAGCAGCCGGACACGGCCAGCCCTCCCCCTCCACTAGCAACCACATCATCATCACCACCATCATCATCATCAGCTACTGCCTCATCATCATCAAGCCGCATCAAAGGCAGGAGCAGCTGGGACAATGGTGAGTGAGTGAGAGTGAGATAGAAGCAGGGGAGAGTGGAAGCCACAGCGAGGTTGTTCTTGCCACTCCACCTGCGTTTACCTGGCCAAGAGGGACGCGCTAATCCGCCTTGACGCAGCGCGCTTCCGCGTTGGAACCCCGCTCACCAGCGCGCTCTAACACGCGTGCGTACGTGGGAAAGGGCCTTCATCGAACAGTGGATCGATCCTGGCTGCTGCTGCTGTTCGTGATACACGTGGAGCGAGCTGTCGGTTGTTATAACTTACAGGGGCTGTACACCTGTACGCGTGGGGAGACCATCAAACAGTGGATTAATGATTATCATCTTCGACTTTTGTAACGCGTACCAGTGGTATAACGCACGATACACGTGTCTAACACGGCACGTGTCGGCGTTATAACTCAGCGCTGTAACACAGTGAATGAGTCTCGTTATAACTCAGCGCTGTAACAGTGAATTGGTCTCGCGTTATAACTCAGCGCTGTGACACAGTGAATGAGTCTCGTTATAACTCAGCGCTGTAACAGTGAATTGGTCTCGCGTTATAACTCAGTGCTGTGACACAGTGAATGAGTCTCGTTATAACTCAGCGCTGTAACAGTGAATTGGTCTCGCGTTATAACTCAGCGCTGTGACACAGTGAATGAGTCTCGTTATAACTCAGCGCTGTAACAGTGAATTGGTCTCGCGTTATAACTCAGCGCTGTGACACAGTGAATGAGTCTCGTTATAACTCAGCGCTGTAACAGTGAATTGGTCTCGCGTTATAACTCAGTGCTGTGACACAGTGAATGAGTCTCGTTATAACTCAGCGCTGTAACAGTGAATTGGTCTCGCGTTATAACTCAGCGCTGTGACACAGTGAATGAGTCTCGTTATAACTCAGCGCTGTAACAGTGAATTGGTCTCGCGTTATAACTCAGCGCTGTGACACAGTGAATGAGTCTCGTTATAACTCAGCGCTGTAACACAGTGAATTGGTCTCGTTATAACTCAGCGCTGTAACACAGTGAATGAGTCTCGTTATAACTCAGCGCTGTAACAGTGAATTGGTCTCGCGTTATAACTCAGCGCTGTGACACAGTGAATGAGTCTCGTTATAACTCAGCGCTGTAACAGTGAATTGGTCTCGCGTTATAACTCAGCGCTGTGACACAGTGAATGAGTCTCGTTATAACTCAGCGCTGTAACACAGTGAATTGGTCTCCGTTATAACTCAGCGCTGTAACACAGTGAATGAGTCTCGTTATAACTCAGCGCTGTAACACAGTGAATTGGTCTCGCGTTATAACTCAGCGCTGTGACACAGTGAATGAGTCTCTCGTTATAACTCAGCGCTGTAACACAGTGAATGGGTCTCTCGTTATAACTCAGCGCTGTGACACAGTGAATGAGTCTCTCGTTATAACTCAGCGCTGTAACACAGTGAATTGGTCTCGTTATAACTCAGCGCTGTAACACAGTGAATGAGTCTCTCGTTATAACTCAGCGCTGTAACACAGTGAATGAGTCTCTCGTTATAACTCAGCGCTGTAACACAGTGAATGAGTCTCTCGTTATAACTCAGCGCTGTAACACAGTGAATGAGTCTCTCGTTATAATGCAGCGCTGTAACACAGTGAATGAGTCTCTCGTTATAACTCAGCGCTGTGACACAGTGAATGAGTCTCGCGTTATAACTCAGCGCTGTAACACAGTGAATGAGTCTCGCGTTATAACTCAGCGCTGTGACACAGTGAATGAGTCTCGCGTTATAACTCAGCGCTGTAACACAGTGAATGAGTCTCGCGTTATAACTCAGCGCTGTAACACAGTGAATGAGTCTCGTTATAACTCAGCGCTGTAACACAGTGAATGAGTCCTCGTTATAACTCAGCGCTGTGACACAGTGAATGAGTCTCGTTATAACTCAGCGCTGTAACACAGTGAATGAGTCTCCGTTATAACTCAGCGCTGTAACACAGTGAATGAGTCCTAGTTATAACTCAGCGCTGTAACACAGTGAATGAGTCTCCGTTATAACTCAGCGCTGTAACACAGTGAATGAGTCTCGTTATAACTCAGCGCTGTAACACAGTGAATGAGTCTCGTTATAACGCAGCGCTGTGACACAGTGAATGAGTCTCGTTATAACTCAGCGCTGTGACACAGTGAATGAGTCTCGTTATAACGCAGCGCTGTAACACAGTGAATGAGTCGTTATAACTCAGCGCTGTGACAGTGAATGAGTCTCGTTATAACGCAGCGCTGTAACACAGTGAATGAGTCTCGCGTTATAACGCAGCGCTGTAACACAGTGAATGAGTCTCTTTATAACTCAGCGCTGTAACACAGTGAATGAGTCTCACGTTATAACGCAGCGCTGTAACACAGTGAATGAGTCTCTCGTTATAACTCAGCGCTGTGAGAGTGAATGAGTCTCTAGTTATAACGCAGCGCTGTGACACAGTGAATGAGTCGTTATAACTCAGCGCTGTGACACAGTGAATGAGTCGAGTTATGATGATGTTGCTGCAAACGGCACAAACCATACGGCGTGTGCCGCGTGCGATCAAAGATACTGCCTGGTGATCGATACGGAGCGATATTCCTCCAGAGACACCTGAATCTTTATTATCACGTGAGAAATTTAATTATAAATAAACCTGAACATTTAATTAAAAGCACGCTCATAAATCGCATGCTGTGAGCGGCACTCGTACACCTTGTAAATAGTTTGTAGATGTAAAAAAAAAATTTGTAAACAAGCTGCATTCAACATTAACCTTTGTTCTCGATAAACAATCCAGAGGTCCTGCTGCGGCAGTTGAAACAATGGGGCAGGTTTTATACTGGTAGGAACCTCCTGGTTCCACCAGCCCACAGGGGATTATTGTGTCCGTCCGTCGTCATCGAAAAATTGGGAGGGGTGGGGCTGGGTGGGGAGGGTGGGGAGGGGCTGGGTGGGGAGGGGCTGGGTGGGAAGGGTAGGGAGGGGCTGGGTGGGGAGGGTGGGGAGGGGCTGGGTGGGGAGGGTGGGGAGGGGCTGGGTGGGGAGGGTGGGAAGGTGCTGGGGAAAGACGACACACTTAACACAAAAATCTGTTATAAAGAAATGAGTTTGCAATCTAGATTTAAAACATACTACTGCCCACCTCTTTCAAGAAGTCTGGGCCAAAATTCCTTTCTAGAGGGGTTCTCCAGAGCTCCGTCTAATTGGGCCGTACTGCCAACAGTGGCGTGAGCAGAGAATTGCAGGGCTTCGCCTTGACATTTGCTAGATTAAAGATGATTAAACTTTCCGCTGCAATACACGGTAAGGAAGGCACATTTTTTTCGAAACAATTTCAGTAGCGGAGAAACATTTGTGGCATATTCTGAATCGAACACACTCGTATTCAATCCAGTCTTCATGTTTGGCAGGTGAAAGCTATCAATTCTCTTTTTGCTTATGACATGCATTTCTTTCGATGTTTAATGACTGAACTGGTTTAATGGGGTTAACGTCACACGTAATATATCAATGATTATTCATTGGCAGTGATGTAAAGGTCTTCATCAATCCACTGCTGGATACAGTTTTCCCCATGGCCTGTTCGTCGTGAACGTTGTTTGACTATACTTCACCAGACCGGTCAATGCAGGTTGGTGAAAGGGGGTGGCCCAGGACCCATTTTACATATCGCCTGCCGCTGATGATGTTGGTCGTAAGGAACATGGCCAGCAATCGAAGAGGAGCTTGTGATGGGGTTGGGACACGTATACACAGGGTGGGGCAAGGCAAGTTACCCAGACGGACATCTGAGTGGCACCCAAAATATATTTTTTATTTAACCAGGAAAGGCCCACAGCCATTTGGATTTTTTTCAGAAGCGATACAAATGATAGCCCAATGCGATGGCTTATTACGTACATTTAGTTTTAATAGAATGTTTCCAAACGTGGAGGGAAAAACCGGAGGACCAGGAGAAAAATCTACCCGACCACGAGGAGAGAGACACGCAAACTCCAGATATACAGCAGGCGTCGGGGTCGGGATCGAACCCACGACCTCCTGTATACCAGGCGAGGTCGTTAACCTTGCCTGGTATGGCAAGGACTTGGAGACCACTTGGTCTCCTAAGGTCAGAGACCAAGTGTAAGACCTAAAGTCTGATTATGGTGGTCATGATTTTTGTCCAAATTTGCCAAATTCGAAAAATTCCACCGCAAATCTCTCAAATTGGGATTACCCAAAGCAGTTCTCATCATCGGCTCTTACTGGATAACTAGGGCCCACAAGTCCTGATCCCCCACTTGTGACCGTGCCATCACCATCATAGAATCTCACCCAGATCCGGAAGTACACTGATAAAACAGAGTGGAACAACTTGGACGTCCGGAATTAACACCTCATTAGAGACTAAAATACCACACCTCCTGGCGTTGACATTCCTCCTGGCTGGGTGGGCAGGGTGGGGTGGGGCTGGGTGGGGGGTGGGAGGGGTGGGGCTGGGTGGGGAGGGGCTGGTCACCCCGTGGTGCCCTTATAAAACTCAACGTTTAACCTACTCACGCCGGCTTGTGCCCGGAAGTACACTGACAAAACAGAGTGGAACAACTAGGACTTCCAGAATTAACACCTCATTAGAGACTAAAATATCACACCTCCTGGCGTTAATATTTCTCCTCCTCGCAAACACCGGGGTGTGTCCATCAACCGCATCAGAACGTCGGCCGGCCAATGCTGCGCCAAATTCGAGATGCGAGCGACAGTAGTGCGATTGGGTCCATGCAACTCAAACTGTGGACCACACAGGAAACCCACTGTAGCCCAGAGTTCGCAACCGGGTATCCGATACCCATACCCTACCCGATACCCGGCTACCCGTACCCGGCCAGGTACGGGTACGAGTACCCGTTTGCGACCCTGGTACGGCCGGGTACGGGTAAGGAATCAAAACCCGTTTGCGACCTCTGCTGTAGCCTGCGCTCCATTGACGGAGGAGGAGGAACAGCAACACTCCACAAACTGTCGTTGAAGCCCTCTCGGCGTGGCCAACACTTAGCTCTGGAACGTACTGTACTGCTATGTGTACGCAAGAATAGAATGCCCACTGGCAGGCTGGTGTCGGGTCACCTTGTGGCTACCGAGGGACGAGCTGCCATTCGGGGCGTCTCTCCCAAAGCTAAAACCAAGGGGTTTTATTACCATAAATAATTATATTACTTTCTGTTATTATACATCTGTGTGGGGAGCAGTGGCGCAATAGTTAGCGCATTACGCAACGAAACCGGTGACTTGAGTTCGATTCTCACTCCTGACCAATAATAGTGGCAAATATTTTGGACTGGTCCTGGGCCTCCCCTATGTCGACTTAGGATCAAATTAGTACCTGGTGCGGTGTGTAAACATCGCCACTTGGGAGACAAAGGCAGCCGGGCGTGGTGTTGGCCACCCACCCCCTCGTGTGCCGTTCCGGCCTTCATAGGTGCTACTAGCTAACAGCACTTGCCCCAACAGTCTGTCAAGGCTATACGGGGGATCTCTCTTTGTGCATGTGTGTGTGCAGTTGCGCTTTATGCTGCTGTTTAGCCGGCAGGGCAAGTTGCGCCTGCAGAAGTGGTACGTGGCGCTGGCGGAGCGCGAGCGGCGCAAGGTGGTGCGCGAGGTGGTGCAGGGGGTGCTCACGCGCAAGCCTCGCTCTTCCAACTTCCTCGACTGGCGTGACCTCAAGCTCGTTTACAAGCGGTGAGGCAGCCCCCCCCCCCCCGTCCCCACGGCGCATCAACATTGGTACGGATAACATCAGTGGTGAGCGATATCACAATGGGACCTGGGCCTTTTCGAGGTCAACTCGGCTTTACGTATTTGCCTCGCTCGCGGTTTATAAACTTTAGCACCGGGGAGACAAAGGCGGCCGGGCGGGGTTTCGGCCACGCCACCCCCTCGTGCGCTGTGCCGGCCTTAATTGGTGCTCGCTGAAGCCCACTTGCCCCAACAGCCTGGTAAAGGCTATACGGGGGATCTTTGTCCGTGTATCTGTGTGCACAGCTACGCGAGTCTGTATTTCTGCTGCGCGATCGAGTCGCACGAGAATGAACTGCTGTCGCTGGAGCTCATCCACCGCTACGTGGAGCTGCTCGACCAGTACTTCGGAAACGTGAGGCATTGCACCCGGCCGTGAGCCATCGACTGCTGGATAGATTTTCTGAAACGCGATGAATACGGCAACATCTGCATGCTACAAAGCAGTGTTCTTCACTGATTTGCAGAGGGGGGGTGGGGGGACACTTTCGCCGATAAGACACCATCAGTGTGTGAGGGCCGCCACACATTTTAAAATCCTTTTTATTAAGTTTGCTTGCTTGCTTGCGTGCTTGCGTGCTTGCTTACGACCGTGCAAATCTTTCGGTCGTTTTTTAACCCACTTCCCGTGATCCAATCGAGCACACAGACTCGTTGTGCGAGACAATACATTTTCGTGAAATTTTTTTTCCAAAATTTTACACTGTTTAGGGAAAAATAAATATATATTTAATTACCAATTGCTTAATGCTGGCAGACAATCATCTGACCCATAGGTGGCAGCCATCTCAAGCCAGAGGACGAGAGGACTCTAGCCGCCACGCATATAAAGGATTTAGAGTGAAAAACTTTGTTTTTACGGGTTCATTTTTAAACCATTGGGTTTGACAGCACAATGGGGGGGGGGGGGGGTTCACACTTGTGTATTGTCGGGGGCCGCACTAAAGGCCACCAGGGACTGCCAGTGGCCTGCGGGCCTTGGCAATGAAGAACGCTGCTATAAAGGGTGTGCACTTGTGTGCAGTTTTATGTTATTAACTTGCTCACTCACCCTTACCAGACATCTGTGAAAAGTAGCTTCATAGCTCATAAGATTCCTCCAATGTAAGTAAAGATTTTTACGGTGGAGAACGCAGGTGTGGTGCATTTGTCAAGTTTTCTCAGTCGGTGGAACCGTGACACGTGGGGTCTTTCCTGGTACCTCCTGCCAGCAGCGAGCCGTCGACACATCATCTGCCCTCAAAGTGCACCTAGCCCGGCACACCTGCCGTAGTGACGTCACAGTTACTTGCTGCTGGCCAAAACTGCTGTCTAATAATAATTCTTAAAGAATGGAAGTTGCCTAAGGGACACATTGTGTTTTACTGGTGGATCCAATGCACCGTTTAATCGAATAATATACATTTTTTCGGACATTCACGCAAGGACCTGCACACATCCATGTGCGTTGCACCACGGGGCACCACGGTGGCGAGATGTTAACTACCACACCTGGTATACAGGAGGTCATGGGTTTCATCCCGATCCTGACGCATGCTGTATTTTTGGAGTTTGCATGTTCCTCCCTGTGGTCGTGTGGATTTTTCTCCGGGTCCTCCGGTTTTTCCCTCCACATTTAGAATCAACATGCGTTTATAGTATTTGGATGCTTCTATAAATGTCCACATGACAAGCCTCTTCGTTGAGTTATCACTTGTGGCCAGGTCACGTCTCAAAACGAACTATACAGCTTAGTGAGCCTTACCTGCTAAAATAAAAATAAGTATAACCCGTAAAAACAAAGTTTTTCACTATAAATCCTTTATATGCGTGGCAGCGAACTTAATATAAAGGATTTAAAAATATATTCGCCTGTGGAGGACGCGGGGATCGATCCCGCGACCTTTGGCATGGGAAGCGAGGGCGCTACCAACTGCGCTACTCCGCCACGGCCTGTGGAGGGGTTACGCTCTGGGCTCTTATACCGTGACGTTCAGCCAAAGCCAAGAATGAGTTCTTTTGAATATATGTAAAATATTTTTTTTGCCTAAAAGTGTCAAATTTTGGGAATTTTTTTTCACGAACATTAATTGTCTGGCACAACGAGTCTGTGTGGAAAATGTCAGCTCGATTGGATCACGGGAAGTGGGTTAAAAAACGACTGAAAGATTTGCACGGTCCTAAGCAAGCAAGCAAGCACGTGAACTTAATATAAAGGATTTAAAAATCGTTTCGTTTTAGTCTTAGCACCATGTTGTTACTGAAGCATGGGACCACCTCCGGGGACGATGCGTCGATGTGGGATTGTCCTCTGACGTGCTTGGTGACCGTGTGAGCCAGGTGTGCGAGCTGGACATCATCTTCAATTTCGAGAAAGCCTATTTCATCCTGGACGAGTTCCTGCTGGGCGGAGAGGTGCAGGAGACCTCCAAGAAGAGGGCGTTGAAAGCCATCGAGGAGGCCGACCTACTGCAGGAGGTGCGGACACACTAAAACAGCGGCCCACAACCTTTTTGGCACCAGGGACCGGTTTCGTGGAAGACAAATTTTTCACGGACCGGGGGGGGGGGGGGGGTCATCGTTGGGTGTTTCCCCCTTTTCAAAGAAGCTCTCCAGCGACGTTTGTTTTTTTACTCATTCTGGCTAAGGGGTTAGAGCTTGTGGGCTTACCAACACTGTGACTGAGACGAGTGCGCAGTGCGGGGAAGAGGCGTGGACGGAAGTGGTGAATAATAAAACAATGGGTGGGCCACGCGCGGACTCACCGCTCTCACCTTCTGCTGCTGTGCGGCCCGGTTCCTAACAGGCCACGGACCGGTATCGGTCCGCAGCCCGGGGGTTGGGGACCCCTGCACTAAAATACAGGCAAAAATTCCAAGGGGGTGGGTGGCCAGCACCACACCCAGCCACCTTTTGTCTTTAAAATGCTGATGTTTACACACCGCACCAAGTACTCATTTGAGGCCGAGTCGACATGGGGGAAGGACCTGGGAGCGGTTTAGGCATTACAGCAGCTTTCGGCCCCATGTCAAACCACTGCTGGATTAAGGTTACCCCACGCGTTGCAATCATGGATATTTTTACCACACTTTATATTTTATATCACTGATGTTGGCCGTGGGTTGCAATCGAACTCTGGTCACCGGTTTGTAACAGGGTGCGCTAAATACAACAACACCCCTCCCCACACACGCGCGTCAAAAGACAAACACAAGAGGTCGAGTACAAACCACACACACGATATTCCAATAAACTTGAGTCTGCGAAACGGTACTTATTTCCGGAAAGACGCGAATGCGAAACGCGGTAAATAACTTGTCATCATTTGTGACTCGCACACGGTTGGCTACGTACGGCGCGAAAGAAGTTCAACATGCAAACGTACGTACGTACAATTTGTCACAAACATGGCAATTGTGCACGCGCGTTGGCCGGCAATGGCAATGCTCATTGTTCCCCCACCCACCCCCCTTACCCCCTCCACCCCCTGCCCCCCCCCCCCCCCGCCCGCCACCGTGTGATTGCGCCTACAGGAGAACGAGGAACCTCGCAGCATGCTGGAGGAGCTGGGGCTGGTGTGAGTGAAGCGCCGAGTTGAGCCGAGACGACCCCCCTCTCTCTGGGAGAGCACCCCCCCTCCGCTCCCCTCCCCCCATCAACGTAAATTACACCGGAGCCCCACGCAGAGCACCACCGTGAAAACCCACGTCTCGCAAACGCGTTTGTGTTCACCGGGGAGAGTTTTCTTTGAAGACTTAATACCGTGGTACCTGTGTGAGGTGGCAGACCTGGCATCTACTGTATTACAATGTCATTGTTTCTTTTGTAAATTAATTGGAACAGCACGGTCAACTCTCAATTATCCAGGATAATGGTAGGTTTTTTTTGTGGGGGGGGGGGGGGGGGGTGCGGGAGGGAGGGCTGGCCCAGATAAAGCATAAGCACGGATAACATATTTAAATTAGGGTATAAAACGTACGTATTGTTTACCTCAGTAGAATGGGGGTGAACATGTTTAATGTGCATTCTATTTTATTGCTCTTTTTATTGCTTCTCAAAGTAATGGGTTTACTTGCCGACGTGCTTACAGTCACGTGGGCACTGCGTCACTGGCCCTCGAAGAGTGAGGAGCAGCTCGTAATTATATCGCCGCGCGCATAAATCTATATTTTTTTCCGGCAGTAAATCCGCAAAACAGACAATCCACCCACAGACAATCGAGAGTTTACCGTGTTCATATTTGTAATTTCAGCTCACGATTCTGTTGTGATTGTAATTGACCCCAGGTCTGACGAGGAATGGTGAAGAAGCTATGAGATCGCGACGATTCACATTGTCACAGAGACGCGATGAAAGTAACAAACGTAATTTTTATTTTAGCCCCATCTTTGCGCGATGTGATGCTATGCATGTAACGATACATCGATTGGAATCGATGATGATGCTTGTAGTACTTTGCATTGAGTTGCGCTTGTGACATTAGATTATTCACACTTTATGGAAATTATCATTTCAAATTACATTCTAATGTTAAGGTAAATGCAGTGGACATGCCTATACAAATGAGGCAGAAGAAAAAGAAACGCTAAAAATGAGAGAGAATCAAATGGCGATCCTGAATTGTGACAATTCATCAAATCAACGGGTCAAGAGTGCGACATGAATTGTTACATGCCCAAATGACATGGTACAATTTGGTTTTATAAAGCATCAACATACAGTTCTGTTTTAATCATATATTAATAATGAAGCTGCTGTCTGTCCCAATAGTAGTTACTACATGTTAAATAAAATAATGTGTTTTGAGTGGATAATGGTAAAAAAAAATGTTTATTCCCTCAAGGCGTTTTGTCAGCTCCTGCCGCTCATATACCGAGTTTCCAGAGGACGACGGTCAACCGTTCCACTTTTCCACTGCTTCAGTTGAGCCACATCGGAGCTTTGCTGAGCCAGGCCAGCATAGCTGAGTTGGCGTTAGGTAATTTTTCCACTGCAGGAGCCGAGACATGCCGCTGTCGTCACATTGAAAGAGCAAGTCAAGTTCCATGTCGGTGTCTGGGTAATTCTATGTCTTCACAGCAGAGGTCGCAACCGGGTACCCGATACCCGTACCCTACCCGATACCCGGCTATCCGTACCCGGCCGGGTACGGGTACGGGTAGCCGTTTGCGACCCTGGTGCGCCGGGTACAGGTAGGCCGTGAGTCACTGGTGAGTAACTGTTTGTCACTCATTTCCCAACGTCTTGTCTCTTCTCACAATTCAAGTTCCTAGAATCAACCCACCCGCGCCTGCAACATGGCTTCATCCCAGAGGTCGCAATCAGGTACCCGATACCCGTACCCTACCCGTACCTGGCCGGGTATGGGTAGGGCACGGGTACGGCCGGGTACGGGTACCCGTTTTCGACCCTGGTGCGGCCGGGTACGGGTAAGGAATCAAAACCCGTTTGCGACCTTTGCTTCACAGTATACTGACGACGTCACACGCGATGAATGCGACATTAGCCCTGCCCCTGGTCGTGCTTGGCCCCAAGCCACCTTTGGACGTCTTGTGCGGCCAGCGTATCACGGATTGGTTCTTGCTCAGCACAGCAAATTGCCTGTGGAAAACCACCCGTACCGTGAGTGACCCCGTGCTGGCTCAGCTCAGATGTGCCAGTGTAGAATGCGTGCTGGAGTTAGCCCGAGTTAGCCTAATATCTGTCAGAATTGAAGTTGAAAGAAGGCTCTAGTTGACTAAAGAAATTGAATGTTTCCATGAGTTATCAAGTAATCACCGAGTTGGACAGCTATTTCCGGAAACACTTCGGAATTAGACTCGGCTACAGTCAAATGCCAAGACTGGTGCTGATAACTTAAATTCAATGTAAAATTTAAATCTAAAATGAAATGTTCCAGCCACCTCCAATCAAATGTTTTGTCGTAACATATTTGGTAATGTATTTCATCCCAGTAGAGGGTACATTTAACACAAGCTTTCACAACCAATTTTATTATTCTTAATTTATTGTTCACATCATAACTTTATTTATTTGGCTCTATCAAGTGCAGGAGGGTGTACCAGTGACGTGCGGTGAGGTCAATGGCTGAGGAGGCATTGGCGAGTGTCAGAGCCAGATTCACACACTGAGGGGGGTGTAGTCTTACTGAGGGGGGCGTGGCCTCACTGAGGGGGCGTGTTAGACACATCCCCCTCAGTGAGGCAGATGTGATAGCTGCCTCCCCTGGTGCTTTTTCATTACAGTTTCATGACGAGACCAGCGAGCCTAAATATTTTTATGCACATACGTGAAATAAGTTACCTGGAGTATGGAAGGCGAGGACATGAAATGAAGGGGTCTACAAACATTACATTGGTGACATACTGAGATAATAACAGGCACGCGCTTATTGCCCGCGCTCCATACAGTTACTGAGGGGTTGCGCAATCAGAGGGGAGGCTGAGCTCGTCGCTGCCTCACCTCTCGTCTCTTCCTGTATTTGCAGCGGAGCTCCGAAAATTAGGCGATTTTTTTTTACTATAAAAATGATTGGAATCGTACAGAAATGACATTTATAACACAGATCGTGGAAAAATCTTAATATTTATTTGATTTTTTTCGTAACAGCTATTTTAATTGGAATATGACGGGTGAGGCTCTGCCTCCCCTGCCTCCCCTGACCGCACGTCCCTGGGGTGTACAACACGCATTGGCAATCTGACCTAAAAATCTATAACGATTTACCTATTTCCACTCCGCCGGAATTCTGACGGAGGGAATTCAGGCTAATTTCAGTGGAGTGAAATTAGCCTCAAAGATTTGGGCTTTGGCCGGAATTCACCACCACCTTCAAGTTAATAAAAAAACTACTGCTGCCTGGAACGGCAACTTGAGTTCAACTTCGAGTTTTGATGCTCATGGGACCTGGGCAATAGTTGTCGAAGCAGTGAAGGTTAAGTTTAGTTGAGATGAAAATGCGACAATGCACTTAAAAGACAACACTGTAAACATCCCCGCAGGCTGGCGAGTGTGCTGCAGTTCTTACCAAGTTTCTGGGAATTTTCTCAATTTCCTGCTGGAGCCAAAGCAAATAATCTCGCCGCATAAATGAGATTTGGATCGGTGACCACCTTCGGTTGCACCTTCGATTAGCACGGTTGGCTACGTACGGTGTGAAAGGAGTTAAACACACATCGGTGCACATCGTATAGGGAGGGGCGTGATGATGCATTGCAGTTATCGATTGCTTCTCGAGCTCAATGTACGTGTCAAATCGCGTGTGACAATTGACGTTTCTCGCTGCCTATATTTTGTCGCCTGCAATGGGATCTTAACAGGTTCTATGTGTGACTCCCCCCCTGCCCACTGCAGTCACTCAAAACGCAACCGTTCATCGCAATAAAATAAATTGATTCTTGCATCCGGATCGCGAGCTTGAATTGTGACAATTTGTCGGATCACACACCTGGGAGTGCAGTCGAAATGCCTTATGCCTTATACAGCAGAAGTCCGTGTCAATTGTTGTTGATATCTCCCATGTCCTTCCCCTCGCACCTCCGATTAGCACGGTTGGCTACGTACGGTGCGAAAGAAGTTCGACATACGTACAAAGCGGTAATTGCTTTATCTTCCTCGGAGCGATGATGGGATTCGTTGACCACCTGATATAAACTTGCAAACTTCTAATTCTGAGTTTGTGCTCGTCCATAAATGACGTCACGCACCGGGGGGGGGGGGGTCAAACATTTGTGACGATGTGTGACGAGGGGGGGAGGTTTGAGAAATGTGACGTCACATCAAAATGCGCAACTTTATATAAATATAGACAACACGTTCTACTTAAATAGACTTTCTAATAAATGTTTTCTCCTACAACATCAGAATGCAACGCCACATTAAATACGCACTACAATGACAATAGTTTAAAGCGATTTGAAGCATGTTTTATTTGGGGGGGGGGGCAGAGCTTTGTGACGTCATATTTGAGGGGGGGGTCTGACTTTGTGACGCCGTGTGACAAAGTGGGGGGGGGGGGGGTCAAAAATCGCCCAAAATCGCGTGACGTCATTTATGGACGGCCCTTAAGGTGTCATCGTTATCGCGTGTCCTGGCAGATCAAGTATAGCAACAACAACCATAACAGGTTACAAATACGTGCAAAAAAGATACCTATGCACGTGATTAAATTCGTATTAAAGTGGGTCAACACTTAACCAAGTGATTACAGCGATTAATGAAATGAGACATTATTTTGTGCTGCTGCATTGGCAGTGGTGCACAAGCAACAAGAAACTCAACACATTAGTCAAGAACAATGGAATGGCCACAATATCTCATCTCTCTCCGGCCTGCCCTATGTGCTATGAAGAAGGTCCATTTCCCAAAACGTCAGCATGCTTTAGTCATCACCAGCAAGAAGAGACCTGCAATATATTCGAAGCACTTTCTCCAGTTGAAGATTACATTCAATAGCCACAAAATGCGTTTCTGTCATGGTGGTTGAGTGGCCAAACTGCATGGCGGGCATAGCGGGGAGTGGTGGTGCAGCGGTTAGCACGCTGCGACACGAATCCGGCAACCCGAGTTCGACTCCCGCTCACAGCCAACACCGGTGGCGATTATTTGATCCGCTCCTGGGCCTCCCCTCGATCGACTCAGCCTCAAATGAGTACCTGGTGCGGTGTGTAAACATCGCCACTGGGGAGGCAAAGGCACCTGGGTATGGTGCTGGCCACCCACCCCCTCGTGTGCCATACCGGCCTTAATCGGTGCTCGTTAACAGCACTTTGCCCAACAGTTTGTTAAAGCTATACGGGGGGTCTTTGTCTTTGTGTTCACATACAGGTCAGTACAGGTCGGTGTAGATCTTTAGAAACACTTTTGTGATTCATCTTCTTGTCGAGACTCTGCCTTCTCGACATACCTGTTCTCCACCTGAAGACGGCTGCTTGCGTTGTGGCCGACACGTCGTGAGAATTATTTAATTATGTTTTATTTTTATTATTTTATTATTTTCCTTCTACGTGCCTTTACCGAAAGAACCAAGAAGACGAATCCCTGCAGTCACGAAAGCTTTAAATCGAAACTTTTGTGGTTATCAAAAATTTTGTCTGTTACTCAATGCAGCAGCTACTTTTAGATAACTTACTACTTACTGTATTCATACGCCTATTTAAAAACTGTTGATCATAAAACATTAAAAAAATCATCAGGCCCTATGGTGTAACGGGCAGTCTCGAACTGTTATTGTTTACTCTCTCTGACCTCACTCACTATGTACTATGAAGATGGGCCGTTGTCTGAAATGTCGAATATTTATATTTTTAAATCCTTTATATTAAGTTCGCTTACTTGCTTGCGTGCTTGCTTGCTTACGACCGTGCAAATCTTTCGGTCGTTTTTTAACCCACTTCCCGTGATCCAATCGAGCTGACATTTTCCACACAGACTCGTTGTGCCAGACAATTATTGTTCGTGAAAAAAAATTCCCCAAATTTTACACTTTTTAGGCAAAAAAAATTTATTTTACATATATTCAAATAGAACTCATTCTTGGCTTTGGTTGAACGTCAGAGTGTAAGAGCCCAGAGCGTAACCCCTCCACAGGTGAATATATTTTTAAATTCTTTATATTAAGTTCGCTGCCACGCATATAAAGGATTTATAGTTAAAAACTTTGTTTTTACGGGTTATACTTATTAAATCCTTTATATTAAGTTCACTTGCGCGCTTGCTTGCTTACGACCGTGCAAATCTTTTGGTCGTTTTTTAACCCACTTCCCGTGATCCAATCGAGCTGACATTTTCCACACAGACTCGTTGTGCGTGACAATTAATGTTCGTGAAAGAAAATTTCCAAAATGTTACACTTTTTAGGACAAAAATATTATATTTAATTACCAATTGCTTAATGCTGCCATGCAATCATCTGACCCATAGGTGGCAGCCATCTCAAGCCAGAGGACGAGAGGACTCTAGCCGCCACGCATATAAAGGATTTATAGTGAAAAACGTTGTTTTTACGGGTTATACTTGTTTTCCTTCTAAGACCACAGTGTAGCAACAAATGTGTTGAGTTGGGAACGGCCATTGACGAACTCGGGTTGCCAAGTTCATCGGCTCGTGCCCCACTCCATCCCGAGGTGAATGTTTGTGTTGCTGTCACAGTGAGTGGCTCTGCTGTGGCAGAGTGGTTGGAATTCTCGACTCTGCACATTCTTTTCGTGCCAGAGAGCGATCGATGTCCGTGATTCTCGAGATCTATATGGAGTGAAAATCTTAAAATTGGCACACACAAACTCTTTATATTTTTTTTATTTGACCAGGTAAGACCCACTGAGCTCTCTAGCTCTTTTTTCAGAAGGGACCTGGCCATAAATGATAGCCCAATGAAGTGGCTTATCAGGTGGGAAATTCATAGCAGCCAAATGCTCCAAAAAAATATTGTCGAGCCCGCTTGGAACTAAATATTTGAGTGAATATCACAAACCCATTCCTGCGGAGGGAGCTGGTAGGAACGTTGGGTTGCTCGGTCAATGGCCAGGGTCAACGGCGGCGTGGTGTATTCCGCAAATATGGCCGACTGTGAGGGCGGGCACAAGCCGGCGTGAGTAGGTTAAACGTTGAGCACCACGGGGTGACCAGCCCCTCCCCACTCAGCCACCCCCCACCCCTCCCACCCCCACCCAGCCCCTCCCCACCCTCCCAACCCAGCCCCTCCCCACCCTCCCCTTCCCACCCAGCCCCACCCAGCCCCTCCCCACCCTCCCCTCCCCACCCAGCCCCTCCCTGCACGACGGACGGACGGACACAATAATCCCCTGTGGACTGGTGTAACCAGGAGTTTCCTACCAGTAAAATTAGGAAGTGTAATGCAATGCAACACAGAGAGTCGGTTAGCACGCAGTTAACGCATAGCCTGGTTGTTTACGTTCTTCCAAATATTGCTAAATTAGAAGTTAAGTGTGGAACAAACAAGCACGGCAAACCCTCCAATTTATCTTAACACATGTTTTATTGCCAGAGAGGGTAAATCTCAGGGGCGGTTTCTTCATTAGGGCGATTGGGCGACGCACCACCAATGCCATTCAACCACAGAGTCACGCTAGCCGTCACTGTGCCTCTGGATATAGTCCAATCAGCGTCATGCTACGTTCTGTGGAGTACCGCCTCTTTTTGGGCGATTTCACTCCGGCTGAGAATCGCCCCGAGTGGCCCCATAGACTTACATTGAAAGATGTTTTTTTTCGAACGGGGGCGCTGCAATGCATTCTCTATGACTTCTTGAGGGCTCGCCCTAACGTGCTTACGTCATCATACGTGCTTACGTCATCATACGTAAGCACGTTTCATCCAACAATATAATTTGTGGCCACCTAGTGGAATCTTTAAAAGAAACTTGAGTGGTTTGTTTTAATAGTGAGTATAGAAACAAACAAGATGTATTGTAAGAGTCACTTTATTTTTTATTAATATTAAAGAAGTGAAGTTGCCTTTACATGCTTAAGCTGTTAATTAATCCATTGCATGGGTGGACCTTATCCTTATCAATCATCCAGACATTTGCCCCCCCTGAGAGATTTTGCAGGAGCCGCCACTGGTAAATCTATTCCTATTTTTTCATTACTTTGCAACACATTGTTTCGATGCTTTTAAAAGCAGCCCCATCCCACCAATATCCAGCCCCCCCCCCACACACAACCTGCTCAGCTTCTAAGATCTGACCAGATGGGGCACATTCCTTGGTGATTTTGGCCAATCGATCTTCAAAGACAAAGATCCCCCGTGTAGCCTTAACAGACTGTTGGGGCAAAGTGCTCTTAGCGAGGTACATGGTGGGGGCTGGCTAACACCTCGCCCGACCGCCTTTGTCTCCCCAGTGGCGTTGTTTACACATCGCACCAGGTACTCATTTGAGGCTGGCATACCTATCAACCCCTTATCAGTGCTGCCTAATTATTACAGACCAATTCAGACCTTCTTGGTCACCACGTGTTCTTATAAATCTCAACGTTCATCCGACAAAGTCACAATCACAAGGCAGAAACACAAAAAAAATTGTTGTTGCCCCCAATTGAAATGGCTGTATGCCGTACATGGACCTGAAAATTCAAGTTTCACACGGTGTCATCAGAGGGCTTTTAGGACACCCAGTTGATCTTCACACACACACATACAGAGGAGGGCGGCGAGAGATGGAAGCAAAGCTTTAACATGGTGATGATTGGCTGAGGGCCACTTAACAGCAATGTAAAGTTTGTTTGTGCCGTGGGAGTGGCTTGTCAGCACCCAGAGGAGGTTTGCCTTCAAGCTACAATTTTCGGGCAGTGTACGTATCGGGTTTTTTAACAACAGGAAATTGCTCAATTAATTCGGTAATTTGGTTAAAGTGTACTCGTGACTTGCAACGTATTAATTT